TTGGATTTCAAAACGTTGAAAAAGAAGAAGAAAGAATAGTCATGCTTGAAGCTTTTTAATATTTTTATTCTTTGTCAGAGTCATTCTTAGCCCTGCTACATCAACCCATCACCATAGTATTTTAACTCAATTCCATATTTGAAGCTAAATTATAGAAGCTTCAGGTTGGCCTAACTTCTTTAATTATTTTAATAAATTATTAATATAAAATTCTTTTTCAGTTGCGTTTTTTTTTTTTTAGGAAGAAGAGATCCGTCCATCGGATTTGCAGGGATTTGGTCAAATCAATATAGGGTTTGGATTTTTTCAGTTGCGTTTTTTTTTTTTGTTTTTATTGTTTTGTTTTGTGTATTTTTATATCTAGAAAATTAAGAAAATGCCACATAGGATAAAATTCTATGTAGCATGTGCTCCTTAACTTTATATTTCTCTCTCTGATTTTTGCCTTAGTATAGTATATAGATAGATTAAATTTTTAAATATGATTATGATAAAGTAACTGGTTTACAATAATAAATATTCTATGAGTAAAAGTAAATAAATTCGTGATAAAAAATTAATACATATACTTTGAAATAACAGTATTTTATAAGTTGTATGTCAAAAATGTAATTCATAATGCAATATGTATAAAGATTATATACATATAATAGTAAAAAAAGTCACCAAAATAATAAATTAGATGTTACATGTCATACAAATCGATGCATTTTATGTTTACACATTAAAAAACACACTTTTCTTATTATGGTAAGAATACAAAATATTAAATAAGAGTGCAAAAAGATACAGTATTATGATATGTAGCCTCATTACTTTTTTTTCATGGAATTCTACCATCAATTGTCTCACTGTTATATGTATTAATTTGAGGAAAAAAATACGTAAATTCAATATTTCCAAGTAAAAATACCATCAATTGTCTCACTGTTTTATCTTATGTGACAACGTAAGGACTTGTTTTTATTTTCTCTCTTGGTTTCTCTCCTAGTATAACACTATAGATATAGATTATTTTTATTTATTCTAAACTTTATTTAATATGTTCTTCTAATATAAGTTAAAAATAAAACTTTACAAATGTATTTTTAAATTTATTGTATATTATAAAATATTTTTAAGATTTTATTTTCAATTCGAAAAATATATAAATGAAATTTAGGACAAATTATAATGACTCATAATAAGGACGGGAATGAGTATCATGTAGTTTTTTTATCATATTAATTTAAACTAGATGTTAAACACGTGCGATGCACGGGATTTATCTGAATACAATACGATAAAATCATTGAAAAAATAAAATTGTGACAAACACAAATAATGTTAATGAGTTGTAATGGTATAAATGATATGACTAAATAAAAATTATAAGATCTACTTACAAATATCAAGATATAAATTTGTAAGGAATGTCAAATTAAATATTATGTAAATTGTGAAAGAGTTTAATTTTAGTGGTGATGAAAGTAGAAGTCATATTATGTTTTATAGGGGGTATGAAAAAAATTAAACAAGTTAATTGTACTTAAGTTGTATTGATTAAATATATGAGGACTTTATTTGATATTACAAAAGGTTTTTTTTATTTTTTATTTTGAATTCATTGAACACTCTAGGAAGGATCAACCAACTTCTCTCTCTGGTTTCTCCTTTATAATATATAATATATATATATATACATATATATATAGATATAGATAGATAGTGATGTGAACATCCATGGTAATCAAGTCCAAGATGATCAAGGTGTTCGGGTTCCAAGTACTGTCCAAGCTCAAAAAGTGGCTCAAGATCTATTATCCAACATTGGAGGCCCAATGACTCAAGCTAGAAGTAAAAGGATGAGGAGTGCACTTGATAATCTTATATCAAATGGTTTAGCCCAAGAGAATGTCAAGTATGGAAGTTACAAGCCCAAGATTATTAATGTGTTACGAGACCCATGTGAGGAAGGAAATTTCGGCCCACAAACCAAGCAAGGGAGGCCAGCCCTATCTCCTAATTTTTAGGAGTTGGAATCTCTATCTTTTAGGGATAAAATCATTTAAATCTTATCACACTTGTGGAAGGATAAGATTTGGAAGATTCCTATCTTTTAGAGATAAGATCATTTACATCTTATCACATGGAAGGATAAGATTTGATATGATTCTCTTTTATCTAATTTAGAGTTTATTCAAAATAAGAAGTCTATTCCTTGGTGTCTACTCTCAACCGTTGGATGGAGATTAGATCTAGATTGGATGGCTACGATTACTCTACAAAGAAGATATTGATAGAGTTGACAACTCAAGAAGATTCTTTTCAAGATAAGGATAAGATTCTTTTGAGAGAATATCTCTTTGTATTTGGAATTTTATTTTCAATAGACTAGTGTGTCTTAAGTCTATAAAGGTGTCTAGATACATTGTCTTAATAAAAGACACAAGTTGTCAATTAGAGGTTAAGTTGATTTCTAGTTCTTTAAAGTAGGAATAGAGTTAGAGATCAAACTCTTCTCCTACTTCATAGGAGAATTTCGGCCCCCTCTACTATAAATAGGGGTGTTTGGCCAGCATTTCATTTGTACCTTTGATGAATTATTTCAATATGAAACGAGAGGAAACTCTTTGTTCTTTTTCTACTCTTTTCGAAGATTAGTGCATTGCACACAAGCTTGTACTTTGTTGATGCATGCGAGTAGAATATGTATTTTTCTACTTGTGGAGCTTTGTTAGTTGTTCATTGGAGCCTTTTCGCTAGCCGTTCTATCCATAAATCGAAGGGATAGGGTTGTTAGAGAGGTGACCGATTGGGTTGCTAACCTTAAACACTTTCTACATCTTCTAAACCTTTCCATCCCTTTTTGGTGCAAATTTTTGTGGTTTGCATCTCTTCTTTTCTTTTAATTTTCGTGAGTTGTGGAGTCCATAATATTGGATTTGCAAGTTTTCAAGTTTTAGGAAATTCATAGCTTCCGCGTCGAGGTAAATCTGCCACCTTTGCCTCAAGATTCATATCAGATAGTTATATAGTGATGAAAATTAAAAAGACGACCGCAATGTCGAATGGTTTGATTCATGACCCAAATTTTCGAATAATTTTTTTATAATTAACGGGACTGCATAAAATTTTATCTGTAACCCGACGTAATGACCAAATCTGGAACTTCATGGAAAAGGGGGAAAAAAAATCCCTCTAAAAATATTAGAGAGGGGAATGGGAAATTATGAATATCCATTTTATAATTTTAAAAGGACAAAATGCACTTTTTGTCCCTCAATTTTTTAGGGTAGCAAGACTGAGTCATCATCAATTTTTAATTGACAAAAATAATCCTCTAAAATATTTTTGTCATTAATTTAGGTCAATTTAACATAATTTTAAAGACTTAATGGTCATATTTTTTTTTTCAGTTAAGTCTTTTATTTTTTATTAGTTTCCTTATGAATGATGGGGTCCACTAATTTGACTCAACAAAAAAAAATCTTTTTTTTTTCTTTATCATTTATTTTTATTAAGATTTAATATTGATATCATTTAAAAATCAAAACCCATCCTAACAAATCCCACCACCACCTTTATTAATTTATTAATTTGTTTATTAGTAAATAGTAAATATAATATTATCACTATTATTACTTTCCAAGGGAAGTGTCCTAGGCTGTAAATTAAACCGGCGCCGCTCACCACCAACACCGTTATTATTACTTGCACGCTCCGTTTTCAATCACCATGGAAAGAAAAATTGGGGCTGGGATTATGCAAAAAAAACTCAGAAAGAAAGGATTTTTAACAGAGCCCTTTAAGCTTTGCTCTGTTTTTTTTTTTTTTTGCTTCTTATTTTATTATCTCTCCATGAACTGGAGAGAACAAAAAAATTTGGTGGTGACAATGGGTTGTTGAGTTGAGGCTACGCTGCCTTTTGCAATATAAAGTTATGCATAAATTTTTGTATCCCACTTTTAAATTGTATGGAAATTGGGCAGAGGGAGCAGAGGGATCCCAATAGGGAATTTATGCCACCGGCAGAGGGATGAGCAGCCTCGCCGGCAGAGGGATCCCAATAGGGAATTTATGTCGCCGGCATCTACTTCCCGCGCTGACGAAGTAGACACCTGGACCAAGGGAAGACCAACGGCGGCGGGTTTGAGCGGAGGGACCGGAGACAGTATTTCCCGGACGGCGGGTTTGATTTTTTAATAATTTTGATATTAACTCTAGTAAAGGAAAAAGGGAAATTAAGGAAAGATGAATTTGAAATTTTAGTAAAAGAAAGAAATAAATGAAAATCTGTAGAGAAAATCAGTAAGTGATAAGAAAGGAATAGAAAAGAAATTTCATTAAAAGAAAAAGATTTTTGATATTTTTGTTGTTGAGAAAAACTTTAATAAAAATAAATGAAAAAAGAAAAAGAAAAAAGAAAATTTTTTTATTTGGGTCAAATTAGGGGACCCCACTGTTTAGGAAAATTAATAAAAAATTAAAGATTTAACCATCAAGAAGTTTGACCCGTTATTTTTGAAAAATTTCTGTTAAATTAACCATAATTGATGAAAAAAATATTTTAAGAGATTGTTTTTGCTAATTGAAAATCCATGGTGACCATTTTAAAATATGTAATTAAGAACTAGACATGTTGCTTTGTCTTGGGGCAACATCATCCAATTTGATTTCAGTTACTTTTTTGGCGCGCATATTCCCAAACACGAAAAGGCTATATTGTTAATGTTAAGGAAGAATAATTCTAAACCAATCCCAAGAAACAAAAGAATTCCTTTTGCTACCCAAATTCTTTCCTTTCGACTATAATGAAAGTTTTTGTTTTTCCTCCTAGTACACCCCAACTTTGCCTTGTTTCAATCCATTTTGCCAGCTTCAATTCCTATTGCAATCTGCTAACTTGATCATATACACATCTTGCTTCTATAAATGCTGCAAAGAATCCGATCATAAGGACTCAATACATATCATACACCAGCAGATTTCTTTTCTTTCGCCACGAATATCAGCACATTATGACGACTGTACAACCAGCCCTGAAGAGGTCTGAGTCAGTTGCAGAAACTATGCCGGAAGCCTTGAGGCAAAGCCGATACCACATGAAGAGGTGCTTCGCCAAGTACATTGAGAAAGGGAAGCGCTTGATGAAGGTTAACAATCTGATGGATGAAATGGAGCAAGTGATAGATGATCATACTGAGAGAAACCAGGTGTTGGAAGGCCTACTAGGATATATCTTGTGTACTACTAAGGTATGGTTTGCTTAACATGTAATAGAGCTAATTGAAATCCTAAGCTTTTAATTTAGCTGCATTGGACAAACTTAGCATGTGCGGTCTGATATTTTTTCAGGAGGCTGCAGTTATCCCTCCACATGTTGCTTTTGCCATTAGGCCAAATCCTGGATTTTGGGAGTTCGTTAAAGTGAATGCAAATGATCTTTCTGTTGATGGCCTCACTGTCACAGAATATTTGAAGTTCAAAGAAACAATAGTCGATGAGAACTGGTACATTTCTACCTCAAATTATTGCTATATTATATACAGTAAAGATGGAATTTACTAAACTATGAATCTCCATACCATCAAAGATCAAGAGATAGTTTCTTTTCAATTCTTTGATCAGTAGTATTTTGCAAAATTATGTGTTTTACAATATTTTCTGAGCTTACCTAAAAAATACAGGGCACGTGATGAAAATGCGCTTGAAATCGATTTTGGAGCAATGGATTTCTCAATACCTCACCTCACCCTATCTTCTTCAATTGGAAATGGAGTCAGCTATGTTTCAAAGTTTCTGGCTTCCAAGCTGAGTGGTGGTCCTGGAAGCGCACAACCCCTCGTCGATTATTTACTTTCATTGAACCACCAAGGAGAAGTATGACAGCTTTAACTAAAGAATTGACACAGAAATGTTAATTCACCACCCACAAACACCATTCTTATTGATTGTTGTTTCCTCAACTTTCAGAAACTTATGATAAATGAGACCCTCAACACGGCATCAAAGCTTCAGTCAGCATTGATAGTAGCTGATGCAGCCCTTACAGCCCTACCAAAGGATACACCATATCAGAGCTTTGAGCTGAGGTGAACTCCTTAACTTTTCTCCCCCTTTACATTTCTTTTTCCTGTTGCTATCTTGGCCAGAACTGATAAGTGAGATGCATTACAGATTCAAAGAATGGGGATTTGAGAAGGGTTGGGGTGATACTGCTGAAAGAGTCAGGGACACGATGAGATCAGTGTCCGAGGTTCTTCAGGCCCCAGATCCTTTGAATATGGAGAAGTTCTTTGGAAGGCTTCCAATAATATTCAATGTTGTATTATTTTCTGTCCATGGCTACTTTGGCCAATCAGATGTCCTTGGCTTGCCTGACACTGGTGGACAGGTACATTTTTCGGATTTCAGGAATAGAAGAAAAGTTGACACCATCAATTTGGTGCAGATTGAGATCTAATTTAATGTCCTTAAACAGGTGGTTTATGTTTTGGATCAAGTTGTGGCCCTAGAGGAGGAATTGCTTCAAAGAATTAAGCAGCAAGGTCTTAATGTGAAGCCTCAAATTCTTGTGGTGAGCCTCATATGTATGCATGAGAATACAAGATTTGGCTACCTGCAAAAGGCCATATAATCAATAAGGTAGTTCTTGATTTTCAGGTTACCAGGTTGATTCCTGATGCCAAGGGAACCAAATGCAACCAAGAACTAGAGCCAATCTACAATACAAAACACTCACACATCCTGAGAGTGCCGTTTATAACAGAAAATGGGGTTGTTCCTCAGTGGATTTCTAGATTTGATATTTATCCCTTCCTGGAGAAATATGCTCAGGTATGCCATGAATTTTGGGTTCCAACATTCTGTCATAACTTTCTTGATTGACTTATTGAGCGTAGCTTACTCGCATGTTTTCATTTTGGCAAATTACAGGATGCTGCCAACAAAATCATTGAACTGATGGAAGGAAAACCTGATCTAATAATTGGGAACTACACTGATGGGAATTTGGTGGCATCGCTCATGGCCAATAAACTTGGAACTACACTGGTATCTTATGATTTTCTTCTGAACCTACCAGTTCACTAACATTTCCCTTTTAAGAAGATATCCTAACCTTGTGAGTTTCTTATAGGGGACAATTGCACATGCATTGGAAAAGACGAAGTATGAAGATTCTGACGTGAAGTGGAAGGAACTAGATCCCAAATATCATTTCTCATGCCAATTCACAGCTGATTTAATTGCAATGAATACAGCTGATTTTGTCATTACAAGCACATATCAGGAGATAGCTGGAAGGTAAGAATCTCAAGTTCATAGATGGTATTCAAGTTAATTCAAATGTAATAATTCTGGTACTAATGAAAGTTGTTTTGGCAATTTGCAGCAAAGATAGGCCAGGGCAATATGAGAGCCATGCAGCCTTTACACTGCCAGGGCTTTACAGAGTTGTTTCGGGCATCAATGTCTTTGATCCTAAGTTTAATATTGCTTCCCCTGGGGCTGACCAAACAGTTTACTTTCCGCACACTGAGAAACAGAAGAGACTTGCACAATTTCGTCCCGCCATTGAAGAACTATTGTTCAGCAAAGCTGAAAATGATGAACACATGTAAGTGCCAGTAATCTAGACACTTATTACATTTAACAATGTGAAAGAACACCGGCCTGAAATTCTAACATGTTTGTTCCTTGAACAGTGGCTACCTTGAGGATAAAAAGAAACCTATTATTTTCTCCATGGCGAGGCTTGATACAGTCAAGAATCTAACAGGATTGACTGAATGGTACGGAAAGAACAAGAGGCTCAGAAATTTGGTAAACCTTGTTATAGTCGGTGCATTCTTTGATCCACTGAAATCCAAAGATAGAGAAGAAGCATCCGAAATACGGAAGATGCACATGTTGATAGAAAAGTATCAACTAAAGGGTCAGATGAGATGGATAGCAGCTCAGACTGACAGAAACAGGAATAGTGAGCTCTACAGAACTATTGCTGATACAAAGGGCGCATTTGTTCAACCAGCTTTATATGAAGCATTTGGCCTAACTGTGATTGAGGCAATGAACTGTGGATTGCCAACTTTTGCAACAAATCAAGGGGGTCCTGCTGAAATCATAGTTGATGGAATTTCTGGCTTCCATATCGATCCCAACCATGGAGATGAAGCAAGCAACAAGCTTGTCGACTTTTTCCAAAAGTGCAAGGAGGATCCTGAATACTGGAACAGGATTTCATCACAGGGTCTTCAGCGTATATATGAATGGTACAAACTTAATCTACTCTCAGTGTCAACTGGACTAAATCCTGTTTCTCCAAACATCAGTACACAAGATTATGTATTTTGAGGACTGCTAATAGTCTTACTGGCTTGTTTTGCAGCTACACATGGAAGATCTATGCAAACAAGGTTTTGAATTTGGGCTGCATATATAGCTTCTGGAGGCAGTTGAATATTGATCAGAAACAGGCGAAGCAAAGATATATTCAGGCCTTCTACAATCTTCAATTCAGGAACTTGGTACACTATCATCATAACTTAACATCATCCCTCTTTCCTGTTAATAAAGTGTTCGTTTTTCTCACTCAACAACAATGCTACAGGCAAATAAAATCAATGTCAGAATGGAGGAACCTCCAAAACAAGAGACAAAGGAGAAACCTAAGCCAAAAACCACACAAAGGCATGATTTCCAGTCATCTTTTTGTTTCAAATGTCAATGATTTTCCAGTTCAATTTGTTCTTACCGTTGCATCTTATAATTTAACGACTGATATATATATGTTAATTTTGTATCATCAGGCGCTCAAAATCAACGTTGCAAAGGTATAGCTACTATCCTATCTTTACTTGTGATGTTTACATATTATACGAGGTGAAAGGCCTAATTAAACTGATGTAATTCCAGGTTGTTTGGAGCTTCATCTTAACTGCTTGGTTGGAATTCCAATTCTGCTGCTAGCTACTGATCGAATCTGCGAAAATTCTCAAATTTTATAATTTCTTTTTCTCCAAATGTAAAGAAGAATTCATAGTCACGAACTTGATATCCATTGTGTACAAAGCAACTAAACACGAGTCCATCAAATGATTCAGATCATTCAAATGTATTTAACAGATAAAGATTTTACATTCCACGCTTCGTGTTCTTGAATTCCTGTCAACTTATTGTAATCGATTTTTCGACTTCTGTAGTTACATTAAAATAATGCAGTACATGCATCCATTGTTCCCACTTTTTCAGCCTGTGAACTGCGATGGTGTCCGGAATAAGATCATGTGAGCACCTACTATTAGTTCCAGGGTAGTCATACATTGCTGGTTTATTAGAAAACCTGTTCTTAGCCTTTTTTCCCATATCCAGCCACTTCCCAACAAGCTTGTCTTCAGGGCCAAAAGTATCAGTTGCAGGAATATCAGAAGTCCCAATCCACTCAACCAGATCCCAAGATAGAATATATCCCATTCCTGACATATAATGCACAAAGGGATTCATGCTAGGGCAAGGAATGACAAATCCATAGTAAAAATCTGATCTTGGTAATGTCCGGAGAGATTTCGCCAATGGCACTAGCCTCAAGAATACATCATCATCAGCTTTCATGACATAATCATAGGGGCGTGATAGAATCTTTGGTAGACTAGAAAAATAAGTGTAAGTTTTCCCGAAATTCATATTCTCGGTACAGTTGAGGATGATAATGTCATGATAACGCATGATCTCGAGCGCCACTCGAGTCCTCTGCTCAGGCTTGGTGAGTCTGCATAAGATGAACTTGACATCAATCCTGGCGACGGGAGAGGATTGTGTTCCATAGAGGAGACGGAGGAAGTCGCGGCGATCATAGGCATCTGGAAGAGTAAGAATTCCTATCAAGAGGCTGAAGTTTGACTGCAAATGATCTGTGTCATTTAGAATGATAGTAGTACTGTTTAATGAACCTGAAAATGGGAATTTTAGGTGGAAACTGAAGGAGAAAACAAACACTAATAGAACTATAGCTAGAGAAGGCAATGAAATCAGAATCAGATGTTTCTTCCGCATTTAGGCAATAGCAGATAATCAAGAAGGCTCTGGAGCTAGCTAGGTAAGGAAAACTTATAGATGATCTTGGTAAATTTCATTGAAGAGTTCTTACATTTGCTAGTTGCATCAGAACCACAACTATAAAAGCTACTTTTCTTCATGATTGACAATCATGCTGTAAATGTGATAAGAAAATGAGAAACTGATATTAATCATGCTTTCCTTGTATGGATGGACTTGGTAACCACCAAATATGAATGGTGTGAGCAGCTCATGATACATGCGCTCCTCGGCGAGAGAGGTGCTCTAAAAACTAAACCTTTGTTCTTTAGAGACAAAATCCTAAATTTCAGAACTCATTGTAAGAATATCCCATCCTCCCGTTCTACGCGTGACAATCTGGCCGTTGCAGTTGAAGAAATCTGATTTATCAGTTACATCAGCAAGTTATGACAATTGGATCCATTGCAGTCGAACTGTCTCTAGCGCACATTTCAGGAGTAATGCTTGTAACTCCTTCTCCCTGCATCATGTGTAGTAGTTCACTCAGATCAATGAATGGATTCACCTATCTTCCATATTTTACCATAAATCAAACCTTTGCAATATTCCGTAGATAAGTTGTATTATACTGTCCAGATGGAAATAAAGCTTCAATTAGGTCTGCCAACACTAGTTGAGGCTGAGAGACTGCTCCATCATACCAGTCTTGCACTGAACAAGACGAGAAAACCACGCACAGATCATGAACAAAATAAGACAAATGCAAGCATCGAAAAGCTAACTAGTTTTGTCGACATTCATTTGAGTTTTGTACAGATAAAGAAGCAGCTCTCACCAAGAATGCCAGAGCTTTGGATTCTTTTGTCAAATCTCCACAAGCTTTGATTTGCAAGAAACGCAAAACAGGAGTGATCATCCACATATGTATTTTGGAGGAACGTTGAGAGAGTGTAAGAAACAGGATCAGGACTATATGTTTCATCAATCACCACATCTACAGTCTACAAAAGAACATTCAGAATCATTAATTTGAAGAAACAAAACAGAATTATGACACAAAACAAAATTTCTAACCATCTGATCAGAACTTTTTCTTTATTCTGCAAATAGATACAGATCAAACTCAGAATGTGGTTCTAAGATCCAGAAGTCCTAATCTGACACGATAATAATCAAACTTACACACAAAATGGCATGAAGATCCTCCAAGTCATCAAGTACTGAAATGTTATATGTCATTTTGTTGATGGAGCCATCAATATTCACTCCCCCAGAATCCTCAATGTACTGTAATCAGGAATTGCCCGCCAACCAAAAAAAAAAAAAAAGAAAAGAAAAGAAATCAGCTCTTGAAATGCTCTAGGTAGGCAGAATTTGTAATCATTCTTCATTCAAGAATATAACATACGATCAGTCACTCTTTGAAATCTTCAGCTTCAGCTATAATTGAAACTTAAGCACTTAACCTTCAATCATATATTTACAGCAAAAATAATTCAACATTATGGATATACATAGAGTGTATCAGAGCCGTGAGTACCTTTAACTTGGATGGATCTTTTGTGAATGACCAGACTCCCTGAAAAGATCAAGACATTTTTACTTGCATTTTCAATGGAAATAGAGCGTCAGAACATCAAATGGAGTATCAAAATCAGTATCAACTGTACTTACACTGCTAAACTCCATCCAAGCAACAACTGGTTTAAAGTTTGCAGTTCTGGTGGCAGCTAATCTGCTCAAACACAAGTAATTCTCCTTAATCTGCAAATCAACCAAAAACGATCAAAAGAGAGGAGTGGCCACGGAAAGCACCCTGATTTTGTAGTGTCAATGGTACAAAGAATTCGCATATGATCCGTCTCTCACCGACCGTATCATAGACCTTATTTGCTCTTGTTTCCATGTTTGCAAAAACCCCCAAGTACTTGATCCACTCTGCCCTCTGAAATTAAATTATATGTGTGAAAATAACTACATAATATTACACCATCTGAAATAAAGTTCATCATTTAACATTATTAAAAAGAAAAATCATACTTGTAAAGGGCTATCTTCGCCAATGGGGACAAATGTTGCATAAGTGCATAATTGTGCTTGATCAGTGTAGCCAATAAAGTGAGCTGAAAATTGAGAAAGCTGTACTGGATCACTTTTATTTACTAGGCCAATTTGTCCCTCACTCAATAACTTCAGCACACATGGAGAAGATACCAAGTCTGAAGTTATGCCTTTCAAATTACCTAGCAAGCCAAGAAGCTGTGGGCATGCAAAACAGATACACGAATCATTTACAAGGACTCTCTGCTCAATATTTCTCAAAGTAAAGGAAATTTAAATGGCTATAAAAACTAAAAGGGTGGCTTTAGTTTACTGATTTTTTTGGGCCAAAATTGATGATCTTGGAGACCTCACCTCAAAGAAAGATACTGTAAATTTGGAAAAATAACAATAAAGAATTGTTAGAGACAGAGATGGCAAGCAATCAAGCAGTTGAGGAACGAAAAAAAGATGAAAACTTGGATTAGAGCACAAATGCACAATCATCAACCTACCTGGGAAAAAGACGGTGTCAATCGAAAAGTTTGATAAGGGGATGACAAATGATTTGATTCTTGAAGTGCAGTACTTCGTTCTAGCAGCCATCCTTGTATTGTTCTGTCTCAATCAGACAATATAAAGTTTCAATTATGCTTTGATTAGGACACTCAAAAAATAAACATTCTGTGTAAATTTGCTTTCCTTCACTAGCAATGATCATCATCGATCCCAGAAAGTTAAAAAAAGAGTTGCAAATTTTGAGTCATTCAATGATGAACAGAGTTGTACCTGAATGAGAAGATAACTCTTGCCATCTAAACCATTCTTGATAACTTTGAAGGTCTGACCATAGTAAATGTGGAAAAATGCAGCATCTTCCACCTTGGAGATATTCCCTACTATATTAACCGCCGGAACAGCCGCAGTTGAAAAAACATCACCACCAAATGCATAAGAAGAACTGAACCAAACTAACCACAAAAAGATCTGGAGTAGTAGTAAACTAGGACTACTTCTCCCACAACAAAAATCACAAATCCCTCTTGAGAAACCCATGATTAGCCCTTCATGCACCCACCAAAATCTCACTTTGTTACGGACAAATGAATGAAGATGAATTTAAGAGATATTTTCCAGTCGAAATTGTATATAAATGTTGGAGGTGGGGGCAGAGGAGTGGTGAAAATGGGAACGTGAATGATTGGATTTCTGCAATTGTCGGGATTCGGCATGCATTGCATTTGTGTAAGTCGACTGGTTATTTTTTTGAAGGGTTAAAACTCTTTTTATCACCAACCCGTGAGCCGGAAATTTATTTTTGCTATAGGAAAATTTGTCATCTTCTTTTCATCAGTTTGCCGTTGTTACGGTTCTTCATCAATATTTCCTTCTTGTCATTGGTAGGTTTCCATATATATACACCATGTGCCCTGCACTAATCTAACACAATCCTTGCGCATGCACTCCACAGCCGCGCAGGTAATGGCTCCATTGGCAAAAGGTGAGAGAAAGGAGCGACGAAAAGTTCCATTTTTACCTCTTCAATTTCTTATTTCTTACTCCCTCCTACTTAGTTAATCGATAATTATTTTGGGACACATCAAGTTACTAATTCGCTTCTAATTACATTGAAATTCTAACAACTGAGATGATTCGGCGCCCCCCCATAATTAAAAGAGGCCTATTGACTATTGCGCTAGATACAAAAAGTTGACAAATTCATAATTAATATTGTCGACACAATATTTGCAGTTTAAATACTAATATGTATGATTTTTGGGTACAGCACGTTGAATATGGTTACTTAGCTACACTTTTTTGTATAGGCTTGGTGCAACAGTGCATGCTGATAGTAAGTCAACTAGGCACAGTAAGTTGTTTCTTGATTATTTCCTATGAATTATTTTACCTTTAAATTATGCAATTGGATTTACAACTTACAAGAGAGCAGGAAGTTAATTCCTAGTCACCTGTGATTATTATTGGTAGAGCTCGAATGGACAGTGTCCTTTTCCCAGTAAAAACTCAAAACCCAATCCAGTTTCACAATGAACTTACTTATAAAGTCACGAGTGGAACTCAACTTTGAATGGTGGTTGGTTAGCTCCCATCCAGAAAGACAAAGTTCATTAATGACGAAAAGAAAAAAGAAGCTCTATTTGCTCTCATGCATATTCACATGTCAACTAGTTAAAACTTAAAAGGATCGATGTCCACTAGATTAATTCAGTTGCACTGCAGTAGAGAAAGTTAATTTATACTTTTTCGGTCCGAAAATGATTATTTAGTTTGAATGTTTATTATTAGTATTAATTGAATTAAAAATAAAAATATAAATTGAACAATTATTTCATAAGGGAGGGAGTAAATACTATCAGTGTCATTTACTGATGTTTTGTAAACATGACTGGAGGGAATATTACTGGATTTATCAATGATAGAATTTGAAGAGGAAAAAAGATAAGAATTCTTGTGTGATTAACAATATCAAGAGAATCAATTTGCATTACAACAGCTAGCACTATAACACACTGCTTGATGACAAAAAGAAATTTTTTTTTTTACAGAAGATGCATATATGTTAGCTTACATCTTTTGTACAAATTACTAGGAAGATATGGAGTATACAATTTTCCCAAGTGGAAAGAAGAAAAAACTACAAATCTGTCGAGGACAAATTGATCTCAACGTGTGCCATAATGTCAAGTGCTTTTTTGACAACTATTGTTAGTATATGAATATAGATAGAATGAATTAGTGAATAAGAATGAAGTTAATTAAGATGAAGGGACATTTTGGTGTACCCAAAATGTACATAGAGCCAAAGTCACCGTCAAATAAGTCCACATCTTGCTCTGAATATTGCTCCCTCCTCCACTCCCCTTCATCACTGAAACCGACACCATTTTCTTCCCAAAATGCATTTCATCATCATCCTCATGAATTTCCTCCATTTTCTTCAAGGGATCTTTCTCCACCAAATAATCTCCCAAATAAATCAAGTAAACATTCAGGATCGCTATCATACTAATCCATGGCGTGAGGGATTTTGCTACAACCCTTGAAAATGTGGTGAATTTTTCCGAAAGGCGGTGCCCGGAAGACTGTTGAGGATGAACAATGCTGTCGTTGTTGGAAGTTCTTGATGAATATGATGATGATTTCACAACTGGCAAATCATGAACAATCATGGGATGCAAATGGACTCGAACTGTGGTTGAAGGAATGATCTGATGATAAAATGTGTTGGCTGTTTGGCGGGTGGAAACGAGCATCCCATGACTCACTTGCACTACTTTTTCATATACCTCAAAGTTTGAAGTACTTGAGAAGTCATCCACTTCATCCCCATCAACTAAGAAATTGTCTTCACCACTTGCTTCATTAATGTTGTTGTCATTTCCAAATCCAACTACTGAATAGTCTTCATTGTTGTTGTTTTCCGTGTTGCTCAAGTTATTCTGGTGACTGGTTTCTCCTGCATTTTGCCGTCATTTAATATATTAAAAAAAGTTAGTATTTCAATTAAAAAGTAATAAAAAGAAAAAAAAGGGGGAAGAGAAGAATATGTGATAAGAGTTGATATACATGAGTGAAAATTTTGGAGAGGCCAACCTTGAACCAGATTCCCTTCTCCTTGAAAAGCTGATGATATGTTCTCAATTGGCACTGTTTTATAATCTTCCAAGAACGACTGAAAATTGCAATTTTGAAGAGTTAAGGAAGGAAGAAATGTCGAAAATTTACTATTATTATGAGACGTAAAAAAAAAGAATGGAACATATTTGGTTACCTTCTCGAGATCCTTGTCGGACATTCCAACCCATCTCAAATTTTCAACCATCCTTTGATCAGTCTTGAAATCTTCATCCATCCCACCAATGTCAATTGGCTTGAAATTGCAATCTTCTCTCAACTGGTCCAAGAATTTGAACGAACTGCCGGCATCATCATGCATGTGGTTGTTGGTGGAAACAAAGGAGAAATCATCAGTAGTAGTGTTAATGTTAGCATAATTTCCACCACCTCCCCAAGTGTCTTGATTCATGAAATTTTGAGAAGCTTGAGCAACCGAAAGAATCTCTTGAACAATATCTTGTTGATGGTTTTGCATGCTTCCATGCATATAACTCGATTGTGGTTGCATCCTAGCATCCCCAAAACCAGCATGTTGGAAATCTTGCACCTCCAAAGGTGGCAATGTAAACCTATGTTGCAATCTTGCACACTCCAAAGCTATATCAACCTACACACAGAAAAAAAAAAAAAAGTAGGTATATATTTAAGCGATACGAAATGACTGAATAACTGATGTGACGCATATAAATGTATATATTAAACAACTTATATATACCTTCGATGGGGGATAAGACATGGATCCATGATTTGGATATGAAGGATTAGGGAAACTGAAGGCTTCATCCGACAAATATTGCATCCATCTACTATCACTTTGTCCCATGTTGTTGATACTAGTCAATGATGGAGAACCATGGATACCGTTGGATGAGCAGTTGACTGATTGCATCCCATAATTATTAGAGCTGTCATTTGCTGTATTATTATTTGAGGGCATTTGATAATCAAAGCTCTCTAAATCATCACATCTTCCATCCGAGTATGGATCCATGCTCGAAGATCGATCACTTGTCACTGCAGCTGCTGGCGTGCCATAATGATCTCCGATTTTGGGAATGTTCAAACTCTTCTTGAATACACGACACAATGCATATGCATCCTGCAAAAATTAATCAGTCCATTTAATTAATTCCGTAACATTCTTATATATAATTACAATGCATAATAACTATTAAAAACGTCTGAAACTCAGAATCTCGAGATTACAATAATTCAGGTGAATTTTGATGTACGAAACGTACCTGCAAGCCAGTATTGGTTTCGCATTCACGTTCATCTAATCGATATTCATGCATGACCCAATCGGTACGAGCTCCATGAGGTGCCCTTCCTCTGTAGTAAACTAGGGTTTTCTTCATCCCCACAGCTCTCATCTGAGAATTTACTTTTCTGTCCTTCCCTGTTGCCTTCCAGTATCCAGCTTTGGTAGCACGATTAGTCCTCGACCCATTGGGGTATTTTCGGTCTCTAGGACTGAAAAAGTACCATTCAAGATCCTTGCTTGGAAGTAATGATTTTCCTGTTCAAACAACACAATAAAAAAAAGAAGAAGAAGGGATTAGATTAAGGAAAGTAAACTAATTATTGAAGGAATGTGAAAGCCCATATGTTTTTATTTCTTTTTAACAAACAAAGAATATCCTCTGTGTTGGTAGGGAAACACAGAAAAGGGGAAAAAGCTGTGGAATACAAAGATCTGAAGGGGACAATGTAATCATGATCGATTTTCCTTTTCCTTTTTGACTTGATCTCTCTAAGTACACATCTTTAAGCTTCAATAGAAGATTAAAAGATGTAGGGACCAGAAGCTAGCAAAAGAGACACATAATAGCACAAGATCATATACCTTCTTTAGATATTTTTTGTACCAATGATAAAGAGATTTTCTTTTTTGACTGTTCAAGATTACAGTTCCTTAAGCAAAGACCATATCACATTTTATCACACTAATTATGAAACCTTTAGTGATAAAACTGAAAGTTAAAGGGATGCTTTTGTTTTCACATCCTTGTGTGTGGATAAATCACATTTTTTTTTAAAAAAAAAAAACTGAAAGCCTTAGAAAAACAGCATGTAAATTGTGAATTCGGGCACATCAATAAATTTGGATAAAACTATGACTTTCATTTCGAATAGACTAGAAATGATGTGCTGGTCTTCTCCTCAATATAAAAGTCGTGGTGTACTAACAAATATGACTCTTAAATTGTAACAAAGTGAGTATGATGCATGGCCAACACATTCGTTCAATTAAATTTTGTGAAAACTTGAACTTAAAGTTGGAAAAATTTATATACCAAAAAAAAATAAAAATTATTTGTTTGATATATATATACCTTTCTTCGCACTCACTTTCTAGCTTAGCAAGTTGCAACTAAACTTTCATGTTTGAATATTTGTTTCTTTCTCATGAAAAAACTTGAAAGATTCATTTCACTTGAGGCGACAATTCGTCCTAAAAGAGACAGTTCCCAAAAACTACAAACAAATAAAATTTCGATTAACCAACCATTGTTGTTTAGGGTTTCATAACATAGAAATCGATGTAACTGAGTAAAGTTCTTCAATTTGATCAAATTTCTTAGTTGGATGTATGCACCAATTAATAATACACAATATTTCATTCCTATCAAGAAGGTGGAAAAACACATAACTAGAAAGATTAGAAACGGCAAAGTAACGTACCAGGCAGGTCCCAAGGTTCACATTTATAAAGATCAACTTCAGGGATGATCTCAAGTTCAATCTTCCTGCCATTGATTTTTCTCTTGAGATAATAAGCTACAAGTTCTTCATCAGTTGGATGAAACCGAAAGCCCGGTGGTAATGAAACAGGTGCCATGATCTTCTTCTTTTTCTTCTCCTAGTGAACTCGTCGTAAACTTTCTAAATTTCGAAACTCTACCCAAAAACACACACTTAAAACACGGTTGTTTGACTGAATTCCAAAAATTAGCAATCCAACCTACACAAACAAATGAGTCACAACATCAACAAACAGTTGATAGAAGATGATGATCAAATAAGCAAGAGTCTAGAAAATGAATCAAAGAGGTGAAGGAGAGATATGGACCTAAAAGAATTTGTAGAAGATCCCAAGAGAAAAGAGGAGGAGCTAGAGAGCTAGCAGAAGAATGGAGAGAAAGGAGGGGATGATGGAGAAGGTTGGAGGGGATTTAATAAGAAGAAGAAGAAGAAGGGAACAAAAAGGAAAGGGAACTCAAAAAGCAAACAATTGTGGGAGGCTGCCACCCCTATACACCCAACTTTATCATACTTTATACATTGTATTTTTTTTCTTAATCAAATGATGGCTTTATTAGTCTTTCTGTTGAAGCTTGATACAGTTTCTCATTGACAGTATTGTGATAAATGTAATAATACAAAAAAAAAAAAAAAAGAAACACAAACATTCCCATACATATATAATATATAGTATAGTTTTGAGTAATTCTTTTTCTTCATGTATATACAAAAAATTATGCTATGCTTCAAACTTGTCCTTTCTTGGAATCTGAGCTTGCCTCGTCCACGTGGTAAACCCCTATTTGATTAGATGCATTGCCCTACCGTGTCTATGTTCGTCTTACTACGTTGTTTCATTGGTCGGACAGGATCTCTCTACGTTAGTAATAACTAACAAAACTGAAATTTGCGGGAAACCCCATTGATTTTGGCGGCTTTCTCATCAACTGAATTCTGCAAAGAATGTTCTTTTCACATGCTCCCCCGCTCCTTATACCACTTGCATCTTCCTTGAACTAATCGCCCTTATCATTACTTTATTTTCACTGTGTTATTAGTTAATTAATTTCTCATGAAGATTAGACAAAACTTTTTGTCAGTATGATGATATGATTGCTTCAAGATTAAATTAATTAAATATAAACCAAGGGTTCTCTTGGTTTAGCAATCTGATAATCAAGGGTTCTCTTGAATCGTATGACAAAATTCTAAATGTAGTACCTACGCATGTATTGGCTTATGATCACTCTAACAGAAAAAATATGAAGACAATTGTATATTTTCATAGTTATATGTATAGTAAGTTGGATCAAATAGAAAATGTGAATTGCGGAGTAAAACAAAAATGATTATGTTCATGGCTTATGATCACGAGATCATTCATGTCAATGATGTGATGATCAATTAAAGGGTTTATAGAATCACATTGCATGTGATTAGATCATCAAACCTATGCATGAAAAAAAAAAGTAAGAAAAAAAGTGCCAAAGCCAAATATTTCTCCTCAAGCTATCCAATTACAAATAATTAACAGGAAAAGAACGTCCGATTCCTCATTCATTTGACAGCTTGAGATCATAAAAAAAAAAAAAAAAAAAAAAAACTAAACCAACTTACCAACTTGGTTGGATCATATGCTACTCTTAACACTAATTGTAGTAATTTAGAAGCTAGCAATTTGATTCAAAAGCACTATCATTTTTATAACTTCACATGTAATGTTGTTATTCCATTAATTTCTCTCAAATGTAAAGCCGAGGTTTGATGATATAATTAAGTTATTATTAATCTTAGGACAACTAATTCTGATGACGGGGCCTACTTTTTGCCACGTGATTCAAAAAGATTCTTACGTGGCAACCAGACAGGATCCTTTGGTTGCAGCTTTTATTCTTCTCCCTGTCCATATATATTATCCGCTTTATGATTGATTAAATTAAATAGTATTGCCACCCCTAATTAAGCTATTTTGCTCCTTCTGTCCCACAAACTTTTCCTTTACATCAATCTCTCTTTTTGTGCCTTCCTCCTTTTTGGGTTAATCTTCAATTTCTTCTTAATTACTACTACTAAATAGTTTAATCAAACAATTTGTATTGCTTCTACTCTACATGTTCCTTCGTTTTCGTACAAGTTTTCTAGCGATGTATATATGAAAATTGCTGCATTTATGTCACATTATTGTTTACATCTACACATTTTGAGATGTGTAATATTTGTTTTTGTTTTGGTTTTACTTGAAAACTCAGATCATGTATTGAAAATGTGAATGACAATCCGTATAAGATATTAGGAATAAAAAAGGCGCTGAAATTTGACTTCTGGGACTAGAATTGGCTTTTCAAATAAGCAAAAGATAGTAAAACAAAATCTGTATTATAAATAAGATCGGCGGCTTGATGGTAAAATCTAAGTTGCCCTGATCGATTTGTTCATAAGGATTTGTTAAACTCTTGGAAAAAAGATCAAATTGGACAAACTTTTGGAGATTTTAATTCTTTTTTTTTAAAAAAAAAATTATAACGTACAAAGCCAAAATCTTTGAAAATGAATGATACAAAGAAATGTGTCAACTTTCTAAAATAGATTACGTACATACTACATTAGTAATTTGACTGTAGAAAGCCATGCATGGAGACTATCGTTTTCTTGGAATGAACAGAATATGACATGCATAAAAATGTAGTCTTTGCGGGATGTGTGGGGTTAAGAGAAAGTAGTCGCAATCATATCTGCTTAAAAATAATAAATGGGGGACAACATTGTTTATTTTTAATTTCATGTCAAATTATTTGAAAATAAAAAGATTTTCGACGGATCCTAAGTATATCATGAGAAATCTATAATTTTCGCATGGGAATTCCCAGGACAAAAAAAGAGGGTTTTCTCACTTGAAATTAAGGATGTTTGATTGAAGTTTGAACGTATTAAAAAAATGGTTGTATTAAATAAACTTTATTAAAATGAGGGGTTTCTTTAATTTAGTGGCAAGCAATTGCCGAAAGATGGCATCTGAAATGCAATTCTTGTACATTGGTCTGAATGGAAGCACTATTCCACGTCACATGAATCAAACAGCCCCGAAAGAGAGCAAAAGAGGGCAAAAGTACGCTTAATTAAATATATAATTAAACAATTTATTAACGAATACTACTGTAAACAAACAGACCAAAAAGTAACTCCCTGTTTTCACTTGGCCTTAACAATATTAAATTAAGCTCCCTATGATTGATTATTTTTTCCTCGTTCTTTGAAATTTTCAGAATCAAGGGATAGAATAGTATCTTATGTTGGGTTCTTCTTGCAATTTTTTTGTAGGATTAGTTTACCTGCACAAATACGTGTTACGCCAATTATCAGGTTGAAAAAAAAAAACACCTATCAGAAAAAATATGTATTCTTTCTTAGATTTTCATTTTTTTGTTCACATTATGCAAAAAAAATCCAAATAGAGTAATAATTATTTTAAAATAGAAGAAACATATATTTTGCTAGGGAAAAAACGAATAACTAGTTTGACGGATAGATCCTCAAAACTGGTTATATTTCCTTCTGGTAATTGTCCAAACCACCGTTGTGCTTGTCCCGTGAGATAAGAAAGAAAAACTTTAGCCATGAAGTCCAACGCGGCGTTCCTGATTCTCATGAGCTGAATGTATCCGTGCAAAAATTGTTGTGGGTCAGAATCTCCTGAACTTTACGAAATCCTCGGGAAAATTGAAGTCTTGAGGTTTCGGGCACTCTCGAATCTCAGGTATGTACGAACTTCTATTCACGATCATTTCTGTCATTCTTCTCATCTCTTCTTGAACGGACAGGTTCTGGTTGCTGATTTCTCTCTGATTCTGACGGATGTAGGGTTCCCCTCGAGGATAATCTGTACCTCGAGGTACAGTCTGTCGAGATTGAGGGGATTGTCGTGGATGATAACGATCTCCTGGGTAACAATCCCCTCGAGGATAATCTGTACCTCAAGGTAGCTCTCGATATATATCATTGTTATCATGGAGGGACCGTTCCGGCTGGATTTTAGGTCCTAGTCGAGAATGCACATTAGCACTTGGTGGGGGATTCCAGTCTTTTTTCGGTCACAAACTCGACACTGGGTGAATGCTGGCGACGTTGGCTGCGAGAAGCCTTTTTGCGCTGGTATTCTTCGTCAAACTCCTCGAGTGCTATATCGAATGTAGGGTACGTTCTTTCTAAACGAATCCCAGAAGGCTATGCTACGGGTGGCAGTTGAATGTTCCTCGTGGAAGGTCTCGTGGTCCGAAGCTTCCTTGTAGCCCTCCTCTTCCAAAACCTTACGTTTGCCTTGTTTCGTTTCGAGCAGAGCCAACGTCTTGAGTGTTTCTATCTCGTCGATTATATCTCTTAACTCCTGCTCGGTTGGATCAGGTTTACCAAGCAAGCAACAACGACGGGTTTCTTACAGCACATATCTTTTCATTCTTTGATTAAGAGTACTATCGTCGCACAATTTTTTGAGTTCGGGTTCGATTTGGCTAACCGTTCTTCATCCCTCGGGGGATTCGGTGCTCTGGCTTGTTTGTTAACCTTCTCAACCTTCTCGGTAGCAGGATTAGTTGTTGATGGTTTCGTGGGAAACTTTTCCTTCCTCCTTTGTCTGTTGTCTGCCGTTCCTTTTTCACCTATGTTGTTCTTGGAACTCAGCCAAGATTGCGTCATCATTAGGGTTTCGCCATCTGGCTAATGACGTCGTGCTGGATTGAGATTCAGCAACTACAACCATCTTTCTTCGGGGAGTAACCCTGATTTGTTAATGGGAGTGAAGAGTTGCGAAAGTTTTGAAAGCTTAAGAAAGCTTGTGACACAAACTCTAGTTTTTAGGTCCCATTGGGCGTGCCACTTGACGAAACTTGAAATTGTATCACCGGTTTAATAGTGGAACTCCGGTAGGGTTTCGTTATCCTGCAACAGAAAGCGTCGGGGGTCTCCCGAGGGTAGACACTCCGGTGCTTGAGTCAGTAAAAGAGTTGTAGAAAAACGTATAATTGCTAATTGGTACTAGAGATAGCGTACCTCAATTATGGTGTGATCAACCCTATTTATAGGAATAGAATTGCCTAGTAGATGTCCGAATCCTACTAGGTCTCATATTACTGAATCGCCCTAACAGGGTCAGTTGGACCCTTTATTGGTGGATGAGCCGGTCCGATAATCTCTGTTGGATATGGACTCGTCATGCACTGACAGTTTATTAAAAGTACGTTAATTAGACAATTTATTTGATTAACCAATTCTAGTTTCTAATTCTATTGGATGCTTAAACTTTGACCAATGATCAATTTGAAGTAAAAATTGATCTCCCAAGTTCGAAAATGTAACATGGTCAGATAATCTTGAAAATAACCAACCACTTATCCAAGTAAGCTCTTTCTTTAATTTCCTAGGCGGTCGATACTATACAAAGAAGCCAATTTTAGTAATTTTTTGAATTAACGTAATTTCTTGGACAATGATTACTAGTAGTATAATTGATTTGATTAGCATTTTTTTTTTCTGAGAGGAAATTAGAGTAAAGTGATTCATTTGTAACCTGACGATATACATTTTTGTTCATGTATAATAGCAATGTAAGCCCATAATTGTTTTATTACACTTCAGAACGTAGACCATATTAAATTGCCGATTCTGAGAATTTGCCTATCAAAACTTGGGAAGCTCCATTATAGTCAAGACTTTCCATTTTGTCGAATTCAAAGGTGCATTGTTGAGCTTATGAATGGACAAGTACAAATGTTAAACGAGGAAAATTGGTTCTATGTGCTGAAAATTATTACTTTGTCCCTAAATTTATTGTAATATTTAAATTTTTTTTTAGTACAAATTATATTAAAAGTAAAATTCAAACTAGACATGTTGAACCAGAGGGAATAATAAAACAATAAAGCATATGACTCAGAATTTTTTTGCCAGGCTTAACAATTTTCTCGTTCTTGGAGATGTCCTCTAATTATTAGAAATTGAAGGATTGGCACAAACAAATTCAAATGTTGTACATTTCTCAAAGAATCTGTACACTTTACTTTGGCAGTCAAATTAATCATGCGCAGATTCTCTCGTTAATTAGGAAAATGGAAAACTGTCAGTAACTAATAACATCAATCAAAACCTTTTTGTACTTTGCACTTTCCAGCATCAATTCACAATTTGGCTATAGCAAGTGAGCACAGATTTCGATACGATTTTGACCATGTAACTGTTTTACTGTTTAAACCTTTAAGTAAAATGCAGGATTATTTGACTGATTTGGATTTTTACACCTCATTTCAACACAAAAAGTAAAAGCTATGTTCCATATAAGTGTTAGTCTTAAGTGTAAAGAAGTTTGTGAACTACATAAAAAGCAAAATTATGGTGCAAAAACTTTGCAGCTGGGCTTAAAAGTATGTTGTTGGTCTGCCTTACAGCAAAACCATTCAAGCCACATTTGGAATCAACACAGGGATAAATGCATTAAGTTAACTATATACTAAGGAGGCATCATTAGATTAGGAAAAAAAAAAAAGTTTATACTAAGAAGCAGAAGGAAACTTGACAGTTCCATCACATATTGGATTTGTGAATTCCTCGATTTTATACTTCTGATGCACTAGTTGTTGATTTTCATCCCACCATCTTTCGGCCTCTCTCTCAGTAAACTTTTTCCGGCTGCAAAAAAAAAAAAATCAAGTTGCATAAGGGCTCGGATGCCTCGGAACTGAATGGTGACAGTATTGTAATAAGAAAAAACAGTGCTCACAGAAACAAAGTCTTAGAAGGACAAAATGTGAATGAAGACTACCTGAACTTAATTCGCCGAAGGCTAATCTGTCCATTTGGTAAAGTTGCCAGAGTGATGTAGACGCCCTGTTGATACTTTTCTACCCACTCATGCATTAAGGAATTCGTTCCTTGAATTACTTGACCTGTTTTTCGGGTATTTGGTTGCTCTGCGACTGCGACATCTCCTTGATGATCTTGATCCCGGAGATGCTTTACAGTACTGGAAAAAACAATAGGCGAACTACATATACTGTCACCAGTTCTGTCTTCTATAGATTCACATGGTTCATGAACCGCACTGCCGCACCTTCGGTTCAAGGTACTATCGCGATCGCATGTAATTTGTTGTAAATTTGCACCATCTTGATGCTCAGAGTTTCTTTCAGTGGTAAGTTTCTCCGACATTGTATAAAGCTGCAACATGTTATGGAATAAACAGTTAACATTTTTTCCCCCCCCACTAAACAGCATACTATATAACCAAAATTATTCCATCAAGTTTCACTTCGGATTCATACAAGGTTGAACTAATTACGCAGATAAATAGAAGTAAAGATGAGAATCTGACAAGCTTTATGCCAGACATTCAAGAAGCACTTCTAGAGGCTACTCATGCAAAATGATAGCTGAAAAAAAGAAACATTGCAACTATGCGCATTGCAGTTTAGGTGATCATGCGGGGGGTAAAGAGCTCTTTAGTAATGGATGATTTTAATTGGAATCATCAAGTTTACCCTTGAAGTAAGCGCTTTTATAACTTCCTTCGCTGCTTTACTCTTCTCGGCTTCCTCCTTTGCAATTGACCATGCTTCCACAACTTTTTGTTGACATTCTTCAATTTTCTCCTTTCTTGTTTGGCATAGCTTTTTAAGGCTCTCAACCTAGGAAGGGCGGGGAAAACATAGTTAAACAAAGAGTGGGGAACCTTTCTTTTACAGAAAAATGAAATGGATGATGAACTAATACATAAATGATATGCAATACTTCACTCAGAAAGAGCAAAGTTGCATCAAGTATGTAGTGAACAGTGTAGATAGAAAAAAGAGTAAGTTAGTACTTCGATTTTTAGCCTGTCAACTTCTGCAGCAAGGAGTTTATCAAATTGTGACAAATTTCTCCCTTCTTTAACGACAGCCACAGTTGGAGTTTGTATAACAGGACGAAGGTCTTGGTAAACTGCAACAGTAGATGATAACTGAGTCTTCAGAGATGGTAACTTCGAAGATAAACTGGGGATCGTCTGGTCTCGGCTTTGTATTTTAAATGATTCAGAGCAGGGAACCTGTTCCCATCTCTGTAATCCACCCAGGATAGGTGCAGTCAAGTCTAATGGTGGCTGCTTGTCTTTGTCATCCAAAGAGGTTTTTGTCAATTTTCTTCGACTCCAAGCACCACTTGCCTCACCACTATATTCCTTGTCATCAGGCATCACCTTCTGTGGTAGTGACAAGGGTCTTGGGCTTTGTGCTTCAAGTTTTTGTAGCCCTCCAGAATCAGCTACTCTTAAAAGCTTTTTGAAACATGGATCACATACTCGAAAAGGTTTCGCCTTGGTTGGTGCTAAAGATGCATTAGTAGCTTTCTTGCTACAGCAACCACGGCAGAAAAGAAGACCACAATTGTAGCAGTTCTGCTTCTTTCTGGTGAAACCAAAAGCTGTGCCACATCCTCTGCAAAATGCTTGGTCAGTAGTATCCAGAGATTTGTGCAAACAAATAGCACCTGTACTATTTGATCCACAAGTAATATGCTCTACCTGCCTGTCCCTTAAGGCCTCAACCAATGTTGGATGGTTTCTGTCCCTTGTATCACCCAATCCCAACTGTCCATTTGCACCTTTTCCCCATGTAAAAACATTGCCCCTCGATGTCAATGCAGCAATGTGGAAAGATCCTGCGGATATACTTTTAACATACTCGTCTCTTATTTTCCCTTGAACAATCGTGATTGATTTATCCCGAGCATGAGGATTTCCCAGTTGTCCGTGAACTGCACTCCCCATTGCATAGACCTTACCCATATTCGTTAATCCTACTGTTAACATATCTCCACAGGCAACTTGAACAAAATCATGATCAACAAGCTCTGTTACGCATGTTGGTAAAAGCTTCCTTTCTTGATCAGAGTGGCCAAGCTTTCCTTTATCTCCATCTCCCCATGTGAATAATTTTCCTCCTTTTCGCATTATTCTCGAACTATCGGTCTTCACTTCCACTATCGCAGCTGTATGCCACGGACCACAGGCGACAGACTTTACCCAAAACCCAGAAAGAGATTCAACTTCTTTAGGTTGAGAAACACTCAAGACATTTCCATGGCCAAGTACTCCAAAAGTACCATCTCCAAATGTAAATAACTGCCCAGTTGCAGAAACTGCTGCTGTATGCCACTGCCCACAAGCAACATTGACTATGGAAACACCATCAAGAACCCCAGATAGTCTATGAGGGAGCCAATGGCATAGCTTGCTTTCCCCACCCAATGAATCAGCATTACATCCATTGTCACCCCAGGTGTATAACTCACCGGAATCTGTCAGAGTAGTGGTGTGATATTCACCACATGAAACAGATTTTGCAAACAACCCAGAAAGGGAGCCAACTATTTTTGGAATGGGAGTGTCTGCATCGATTTTGTGCCCCAGCCTCCCCTTCTTACCTTCACCCCAACAGAAGACTTCGCCTTGCTTGGTAACTAGAGCAGCATGTTTCGTGCCCAAAGACAATGATTGTACATCAAGCATCATAGTAGAATCCATCACTTTGGGTATTAATGCATCGCATTGCACATCCCCACCAGCAAAACATCCTCCATCTACTCCTTCTCCCCAAATCAGAAGATCTCTCAATGTTTCCATCTTAATTTGAGCAGTACCATGAGGAGGTTTCCCATACTGACTAAGATTGTGTGTCTGGTTTTCTACCTTGCCACAATTAGCTTCCCCTTGCTTTTGATATGGTGAACTGGTCAACATATCCACCACACTTTGCCTACTTGACACACTTGAATTAGAGTAAAAGCTACCAGAAGAACAGGATAAGTCATCTGAACACCTCTCTGACAAAGATTGCATGGGACTTCCATTTACACTGTGAACCTGCATGTTGGAAAAACTGCATCAAGTTATGAAAACATTAAGAAAAGACTGGTAGATTGAATATTGGACACCAGTAAAACTTGCTCAAGAAATGTAAATAAAACTTTCTAGGAAGAAAAGAAAAAATCTTGGGGAGTCATTCCTATCAGAGAAACAAATCAGCATGCGAATAGCCAAGTCAGACACATGAACGTAGTGTTTTCACTACCCAGAAAAACTCTGCTCTATTTTCAAAGGACACCAAGTACAAAGATGGCAGTAAGAACCTGAGATGACTTGGTTGTTCCGTCTGAGAGTCCTATAATCTGCTTCATCCTCATAAAACTTGCTGGGCTGCTTACACAACTTTGACTCCCTCTTTGATTCTTCAATGAGCAAAACAATCTCTGAGTGTGATTCCTTGATATTATAGCTTTCAAGCCTAAATACCAGGAATCAGCCTGCTCTTTGTCCTTGCAAATCTACACATCAAAGGTAGAACCAAGTATGGACTATTTTTAATGATACAGGAAACAAAACATTTTAACCATAGAAAAAGGTTGCATTTGCTTAAAATCCAATACCAGATTGAGAGAGCGCTCGCCATTTGCATAGATAACTGAAAGACTTTGACTTTCTTTTTCTGGTTGCATTTGTTTCTGAGATTCATTAATCATTATAAGTGATAAACATCCCAATGAGAACTAGTATGATATGAGAGGAAACAACAAATGATTAAAATAAAAAATGGTTCATTAACTCACAAGATTTTGGCCACGAGTTATGCTTGTTGCCGAACTTAGTTTCATTTGCTTTTCCATCTGACCAGAGAACCAAATCAAAGATTTCTCATCCTGAAATGAAAACCACCCTTCAGGAACTGGTAAAGAACGAGAGCTATTCAGTGATGATTAGGGATAGTGACCTCCCAGAACATTAAAAAAATTGATCATCTTAAAGATCACAGGATGAATACAATCCAATACGATCAACTTAAAGTTTTTGCAATGGTTAACTAGATAAATGAGTGTTGTGATGCAAATTTGCAATGACTATGCTTACCATGGAGAGCCTGAATGGGCAGAATTTGGGCTTTCCTCTTCTGCCATACTTCAGGAGCTGTGCACCCTTCTTCAATGATACTATTGCCTGCATGAAGTTTAAAAAAAAATTAAAAAAAAGAAGCCACATTACTAGAGCCCAAAATTTCGCAAAAGCAGATTTTCTCATTAGACAAGAATTTCTGACAGAGTAACTCAGAAAGGACTCCTTTAACTTAATTTGGCATTTCTGGGCAATCCGACAAGGTTAGGCAATATTCTGGGATGATGTAAACATAGAGGAATACATTACATACATTAGTCATAGTGAGAAAATAAGTCCCAAGTATGGAATGCAGGACAACGACCACAACTGCAATGATGAGTAAATTGGAGCCAGGGAGGGGGACTAAGAATGCTTAAAATCTATAGCTAATTCATTTGGAGCTATTGGTAGATTTTAAGCCTATCCACAAAGCTCTTTAAGCGTTATAACAAACTTTCATATCCATCAAAACTTTTCATCAACGTTAACTAGAGAGATTTCCATCACTTTAATTGCTTCAAATGGAACTTCTTTGCACCAGTGATATTGAGTGCAAAAGTTCTAAACTCTAATTTAACAAGTACATGACTGCATCATAATTGCGAAGATGAATCGAAGTTCAGTTTGAACTCATAAAACTGAAAACCTTGTACACAGATGCTCAGAGTTTGGCATTAGGATCAAAGTGACATCTCAAAAGTGAAAACACATTCATAAAACCATAAACAACAAAAACCGAAAATAAAGGTAAGCTCTTGCCCATTCAGAGCAGGAAAAATAACAGGGTTATGGAACTGCATTGCTACAACTAGCAGGGCAAATTGGCATGGCACAAAACCCAAGTTTTCTTTCACTCAAAGACCAACTTTATAATTATCCATCAAACAACACATCAAGAATGCCAGAATGGTCATTATCCCAGCACCCCTGAAAATCATTTTCCCTATAAAAAAAAAGTTAAAAAAAAAACTAGAAAGAATCTCATGAAAAAGACATGATACTGCAGAAATGATTGAATTGAAAGAGATAGAGACAGAGATGAACCTGTTCAACTGCTCTATCAGAAGGCCACACTGGTAACTGATCATCACCCATTTTTTTTTCTTCTGACCAGAATTTCATGTACAGTTGAAGAAGATGCTCATTGAAATGGGTAGAGGATAAAAAGAAAGAAACAAAAAGACAATGCAGGGGAAGAAGGGAAGGGAGACAAGTGAAACAGAGAAAACAACCCTTCGGTTTCCTTACAAGGGAACCTTAACAAAACAGAATATGTGAAGAAGCATAAACACACAGTTATAGTCAGTGGAGGTAATAACACCACCCCTGAATACTGTTGCTTAGTTGCATTACGAGTTTACAGTAGTGCCATATTAAAAAGACAGTAAAGAAACAGAGGAAATAAAAATCATGAAGAATTGGAAGTTAAAAAAGAGTTGAAAAGGGAAAACAAAGGAAGAAAAAAAAAAGGGACAGGATTTTGAAGAACAGTGGGGATCCCCTTCACATCACTTCACTTCAATCCTTCTTTTTGTTTTTGCTTTTCTTGGTTAGTGTAATGATCCTTATTCTTCTTCTGCCATCATTACAAATTTCTTTCACTTTGGGTTCTGTGCAAATGAGAAGAAGAAAAGAATACACAGTACAGTGATTGATTGTCACTCTTTTACTAAACCCGCACGTGTTCAGCATTAAAACATCTTACATTGTACTCCTAATTCATAGTTTAACCAAAAATCTACAAGAAATACTCATTCCTTTGAGGGCTTACTCTAAAAAGATTTTTCTTGCACTAACTGAAGGGTAATTCCTTATAAAGACTGAAACTTGAAAGAGATTCTTTCCATGAGTCATTTCTGGGATTTTTTGCTCTTGCATTACTGAATCTAATTACTAAAAACTTTTAACAGTTTAAAATTTACATGGTTTTACTTTGGACAAAAAAGGACAAGTATCATATACTTTTCAGACATGATGACTAACTATTGTAGATTCTTTCTGAAAATGGATTTCCAGTAAAAAAATAAAAAAAAAATTCAGGAAAAGAGAGAAGAAGAAATGAAGAAAAACAAATTTTATTCTTTGACCATTAGTGAAGTTTGTGCAATGCAACATACACATAGACTAAGTAACCAATTAGTGTAGCAAGACAAGAACGTTACTTTTGCCTACTAAATAAGGAACCTAAAATTATTGATAAATAGTATTGAAAGGGTTTGTTCTAGTCCAAATTCAAGGTAATATATACTCCATCCGGGGGGTTTACTTGATATCATTTATTGTCCCAAATTTTTGTCAGTGGAGAAGATGACCAAAAGAGCCCCTTATAGTCTTATAAGTCGTACGTACAGGTCCCCATTGTTTCAGTGGGTTTGTTTGAACGTAGATAAATAATGTAAGTAAGAGAGATCAATCATCAAATGCTTCCAAAGTTAGGTTAGCAAAAAAAAAAAAAAAAAAGTCAGCCAAATTTTAAAAAAGGATTTCTACCTTAGCTACTCAGTGCTGACCCCCATATGGTAATTGATCATAATTATTAGACCGTGCATATCTTCCATTATAAATTATGATTTGGTAAAATCTTTATAAAATCGAGTAGAAATATTCTTTTTCATTATTGATTGTGCGCACCATTTGAACACAACCACATCATCAAATGGTTGATGATATATATATATATATATAATTATTCTTTCCATATGAGTAGTTGTAGAACTATTGAATCTAATAGTGTGACAATCGGATCACATTTTGTATTTGTAGGCTGATTGGTGAAAGCATTTCTATGATCACTCTTTCCGTCCCATGATAAAAATCCTACTAATATTAACCAGCACAAAAAGTGAGGAGTGGAAAAAGGGGACATTTTTAGTAGTACTACAAAATTGGAAGCAGCCGTGCTTAGTTTTGTGTGTGTGCATGAATTCCTATATGATTGTTTTAACTTGTAGAACGCGTGTGTACTTGTGCTCTATACATATACTTCGAGCATTGAACCACACATTAATTTAAACATTTGTGGTTTGGTCATTTTCCACAATTACAAAATTTCAATTTTGCCAATTTTGATGTGATTCTTTAGTGATATGATTGATTAAATTGTTGGAGTGTCTTAAATCTCTTTTAAGCTTTCATCATTTTAGTTGTTCCGCCCAACAATTGGATAACTTACTCCTCACATGGCCATTACTACTAGTTAAGTATATTAAATAAATTAGTACACTTGCTTTTTGACCTGACAGTAGCTGAAAGAGTGTAAATATTTGTAGTTGTAATTGGAGCATCTGAAGAAAAGCCTCTGCAACTGTGTGAGTTCAGAAAGTGTTCATTATAAGCCCTATGAAAATGGCTATGGGGTAGCCGATTATATAAAACGCATGCATAAAGCGATTAGGGAAAGGGAATCCGCCCCTTTAATTGCTGAGTTACAAAATTTATGACTATTGTGGGCTACTTGTATAGGATCATGCAGTCAAAATTTCACAATCATCGCCCTAACCATAGTCTATAATTGTTTTTCTTAATTTTTTTTTTTAATGTTTACTTTTGTACTGGTTTTTTGCAAGTGCAAAGAAATTTGAATCAACGTTGGTACCCAATTAACGGTTTTGGCTTTTGGGTTGATGCATGTAGGTACATATCAATATCAGTACTCCCTCCGTCTCATAATTACTGTCCAATTTGGGTTTTCATTTCTAGTTCAAATTATACTAAAACTGAAATCTCAAATTCGACAATAATTTTGGGACAGAGAGAATATAATTTATGCAAGAATAAAAGCATTAATGGCAAGAACATAATTTTTGTGATTGTCACTGATTAAAATCACTTAACTAAAACATGTACGAGTGTCACTGTGCTGTTAGGTGCGAACGAGCAAGGCTGGATTGGTTGTAGCAGCATTAAAAACTTTTTCAACCTTATAAGCTACTATCTTTTGCAAATTTTTGCGAAACTGGAATAAGGCATGTGATTTTTATAATTGTCTTATTACTTCAAAATAATTATTTTACTAAGCTTACTATCATTTCTGGAAAAAAAAGAATGAGTATTTTACAACCTGCTGCAGCATGGGGGTGGGGGGTGTTCAGTTATTGTATTTAGTTCATTGCCTAGACAAGAATGAACATTGTTGACAGCTACAAAGATCATATGTTGGAATACATTACAGTAATTGCAGGGATAATGCATGTTGCAGATCCCTGTGTGTTTGTGATCTTGTCTACTCTCTACAAATTATAAAACATTTGCATTAAATCCTCCAAGGCCCATCCTAAGATAACATAATACCTACTTCCATCAAACCCATTGCATTAACAAAAGGAATTGAAGAATTAATAAGAATGATTAGTATAAAACATCAGTAAGCCATAGTCACGAAGATCGGGTGAAATGGTAAAATTAAATAGTTATTATCACGAGATTTTAGTTCAAAATTTTATTAAAAAAAAAAGCGGTCCGATTTTACCCATGGACATCAATTGGTAATGTCATATATCTTGATTTAAATGCAACATCATAACAGATGACAAGTACTTTGCATTAGGGCAAAATCATCAAATTTGACACATTTGTTTCTACCTGTCCATAATCTTCCGTTTGTATTCATTATGTTGGTATTACTTACAATGACCATATAAACTGAAAGAGAGCACACAACTAAAATGGTATCAATGACAGTTCTTTTCAACTCAAGGTAACTAAGATTATACAAATTGTGATAAAATGGTATTCTTAACTCTTAATTAGCAGCCTTTTAGTGGAAATGTTTTAATGTAAGTTAGGGTGTTAGGGGACCACGTGGGAAGGCTTCTCAGCAAAGAACACAAGTCAAGAGATTATTACCTCACAACTACCTAACATCTTAGCAATTGGTAGGGCAGTTCACATGAGGGTTGTCCCAAAATGAAAATATTTTTAAAAAAATGTGGGCATATCCCTCCATTGAAGTCCATCTAGTGATTATTTTAATTGAAGTATGGTATATCAAGCTTTATGTCCACATGCCATAGGGCTAATGTACAAGAAACATTAGGTACCCCCTCCTTATTGACAAAGGGAAGAAGACATGCTAGAAAGTTGTTCATACTTCATTCATATAACCCCTAGCCTATATTGGCCCTATGTGTATTTGATCCAACAACACATCCTTAAAGATTTGTCAAATCTAATAGGATATAATAGACCCTTTGATTTTGTTCATCGATTTTATTTTTTATTTTTTACCTCTTTTCACATCAACTAGCTTTGCTTGATTGCTAGTTCTTTGCCTTTATGTTGAACCTAAAGTGTTGTTCACCCAATGCAAATTAAAACAATTGGCGAATGCAGATTGACGTTATTATGGAGATGGTTTAAAATCTCATTAGAATAGTCCCAAAAAAAAAAGAGTAGAAAAGGAAATCATATTGATACCATAGAGTATTTGTCATGAAATGAAATTTTTAGCAATTTGCTTTTAGTTCAACCAACAAAGTTGAACTGTAAAGGCTGCCTAGGAGAAGAGCCTATGTTGGACTTATTCGATCCCTTACGTGCACATAACTTTTATTGTGAGCAAACAAACATAAAGAAAAGGCCAAAAAAAAAGAAAAGGGCTTTGATGAAGAAGAGAAACATTCGAGCCCAACTCAACCAAAAGATGCAAAAGAAAATGTTTTTGGAACAAAAAAACAAATGCAAATTATTGCGCTCATTTTAATCTTCTTGGTTACTACTCCAACCCATGCATCTTCCTCATTTGGGTGACGAACCCGATAACGTGTTGAGGATCAGCAAGAGATTTGGCAACACTTATTCTTTCCGAACATCTTTTGATCCATGCGGACAGCTTAGGAAATTTATCTTCAACCTTAAAGTTACCGAATTTCTCATAAGCTGGGAACCAATTGGTCATTGCGATGGCTATGATATCAAGAAACCCGAAGCTATCACCCCCGAAATAACCCTTGTCCGACAAAGCGCCCTCTACGCATTTCAAAACTTCAAAGAATTCGTTCTTTGCTGCTTCCAGTTCATCAGCGCCTCCGGCCTTCCAAATGCTTCCGCCACTCTCAAACAACTGCATCACAAAACCTCATTAGCTAAAATATATATAAGCGAAAAATGTTGCAAAACAATAATTTTTAGTGATGAGCTCCTAACTTTCTTGTCGATGAAGTCGGCCCAGAATCGAGCCCGGGATCGTTCATAGGAAGATGAAGGCAAAAGAGGAGGAGAAGGAAAGGTTTCATCAATGAACTGCACAATGATGGTGGACTCGCAAATAGGTTTGCCATCATGCAATAAAACAGGAACTTTTTGGTGGATGGGATTTGATTTCAGAAGCAATTCACTTTTCCCTCCAAACAGGTTTTCTTCCTGATGCTTATAGGCTATGCCTTTCTCTTCCAATGCAATTTTAACTCTTTGGCAAAATGGGCTCAGGGGAAAATCAAGAAGCAGAAGATCTTCTTTTGCCATTCTTTCCTTTTCCCCGGATTGATTACTTTTCTTTCTTTGATTTCAGTTAGCTCTGATGAACATGACTAGCACACGTATAGGTTTATATAGTTAACTTTGTCCTTAATTATCCTAGGCAAATACGCTTCTGAATTAACGACACAATTAAAAAGAGAGCATTGTTAGGCTCGTCAGAAATGATGGATATTGCGTTTGTCTTTTGAGTTAATCAAGGGACGGTATATACTTCACAGCCACAAAGATGGTACACTAGTGCTGACAAAAAAGCCGTGAAAACCAATAATAAGGAGAGAGATCACAGTTAACTGACCCTAGCAAAGTAAACTCATATTTCATTAGTTTTTGTAATTGAAAGTTGAAACGTTCCCAGAAATCAATGATAATAAACACTAAAACCATTCACATTTCATTTGTTCTGTACACTGTGCAGCGGTAAAATAATGCTTGAATTTTGTTAGTATTTTGTAAGGTGTCAAATCCTAGATACCAAAACGATTATCCAACTCTGACATATACAATGATGTGAATGTAGTGCTCGGGATTCATTAGGTTGTTTACCACCCAAGCAAAGGGAATCTCCAATTTTGGTTCGATGCCCTGAATGCGAATTAGCTTTAGTTCAGGTGTGTCCGACAGTGAGCAAGATTTTAGACGTTCCTGTAACATTTCTTCTGCTTCATCAGTGCCAGTAGCACCACTGCCTGCCGCTTCAGGTTCTAATTTCTCGTTTTCCTTCACATTTGGCGAACAAGCACTATCCTTGGGCAAAGTTTTGTTGGGGAAAAACTCAGGCAAAAGAGATTTGATGGCATCACCCAAAGTGAAGCAATTGCCTGCAACCATTAACAAACAGGGTGGCCGGTGGCGTGAATAATACTTTATTCTTCAAAGCATAAATCAACCAACAGTATTCCTAGTCAAATAGGTCATTATGAACCAGTAACACAGGATGAAAAACACAACCAGTATCCATCACGAGGAATTTCTCATCTTTAGACGTTAACACTCATTATTAGAAAAAGGGCTAAAAACCAGGGGGAAAGGTAGCACGAGAGTAAGACCAAAATAAACAAATCCTGTGATCACCAAATAACATCAGATTTCCACTTTTATATACCCAATTTCTGACCATAACAGCCACTTGCCAACTTCAAACAAAAAGTCGAAAGTAATTACTTCAATCAACAACAACCAATTACTTTGATCAACAAAACATTTATCTTACCGTCATCATTAATCTCAACCGGGCGGTTTATATAAGATATATTGTCCCAACTATCAATCACAGGTAAATCCTCCAAGTCATCAAAATCTTCATTGAAACTTCGGATGTACAACCTAATTGGAATTCTACCTGCCAGAGCAAATATCAGATAAAAGATGAACATGACCTAAAAATGAGCATCAGATATTTTTCTTTTTTTAAGGTTAGCTTCTCAATCAGAATCACTGTTCCTCTCAATCATGTCAAAGTGAAAAGAAACAGAAGCAACTTGAAGAATAGAGCCTTGAACATCTAAATAAAGTAAAACTTAAAAAGTAAAATTCATTACTTCTTCATCTTAAAAACTGCAGAGGAGCCAATGCATACAAATGATTTCACAAAGTTGAGCCCAGACAAAAATTTGCACATAATCTTACCTGCTTTAGTTGGTCCACTAGCATCTGCCTCAGTAGAAGCCTCCCGAGATTTTAAAGAGGATATGTTCAACTTCATTGACAGGTCATCCGCAGTAAAGCCAAATTTCAGTTTTGATGCAAAATGTAGGTATGATTCCAAGTTACCTGACCAAGGTCATTGATATGGGATCAAATGCAGTTCACATCAAATGCTATGTCAATTATGAAGATGCTAACTGCTAAAAAACATACCATTTAAGACAGAGCGCCAAAGTTCTGACTGATCATGTTGTGACATATTCATAACATTTTTGCAGTTCCCATTGATTATATACGCAGCCTGCACATATATTAAGGCATCTGTTTTTTAGAATGTATGAAATTCCACTAAGCATAGCATTTCAAGATAATCAGAGGTGTTATACAGAAGAGAGTCATTTTTTCACAAAAATTAGCTCTGATCAACTACAATATCAAACAATGCCAAGTACAGATAATATTGATCCTCAATCCTTTCTGCAAGCAATAAGTAGGATTTCATTCCAAGATTGCTGATGGTTTAACAGCTGGAATCTAGGTTCAAAAGTGAGCATTTTAATCATGTTTGCAAGCACATTTCACATCTTTCATGTATGAATACAGACAATATTTACTAAAAACAGCTTTACTTAATTAAGAACTTGAAAGAAAGAAAGAGAGAGAAAGAGGGAAACACCTCCCCCAAACATACACCAGCTAAACACATAGACTTTGCCTAACCTCTTTCAACGAATTAATGAAGCTCCATTTCACACTATCTTCACCTTCACAAGAACTCAAGACATTTCCAGGATATCCCCTAAAATGGACCTGCAACAAATTCATTTATCAGAAACTTTTTCGTTTGGGAAAAAAGTTATTAGGCCTGAACTTTAGCCATCCAAAAAAAGGAGAATCTTAATCTTTTAACAATTAGAAAAGATATGAATCAGAATCCTTGTATTAGTTTCAAATCAAGACATTAGCATAAAGGGAAAAAACTCCTTTGGACCTAGAGGCACCAATCAAGCATATAATTTTGTTCAAAAGATAATCAAAGTCAGACACATCAATCGAAACATAAAACCCCTTCAGCTGCAATCAGTGTCTTCAGTATGACATTTTAATCAAACAGCTCCTTTTGGTGCATTAAATGACCAAAGGAAATACTCCGTAGAACAGCACAGAGGTGTCTGTAGATTGCCAAAGATGAGGCACCCCTCATGATGATGGCTATAAAATACTGGTCAAACTTATTCCCTCTTTGTCAAAATGATTGTCATGTTTGGATTTTCACTTTCAATGCAATTTGTACTAAAAATGGAAATCCAAACCGGGACAATCATTTCGAGATGGAGGGGGAAAAAAAGGTTCACGGAAGTTACTAGAGTGAGAAACTTATACCGTTAGATTCCAAGGCCTCTCCGGTTCGGAACAAAGAAGATCAAAAAGAACCCCCGTTGGTATATACCTGGAAAAGGCACCCTTGTTTCAGTTAAGATAGAGAAAGATAAAAGACGATAAGAAGATAAACCAAACGTGTCGTACAGAGGCAACACACGTGAGCCTAATATTACGAGTACGATTAAAGTTTTGATTCCATGCCATAAGTACAGCACATCATCTAAAGTAGTACATATAGCTACCAGGCAACAAGGAGGGACAAGCCAAAACGACGACAATTTTGTGCAATTAAGTCTATGAATTAGAGACGATATGAACAAACAATCTCAGCAATTAATGAAGCAGTTTCAGGCCGCTAAACCTGCTCTTATTGATGATTTGACTAAGCAGTTAGTATTGTAAATCATGCCAATCAAACTTAAGTAAAAGCCATCTATGATCATGGTTGTCCTGATGTGATAAATATCTGAACATATAGCAGCGTACCACTTAAGAGGTAGTCCTTTGTACTCGAACCATACGGTGTCGACACCTGGAGGAAGTGTACTACTGAAGTACGGCTTGATCTGCGATACTAACAGGGGCAGATATCCTATACGAGGAGCCAAAATCTGAAACAGAGAAACTGAAACCGTAACTAAATCAGGAGAGCCAAATCACCGGCAAGCAGCAGACAATAGACGAAACCCAAGAAGAATTCCAAATCATATTGGGAAAAAGCAATTGCCAGTAAGCATGATAAGTTACAATCAAGAAAATTGTGTTATTTGGAGAAGTTCTGGAAAACCAAAAAAGCTGAGAAGATGGTCATCATGGTCACAGAGAGGGGGGAAAACCCTGTCTGATTTGAGAATTGGTAATTAATTACCGACTATTATGTGATAGCCATCAGCTTCACTGATAATAGCTATCTACTAAATTATTATACATACAGTTCTACCAGAAGTATTGACTAAACATATAATAGTTCGCTAGGATACATGATAGCTTCTAACAAAACCAAGGAGATAAAAGTGGCTCAACCACAATTAAAACCTTAACTCAATCATAAGGGTCTAAAAAATCAGTCAACAGAAGAAAAGGTTGATGGTTTAATTCTTGCAGGCAAAATGCCATGAAAATAAGTAAAATCTATCATCAGAAGTGTGATATTGAGAATTTCCTTCATAAGCACAAAAGCATACAACTAATTAGCAATTAAACTTATGAGTTTCCAAACAGATCATAGATCAACTACCACATTCGTGTGAGGCGTGCAACTATAAACAGTACATCAGAGTATCCACGAGTTCTAAAATGCAAAAATCCAAAAAAACATGAGCAGCATTATCAGAATGTAACAAGCATAACAATGCTTAATCTGGTTTTGATCAAACCCCAAACTCCCGAGGGGAAACAGGAATTATGAATGTAAACCTCGATAACAATTAGAGCAACATTCATGAAATCGTCTCACCATATTCCTAAAAGAAATCAGGAGCAAATACATGGCTATACTTCCAGATAAATGAATTTCCACGCGCTTAAACTTCAATATCAATAGAATTAACAGGCAAGACTCTACGCCACCACATTAATCGACAATCAAGAAATTAAAACGACCGAACTCAAGAAAACGCATGAAGGTCAAAAGAGAGTGGACTTCAGTCATAAACCAACCAAGAAAAGTTAAGAAAATAAACAATCATAATTCAAAAAATCAGTAAAACAAAGAAACGAGGCAAACGCGAATTTGTGGATAACCATAGCAGGGGAAGGGGGAGGAAGAGTGGTGACTTCGGATTCATGGAGATGAATTTGAAGAGGTATGGCTCCTTCCCACACCAATTTCTGAGCTTCTCTTGATTTGTCGTTCTTCGCCATTCCCCAAAAAAAAACCTATACGAAAAAATCTCAGCTGTTCACAATGCTTGTATGATCCGAGGGTTTTAAGAAGTGATGAGAAATTCGTCAGAGAAGGCGGTGAAGAATCATCTTCTGAATTAAGCAGCAGATAGTTTTCGTGATTTTCGCAGTGATGAAGAAGCTTCAAGCTTTTCGCTCGCTCGCTCGCTCGCCAATTATTATTGGAGATGTTGTTGAGTTTCACACGCTTTCTCGTTGAAATTTTAGATTTTCCTTCGTTTAGCCTACGCTTTCTTCTTGATACAATATATTTATACATCATTTTATTTTATTTTACCCATAGAAAAATATAAATAAAATTTTTATTTTGATAACTTATGTAAGAGCAAATTACAAATGAGTTGAAGAGTAAATGTTGAATCTTCTTTTCTTTTGTGTTATCATAAAACAAACAATGAAACAGTCCAATTATTGGACTACTATCATAATATCTTGAATTATTCATTAGTTTGATAGTGGTTCTTTTTCCTGTTCTTTTCTACCTAAATTTTCATAAACACATAAACCGTTAATAAAAAATTAATACTTTTGGTGAGAAAAAAAAAAAAGAGGAATAATAAGATTTTTGTAAAGCTCAGCTAGAAATTTGAAGGGCAAAAAAATGAATAATCAAACTAGTAGATCATCAAGTTTACTTTTTCGGTCTCGAAAATAAGAATCATGGTTATTGTAAAAAAAAAATTACAAGTAAAAATCTTTTTTCGGAAAGGTAATTCTTGAAAATAATATACATTCATTTTTTTTTTTTTGTTGGACCATCAAATATTTCTTTTCCTTTTCTTCGCAGTGACAAATTAAGTGTAAATTAAGTGTAACTGAAATGAGAATATTAAGAATTGTTCAAAAAGAACACGGGTAAAAAATAAAATAGTGTTCCTTGTAAACTGGGCTCAAGTAAGAAGACCCAATAGCCCGGCCCACTATTCTTGTATCAAATGAAGTTGCGGCAAAACGGCAACAAAATTTCAGGGGAAATGAAGCCCACCGCCGATCCAGCATCATTGCAGCAAAACCGGAAAGATAAAAAACAAGGAAAAGCTCGTTAGTGAGTCACCATCAACCTCCTCTCTCCCTCGGCTTCTCCAGCATCTTCAAAACCGTCTCTATCATCTACCAGAAGGAAAAAAAAACACACACACACTCACACAGTAATAAAACTCTCCCGAGTTCCCTTATTTCACAATCCACACAGTACCTTTACCTTACTCAATCCACCCACCAACGTTCTTGACCTAGACTCTTGAACCCCATAATTCAACTCCAGATACGAAAGAGAGGAACACACACAAAAAAAAAAAAAAAAACCCGGAAAGAAAGTTATTTTCGTTTAATTCGTTGTTTGTTCAGGTGCAAATGTGAAAAATCTTTGCTACCCAACTTGAAGAATTGTCGAAATAATGTTTGGGGCCGTCCAATTTGGAGTCTTGGCGGCCTGTGTTGTGCTGTTTGTACCGATGGGAATGGCGGGTTGGCACTTGAGCCGCAACAAAGTCCTCTTTTTTAGCGGTGCCCTTTTCATTACCCTCGCGGTAGGTGTTCATTTGACTCCATATTTCCCGGCATTTTCCAGTATGCTTTCTTCGTCGCCTTCGTTATCATCGTTGCCTTCATCGCCTGTTGTATCTTCTGTAAATCGGGATTCTTGTATCGCTTGGCTCCATGATATTGAATTTCAGAATAATATAGATTCAAACTCTAGTGTTAGTCATACCAAGTCCTCCTGGAAGTGGAGGGATTCCAGCAACCGTTTAGTGGATTGTGTGTTTCAGAAGTTGAGTAAATCTGACGCCTCTGATTTGTTAAACGGATCCTGGGTTGTAGTGGCAGGTGATTCGCAAGCGAGGTTAATGGTGGTTTCTTTGTTAGAACTGTTAGTGGGTTTGGAAGAGATCGAAAGGGTTAGAGAAGATCTGTTCAAGAGGCATAGTGATTATCATACTACTGTTAATTCTATTGGTATGAAGTTGGATTTTATTTGGGCGCCTTATGTTAGTAACTTGACGAATTTCTTGGTTGAATTGAGGGAGAAAAGGTATTTCCCGGATGTTATCGTAATGGGTGCAGGGTTATGGGATATGTTGCATGTGAATAACGCCTCTGAGTATGGTGTTTCAGTTAAGATGTTGAAGGATTCTGTTATGCCAATGTTGCCTGTTACTCCTGCATTCGAATTCGAGGATAGGCCAGTGGAGGTTCGATCACCTCATATGTTTTGGCTGGGGATGCCGACATTGGTTAACTCAATGTTAAATACGGAAGCGAAGAGGGAGAAGATGACCGATGATATGTGGTATGCTTATGACGAGCAAATTTATGAAAGTAAGCTCGTGCGCAAGTTTGGGGGACCACTTTTCTTATTGGATATCCACTCTTTGAGCGGCAGGTGTGGATCGCTTTGTACTGACGATGGGATGCACTATCATGGGGTCGTTTATGATGCTGCCGTGCATGTCATGTTGAATGCACTACTTTTTGAGTCCCAGCAGAGGTTGACATGAAGCAATTTTGTTTCACTTAGTTCATTGATGAAGTTAGAATATGGAGGAGCGAAGTGGTTTCTCCGTTACTTTTGGCTCTTGGTTGGTTCAATTTTGCAGTCTCAATTATTACAAGCCAGCTTCACCTTGGCACATCAATGACATGGTCAGAAAATTTTCTTTTGTCGCTATTGTATAGGGTAGTTTATCATACATTGATGTCCAATTTGTATGCATACTGATACTTAGACAACTTGTATCTGATAGTCAAAGAAGCCACCTGTCTCACATCCCATTTTGATTTGAATATAAGGACCTGTATCATTGTGACTCATGCTTATCAATTTTAAGAAATTCTATTCCGGCCCTTGTCTTAACTTCGTACTTGGCTTTGGATATTTTTTTATACTTTCAGGTGGTGAAACATACAAGTTCCAATTTAGAAATAAAGTACATGCTTTCTGCCTTTTGTTTATGCATCTCAATTCTCACCTTACATTCCCAATAGTTTATGAACTTTGTTTATATTGACCTAAAAAGGTTATGTTGGATATGTTTCTTCAAAGTTGGATATTTTGCAGCTCTATTTCCTTAAAAAAGGTTGGCTACTACTCCACGTTTTGTTTTGTGTCTTTCTTTATGGAAAGTTAGTGATATTTAGGATATGATTCGGCACAATAAGTATGCATACATTTTCCATGTTCAATGTTTCACATATATGGAGAATACTTCTGTTTTCTTAAAAGATTTAGAGGAAAAATCAGAAGACGCTTTTGTTTACAACAAAAAGATCATCTGTGATAGTGAGAGTATTTATAATACAGATAGAGCTTTTTGTGGAAGCTACTATTCTAACCATCATTTAAGTTAACAAATAAAAAAGCCGCCAAATCTGACGAATCTTATGAAACATGTGAGTAAGTGAAGTAAAGGAAGCTACTGTATAGGCTTTCCCTAAAATTGACACGTGTTGCCCAACCTAATGACCACTTAGGTATCTTGACACCTAGACAGAAATAAACACGAAAAAAAAAAATCAATTTCATTTAGTTCTTTTGTTCAGGTCCAAATGTGAGAATATCTGAAATCCCACTTCAAAAGTGTAGAAATTATATTGGGGCTGTCCGATTTGGAGTCTTTGCAGCCTGCTATTGCTCTTTGTAGCGATGGAAATGGTGGATTGGCACTTGAGCCGAAACAAGGTGTTGTTATATAGCTGTGCCCTTTTCATTACAGTTACAATAGGTCTTCATTTGACTCTATATTTCCAAACATTCTTCGTTATCATCAATTCGTCATCATCATCATTGCCTGCATCACCTGTTGTAGATTCTATAAATCATGATTCTTGTGTCACTTGGCTTCATGATATTGCATTTAAGAATAAAGATTCAAACTTTAGTTATGATGATTCTGAGGCGTGGAAGTGGGTAGATTCTAATAGCCACGTAGTAGACTGTATGTATAAGAAGTTGAGTAAATCTGAAGCGTCTGATTTACTAAAGGGCTTGTGGATTGTTGTGATTGGTGATTCACAGACAAGATATACTATGGATGCGTTTTTGGAACTGTTAATGGGACCAGAGGAGATTGAAAGGGTTAGAGGGGATTTTAAGAGGCATAGTGAGTACCATATTACTCTTGATGCTATTGGGTTAAATATGGATTTTATCTGGGCACCTTATGTCAGAAACTTGACAGATTGGTTGGTTCAATCTAAGAAGAAGAGGTACTTGCCAGATATTATCATAATGGGTGCAGGCACATGGGATATAATTTATGTGAATAACATCACAGATTTTGTTGTCTCAGTTAAGATGTTGAATGATTCTGTGATGCCATTGTTAGCTGTTACTCCCGAATCTGAATTCAGGGATAAGCCAGTAGAGATATGGGCACCTCATATGTTTTGGACAGGGATGCCAACATATGTACACTCAATGTTAAATACAAAGGTAAAGAGGGAGGCGCTGACTAATGAAAAATGTAAAGCTTATCTAATACATGAACGTAAGCTCTTGCGCAATTTTGGTGGACCACTTTTCTGGTTGGATTACCACTCATTGACTGGTAAATGTGGATCATCATGTACTGTTGATGGGATGCATTTCAAGGTTGTGTACCAAGCTGCAGTACAAATCATGTTGAATGTAATACTTCTCGAGTCCCAGCAGAGGTTGGCATGAAAGGAAGTTTCTGGTTCCAATTGAGTTTATTGATGAAGTTGTGAAAACGAAGGAGTGAAGTGGCAACTCCATGACTTTCTGCTCTTGGTTGTTTCATTTTAGCTTGCTCGATCTTTCAAGTCAACTTCCCTTGGCATGATAGTGAAAGAAGCCACTAGAATGATCTGTATGGTTTTTGTCACATTCTCGTCAATTTTAAGCAAGTCTATTTGGACTTTGTCATAATTTCTTACTTGGTTTAAGATATCTCTATTTAGAACTTTCAGGTGGTGAATACAAGTTCCAATATAGAAGGTATAGATGTGATTTTTGTTATTTGTTACATGCATCTCACCATTGTTGTTCAATATTTCTGTGATCTTCTGTATGGAGGAACTGGACAATGTTGGTTCTATTTTATTTTATTTTTTAAGTGATGGAATTATCCCTTTTCATTTCACTTCTTATCTTTCTGTAAGGTTAGTGATTCGATATTTGATCTGGTACTATAATGTTGCAGTACGGCTTGGTTGTCTCTTTTAGATTGTAACCATATTCTGGAAATTGATTTCTGCCAATTCCAAAACAGTTGGCCATCTGGATGGAAGTAAGGCCTTGATTCTGTCTGTAATTCCCTCTCCCTGCAGTGGAAGTATCAATGTTGAAACAGAGATTGAGGTTTGAACTTATAACTTGCTCCAGAGGCAGTCCAGCGAACATCGTTTAGGCTATTGGAGTAAAAAATATGGCCATTAAGTGCGGTTTCGGATCATAGAAGTATGCTTTCTCCAGGTGTTCCATATATTTCTTACATATGCTTAATTACCAGAACAATTTTCGTTTCTAGAAAAACAAAAAAACAAAATTTGGGATTTGAGTGCCCTCAAAATTGTACGTGAAAATTCCTTTGATGTGCTTCAAGTAACATAATCTTCCAAGTATGGCGCCAAGTTCCGTGGGGCTGGGAGCACTCCAGTGAAACTGATTTGAAATGCTTTGAAACGGGGTAAGTGCCGTCTTATATTTGTATTACTCACTTAAATTTGGCCATTGGGAATTGCATTTTAGCAGGGAGAGTTCTGAGAGTTTATTTCGACAATGAGGAATCTGGTGCAAAGATCAAGCATTGGCCATTAAGACTTGAATGTTCATTGGTTCATTTTCATAAATTAGATTCCGTTTCTGCTGTTTACTGGGGTTTTTCCAATTTGTAGCATCTTTTAGGCTTTTGCACCAGATATATTGGGAAAAGTTGGGTCAAAATTCCGGTCTTACAAGTCATCATTCATCTTAGTCCCGAGGTTTCTTGGGCAAATAAGATAGTACTTGAACAGTTGATGCTTCATTCCATTGGTGCAAACCGAAACAAAATTTCCTTTGGTCCTAAAAACAATTGCAATGGCTTGCACGGTTTGCTTTGTGCTCATTTCTACTCTGAGCAAAGCTTACAATGGTAAGAAAAGATGACCAGAGATATTCTGTTCTACAACATCAGTATATAACCCATTTCCCTTCTTCCACTCCCCACTCCCCCCCACATTGCCACTCGTTTCCAAAAGATACAACAAATACAGATCTCCTAATTCATCAACTCTAACTCCAAATCCAAACTAACACGGATATGGTCAGTAAGGAATGACCATATTTCTTGTTCTAACAGATTTCGCAACTCATGAATCAAATTGCTTTCCTTCGAAGGTCTGCCCATAACTCCAATCCTTAGGAGCAACGTTGTAAGATGTGAGGGTAACTCCATCACTGTCAGTTAGCTCAAAGGAAAGAGGTTGATTCTTGAAGTCAGCATTTATGTGCCAATTCTGTCCCCAATTCCGACCCATTGGCAGCCATCCGGTTCTTGACCCTTTAATCTTTACAGCAACGACGTCTCCTGCACCTGCAACGTTGCTGATTAACACTGATATAAATATCCCAGCACCATTAACTGCAAATCGGACCCCTCCTTCCTTCCTGCACTTAACCCTGCTCAAAGTCCACAAGAAATGTATCAGAACACCAATCAGCAACCAGTAGAACTTGATGAACAAGCTACCAACTTAAACTGTTTCAATGTAACATCACGTGCCATAACACACACATTCCAGAAAATCAACGAGGTTGTTAGATGGCTAGCTTACTGCATTCTACAAAGGCAAAAAAACATTTCTCTAATCTCCTAAGGTTACGAATTGGATTTTGGACAAGCAAACTTCGAGAAATTATACATCTCAGTGTCACCCTTAAGGACCATTTCGTCGTAGATGGTAGATGGTACTGCTACAATTGTCATCACTATTCATGAACTATTCCATTTTAAGCAAGTTCGCAGTGGTGGTATGCTAAGATTGTTCTCGACATTCACGAATACTACCATAGTGGCTACGAATTAGAATGCTTCTGATGTAAAAAAAATTGTAGCCATTGTTTTTTCTTTTCTTTTTTTTGGTGAAAAGTAGCCATTGTTTTCTCCGACTTTCAATATACGATTAACAGAAAAGAAAGGCCAACAATTGAGTCATACGGGAGGAGGTTGAGTTGAAATCCAGGCATAAAAATCCATAATCCAAAAATAGATGGCTTCTTTTAGCATCTTTCAGAACCCTTTTTTAAGGAAAGGTAGGTTAGGGATGCTTTTTCAGAAATTTATTGACAGCTTAATGATATAACTTCAACATTCAGTCACCGCCCCCACATGTATACATCTCTCTGGCTTAAAGTATCAATTGCTTCTTGCAGAATACTATGAAAGTTCCCACATGATGAACATACTTGTCCTAAAACATGATTATTATGCAGATTCTTCATTAGTGCTATGCTAATAGATTTTCTTAACAAGATGTAACACCGACACTTTCCCACACGGGAAATTTTCCAATAGCCAACTATACCAGTATAATGAGACAAGTCTAGAAAGTGATGTGAACAATCAAAGATATTTCACACCGGTGAGAAGGCCTAAGGCAAAGAAAGCAACTTTATCCTAGCTATATTTGCTAATAGAACAAATTTGTAGGAAGCCCAAATACCAGAAATCAAAAATCAATTTGGAAAAGGACAGATTATCCAACATCAACAAATTACCTGCGATACTGAATGGGCATATTGGAAGCTTTCCAAATAGCAATCTTTTCAAAAGCTTCAATAGGGAGCACAAAATGTGCATTAGGGAAATTGCAATGTCCGCCACCATCAGCTTGAAGGCCATAATTAGGAGCACAGAAATTAGTAGCAGTGACAATGATAGAAGTCCCAGGAATACACCATCTCAAGTCCTCAACACACCTCACTTGAAAACAAGCACCACAGATCTGACCCTTTTCGAATAACACAGTACTGAGTCCAGCCGTGGCTTTCCCATACCCCATTTTCTCCAGGTCACCATATCCACACGCACCACCCACCGCATCCGGCGGCTCCGCCGCAGCATAGAAGGTGGCCCGGGCGGATTTCCATTCGGTGTAGGTGGAAGGAGTGGAGGAGGAGGAGAAGTGGTAATGGGAATGAGCTGGTTGAAGAGCTAAGTACAGTATGAATGCTGCTGAGAGTAGAGTTTGAAAGAGTAAAGTTGGCATTTTGCGGAAGGTGGAACACTCAACACAGAAGAACAGTATAGTATTGAGGGGGGACAAAGACAAAACAGCTAAGGAATCAAAACAAATACTACTACGTTTACATTAGTGTTGTTATAGTTGCTGCCTTTAAGTTTTAACTACTCTTTTTGTGTAGTGATACTTTTGTTATGACCACTTTTCTAGATATTTCATTTCTTTTTTTTTCTTTGAGGGTCACACTCCCACCCAATATAATACTGTTATATATATTAAAGGAAAAAAGATACAAAATGCTGAAGGAATGCTTACCCAGTGCCAGTGGAGCAAATTTGGCGGCCATTGAATGCCGAAAAAATCATTGAAAACAAATGTAAACCCTTCATTCCTTTTTTGTAATGGTATCTAATTTATACAAAAATGTATGTACAAGATTGAAGCTTGGGCAATGGAGATTGGTTGCCCCAAAAAACAGAGTATTGCGTTCCCCAAAAAAAAAAAACAGAGTATTGCAACTATACTGAATTTACATGTTCTTCAATGATGGCATTTTCCTTCTTCCTCAACTACTCATCTATCTCATTAACTGTCAACTCTCAAATAACTGCAGACATTTACTGTGTACTCAACAGATTCCCCTTTCAATCTCCGTCGACTTTCATTGACAGCTTTAAATTGCTTGGCCCCCGGGTTTTGAAGTATGAATCAGAACCTCAAATTTACGATTCTCTCTCACACAAACTTCACAACCCTCTCCTCAACCTTCAAACTGCTTTCTTGAATCTCATCAATTGACTTTGAGAGATGAGATGTCTTCGTTTACTTCGATTAACTTGTAGCTCTCTATAAACAGCTGACAAGTGCAATTGTCACTTGAGGAAACACTGGGTTGATCAGTCATTCAGGCTCATAGGTAACATTCTCAATGTGAAAGTTTGCCAATCATGTATGTTGAAGCTCCCAATTTAGAGAGTAAATAGCAGCTCCAATACCGCATTAGGCTTGCATGAGATTCCATGCTTCATCAGTACTACTAACTGATTTCACCAGCACAATAGGATAAGGACAGGTGAAATGTTTCAGTGCATGTCTGTAGCAGAAAACTTAGGTAGCGGTTCATTTCACCATCAATTGGCCATCAGGTTTAGTTTTCCTTATTAGTTACTAGACAAACTAATTGTGAAAAAAAAAAAGAATAATGACAAAATATGCTGAAGCAAAAGCTAAACTAACCAGTCAAAGAACCCAAACTTTGGGGATGGCGTCCTCAGGGCTGATGGACTTGTAGCAGCCCCATGTGCCAGGGATTTCCTAATATTTGCATCAGGTGTGGCCATTTTCTTATCTTCAGGATTGGTTGGCAACGGACAACTGAGATGATCATTCAAATGTGAGGTGATCATACATTGTCCAGTTGATGTTTTCTTTTCACTCAGATCGGCTCCATTAATCAACCATGACAATTCTTCAGGATCCAGAAGACCTGGAAGTATTTAATAGAAATTAGAAGATTTATAACTAAGCATACATCTAGAGAAATGAATGAATGATGATGTACCAGCACTGGTGAAGAAGGAGCTGTCCCATTCGAAACTATCACGCAAGTGTGTCTTAACTTGTCTGGTGGTTCGAGATGGTTGCAAGGATTTGCTGAGATCTTTCAGTTGATCATTCTGATAACCCTGGGGAATCAAAGTTGCATTTGTAGCATGACTGGTTGAGCCTCCGATTGACCCCAAAAGATCAGAATGACTTTCTGCATAATATGGAAGTACCCAATTAAGAACACAAGTTTAAAAGACATAAACCAGAAGGAAAAAAAAAGTCAGAGCTATCGTGACCAACAAAAACCACCTTTAGCTGGGCAGTACTGGGGACTGGCTATTGTTGGGGCAAGGGGCAAAGATGATTTAAGAATTCTGTAGAATTCATGATTTCTCATCCTCTGACGATTATAATGTTCATTAAAAGCATTATCAAAGCTGCTATATCCTGAGGATCTGCAAGAACAAGTGTCCGAGCTAGTGGTTGACAGGGGAGAAGACGACGACCATTCACTGATAGAACTGTAAGGCGATACGCTCGAAGCGTCCTTGGAGGAGGTCAGATATGGCAAGGCAGGGGAATTGCCAGATGATGTCCGCTTCCAGGTTGAATCTTTTGATGGAGTTTTGAATGTTGAATGGGAGAAAGGTGAGGTAACCTTTTGGTGATCAACTTTTCTAAAAATAGATGCTAAATGAGATTTAAAATCTTTTTCAGAAAAGGGACTTCCTCTACAATCAGTAAAGGAAGATGGTGGAGATTGAATTGAGATTGCAGAATCCGAAGAGGAGGCCTTGGAAAATGATGCAGATTTAGTAAGAACCCTTGGTGCTCCACTGACCATAGATTTCTTTAAAGCATGAGACTCTCTATCGTCAACTGCAAATTTTGAAAAGATTAATTAATGAGAAAAAGTGTTTAGTGCGGTTGCTAAAGGAACACAAATGACACGAGAGTGTACCAGTGCTAATCTTTGTCTTACCATATGTTAGCTTTTTCACTGTTATTGTTGGGTTGGATTTTGCAGTCTTGATTATTTGTGGCCGTTTTGAAAGAGTAAGTTTTAAATCCCCACGTCTAACTGCAGACTTTACCTGACATGTGGAAGTGGTGTGAAATTAGTCCAAGAACACCAATCAAAATGGAGAATGTTTTAAGACTACTTGTATTTAGAAGAATGCTAGGACTAATAAAGGCCCCAAGAATATATGATCAGAGAAACATCAAAGCACAAAGTTGGATTGTTCAGAATGAATGTGGAAGGGCATTGTACACTGCCGGCAACAAGTACTAGATTTCACATACTTACATGTGTACGCTTCATTAAAAGGAATGCAGAACAACACTCTGATCTAATTTACTAACCTGCTTAACATGTGAATGTTCATCGTCCTGCTTTAGTGCTCTATTTGTTCCTTGCCTTCTAAGTATTTGATTTTTCAGAGGTTTCGATGTTCCACTACGTTGCCTGAAAGCAGGTTGGCGGTTCTGTAATGATGTCTGATGTCAGGTCACGCCATTCATGTTTTAGACCATATATAAAGTTGCATGACAGATTCTTTCTTCCTAATTACCTGACTTTGAGAGGAGACATGAGCAGTCTGGAATGCTGTTTAAGGCCAAAAAGCACAACAAGAAGAGTAAATTACTATGTGAAGATTGATAAATGGCAGTGAGAATGATACGCTACATACATGTGCTGCAATTTGGACACAAGTTCAGGGGAAAACATTTAAATAAAATGTCAAATGTAATGTAAAATAAAGCTTCAGTTTTGTGTGATGACTATAAAATTCAGATGTGAAACCACAAAAGCATGGCGTTATGGTTGTGGGAGCATTTAGCGAAGTTCGCCAGTTGAAATGTACATGTGAATGCACTTGTTAGAAGTCTAAAACAGGATAAGCAGACATTAGTTCCTAGTCGTATATATTCACCAAGTATTGAACTAGTAAACTCACAAGAACTCGCTTGGGTTTCATGAGTGGTTGCCTTACAAGTGTAATTTGTAGCAGGAAGTCCTTTACTCAACTTCTCAATGGAAGCTCCAAAATCTTCAAACAACTCGGCCTCAAGGTTTTCCATAATCAACTCATCACTTCCAAAGGTAAAGACTGAACCTGTAGATTTCCAAACATCCACTTCAATTTTGGGTAGTATCCGCAATTCGCCCGGCTCGTCTTCCTTAGGATCCAGCAAACCTGGAAGTGTTCAGGAGAGATTGTTTTGACATTTTAGTCTGGTGTTAACTTTAAGTTCTCTTGTAAGAAACAACCCAAAATAGAGTGAAAGAGCTACAGTAGTATGATCTCTAGTAAAGAAGGCATTCATTTACCCCATTCAAACAATTTACGATTGGGCATTCTGGTGTCACTATTCTGTTCCAGGCATTCATTCAGATTAAGGAACTGATCATCCAAAACGCTCCTGGGAGTAAAATTCAAACCTGCCTCTTTTCCATCACTCCATGACCCCCCAATCTTCAATGAGTCCAAATAGCAGGAATTTTTCTGATTTTCTACATCATAATAAATTTGAAACTAACTCAAATAAGCTCAAGCATCAAGCACTAAATCCTAATAAATCATAAAACACTCTTAAAAGGCATAGAAAACGAACGTTGCCCTAACTATAAGACAAAACGACAAAGCACAAAACCTGTAGATTGGTAGGGGTTTAACCCAGCGGCTGCTGCTGAAGAAACTGAACCAATGGCCGTCGTGGCATCGTTCTCTGAGGAACAACAATCGTGCTCGTCTGACGTCCGGCTAATCATCCAAGAAACGGCGGCAATTGAGACTAAAAATGCCATGGCGAGAAGCAGCATCTTTGATGATTTTCGAACTTTTGAAAAATTTGAAATCCGATTTTTTGCTGCAAAAAAAAAAAAAAAGCATAAATAGAAGAAGAATTGGGATGAAAGGCTCGAAAGGAGGAGTAAAATCGGCGGATAATAATTATGGAAACAATTCGAGAGGATTAACCCTAATCATCAATTGAGAGAGGGATTCTGAAGAAGATGCCACTTTGCTGACTGGGTACAGATCAGCAATCTAAAGAAGGAAAAAAAAAATTGGTAGGAAAGTTGAGAAATCTTCATCCGCTTTAAATTTTTTTTGAAATCCCAGTACGCGAAATGGTGGGAAAAGGAAACGAATCTCTTTTTTTTTATTTATGTTGGGCTATAGATCTCTATTCTCTACTACAAAAAGCCCATTCTTAGACAACGAAAAATTCCGACGAGAAGCCCAATTATTTTGTCTGTCCGAATTACCAGAATCCACATTAGTTGAGCCAGTACTTTTGAACTTCAGGAGCGTTATACCAAAAAGGAAAAAAAAAACAAAAATTACTGTTTTTTTTCCCTTTCTTTTCTCTTTAATATTGTTATAAGTTTTTTGGGCATGAAATTCCTCTTAGGCTAATAGAATCAAATAAATTCATAGTTCAGCCACCTCAGTACAATGGTTAACCATATGTGTAACAAGTGTTTACAGTTTTAAAAAATAAAAAAATCAAGATATAATACTATTAATTTTATTTCTTGTTTATTATTGTTCTTTTTAATTTTCAGTTTGTTTCTTTTGAACACGTGTTTATCAGGATTCACGACCATTATTAGAAACTAATGCGCAACATCCTTAGGTCATTTCAAAACCCGTCATGAGATCGCCTTAATCTTTTTGACCAGTTTTCTCACTTATCAACATACGTACAATTTAATAAGAGAAATTAAATTTATTGTAAATGGTCAAATACATTGTCCAAACAAGAAATGAATTACATAAAACTATGCATGATTTAGGTACGTTTCAAAAGAGGGGGAAAAAAAAAGAAAAAAAAAATTGCATGGCTTGGTTGGATCCGAGATTATGATTCGATTATTTAATTACAACATAATTAATTAGCGAAAACATAAGCCCATCAGCACTTCCGCAGGCTTGTCAAAATGTTGCACCTGACCTACCTCATGGCTTTCGCTTTAGTATGAAAGAAAAATTAATCCATATCAGAGGTAACAGAGGCTTAAAATAATTCACCTGACATCGTTGTTTTCTCTACTTTCTTATTTGCCACTTAAAGAGTTATTGGCCATTTAAAGATTTTGTCACTCTAAGACATATCTAAGGAGCGGCTAGATGAGTTGTTATCATTGGGAAATTAATTCATTAAAATACGATATTAAGTTTTTAATCAAAACCGGCGTGAAGAGTAAAATCGTGATGGTTAACGCATGATATGTATTAGCACATAATATCGGTGGCGGATTTAGGGTGGAGGCCACGGGGTCATGGTCCCCGCTGACCCTACTCTAAATCATACTATATATGTATTTTTGTTTAATATTAATTAGATTTTTTTACTTAATTTACTGATTTTTGTGTAATAATTAGGTTAAATTGTCTTCTTTATCTCTAACCTTTTTGTTTTAGGCCAATTAAAATAGTTCCAATTAAAATAGAGTTAGTTTATTTCAATTAATTAATGGCAAGTGATTTTGCTACAACACTTTCTAGTATTCATAACAAAAATGACTTCATTAACCTTGTTGTGATTTTTTTCTTCCTTTTCTCTCTCTCCCCCCAAATCACATCCCTTTTCTTTTTTACTCTTTGCGGCAGCCATGGTAAAATTTTCATTAGTTTTACTAGGGGCAAGAAGTGCACCCAAGCATGATATTCTCCTCCATCTTGGTTTGTACAGGCAATTTTTTAAAAATTTAATTTTTAAACAATTTCAAAAATATTTGAACGGTATGTTCATTAGTCGTAATCGAGATGTTTGAGGGCTAAATAACTATTGCAATCTACTAACACCATAACGAAAATAAAGATCAACTTTGGAGAGTAAATTCTTTGCTTAAGTTTGATTGATTTTCAATAGTATAATTCATTGGATTAAATTTCATCATTGTTTTGTGGGTTTGTTTATTTAAAGGATTTTGATTTTCAAATTTTCGAACCGATTGCGTCTATGGGGTTTCTTTGGAGAGGGGAAGTGGTATTAATTTGGTGTCCTAGTTTTTCAGATTGAGTTTTAAATTAAACAAAAAAGAAAGAAAAAAAAAGCATTCACTAAGTGATCTTTCGAAGGACAATTACTCCCTGTAATTCCCCATTCTCATTATTTTTTGAACCCTTTGCTCTAGTATTTGGTATGCCCAATAAAAATTGTAGATTTGAACAAAAATTATTAACGCAGTGGGCGACGGTCTTTGCGCAAGCTGTAACATTTGAGATTTTGACATGTGAACATTGATTAATTATTGTGATAGTATTATGACTTGTAAGGAAAACTAAAATTATAATTGAGAAAGGGATTTAAGGAAGAGAGAAAGGAAAATAACTTTAACCTCATAAGGGTAATTTAAAAAAGAGAAATTATTTTTATTGTGGATGCTAAATATTATTGTGGCAGAATCACCACCCTTAATTGATAAGTTCTTTTAAAATCAATATAAAAAAACTGAATGCGTTTCTAATTACAATCAAACTAATTATACTAGACCCAATTTATTCAACTACTACAATTATGTACTTATCTGTGTCCAAAAAGGAGTTGTGCTTTTTGTTTTGTTGTTTTTTTTTAAAAAAAAAATTGATGCTTATATAGATATAACTATTCTAGAAAGGATCTTTTCTAACTAATTTTTAAAATTGTGAAAAGTTATTACATAATAGAATAAAAAAAATTCCTGAATAATTTAGTTACTATAATGCGGTGAGATAATTTATGATTAATAAAATTTGACATCGGCATCTTTATACATGATATAAAACTATGAAAATGATATATAGTGCATGAATAAAATAAACGGAGCATTTTTCTCATAATGTATTTTGGCCGCCACTATATTTTCATTCTAGATCCGCTACTGCATAATATATTTTTAAAAACTCTGAATGCGCACAAATAATCACGAGTGCCTTGTAATGTTAATTTGGAAGATCAGCCTGAGTTAGGCAGTAAAGAAGTGCCTAATGCTTTACTTATTCATTTTGGTGGTTCATTTCCACGTGTGACGAAATTGGTAAGGATTTGGTTAAAAGATAGATCTATGCAAACACGCATCGATCTGGTTTGCTTGGCTTTAAAATGTTGTTTTTAGTGGATTTCAAAAAATATGCATTTTTCTTCTGCTTTGAAGATCTTTGAGAGAGATTTATTTTGAGCTATTTTACTGAAGAAGATAGATTTTAGATAGTACTCCCTCCTATCTATAATTATTGTCTAATTTAAATTTTATTTTTAATTCAAATTATATTAAAAGTGAAATTTCAAATTAGATAATAATTTTAGACGAAAGGAATATCTGATTTTCATGAAAAGATGGGGTTAGAGGTGGGATCGGCCCTTTGTGGCAGAGAAGCATTCGCAGGAATACTCTATGGATTTCAAGAATTTAAAAATATGGAACTAATGCATTAGTGCAATATTACTGTTGACAAATATTCTTTCATTTTTTGTGATGTTAGTGCTTCAACGAATCACATCAGATGGTTATTTTTCCCACTTAATATAAAGAAATTATTTAGTGCCGTTCTTATAGTTGTGAGATTGAAAGTCAACAGTATTCTTTTCAACTCAAATTAATTATTTTATTTGGTATATAACTTCATAATATTGATAATTATTTCGAGAGGAAATAGGTAAATTTAATTTTAAAATTAAGAATTTACATTTGTACTGAAAAAAAAATTACATAAAAATAGAAGGTGTACACAGTGAAGAGAAAATGTTTTAAGAATTTTAAACAGTTGAAAATTGGCCAAATCGGATTTTTTCTTTTTTGGAAATTAAAATTGAGCTCAACATAGTAGTACTAGTATATTGAATTAATGATTAAAAAAAAGGGTTTGTTTCAAAAAAAAAAAAAAAAACGCGGACGAGGTACTGCTATTCCCTTTTTAATTTGTTGTAGTAACTTGTCTTTTTTGTGCAGAAAGCAAACGAGTTTTAGCTACTTTTTATTCGAAGTTTTGTGAATCTTCATCATCTTCATATACTACTTTTTAGCTTTAAGTGTTCCAGGTAGTTCCTCGCTGAAAACACCACTGCATAATTACTAATTCCTCGTTCCCGAAATTATTGTCTAGTTTGAATTATTAATTTTAGTTTAAATTGTACTAAAATAAACATTCAAACTATGTAATAATTTTGGGGCGGGAAGAGTAATATATTTTTGACATAGGAAATAATTTGTACGTGAGTTGAATTATTACTTTTATATATTTAGTGCATTTTATTGAACTACTACTGTTGGAACCAACTAATGAAATGAATTATTTAAAGAACACGGAGAAAGTATTACATTGTCATGACTCTAAATTTGCATTTTTATTGTCACCGACTCACCGCTATAATTAAAAAGAATGCAAAACCCTATTTTTGTGAATCAGAAAGTTGTACTTTTTCGTTTCCATTTTAATTGTTTATACTGTTATGCTGCTCTTCTAGTTCTAATAGGTGTATGGACTTATAATCAAATTGGACGGAGGGCAGAGTACTACAAAGACTTTAAACGCGAGATCCCCTCGTTGGGGGTTGAATTTTGAAATAGTCTCCATGACTAAAGGTCGGAAAACACACACGAGTAGTTAATGCAGTGATCAAAATTGTTCAAAATATAAAGTACCAGGAATGGAGGAATATTTGCCTAATTAAGTATACAATTTGCAAATGTTAACTGATTTGTTCAAAAAAACGTGTTCAAAATCAACCCCTATTAATGTGTTCGTCCTTTTTGATAAGGAAAAATGAAAAGCAACACATTGAAACGTACTCCTCCATAATAATCTTGGTCGATATATTTGCGAACTTTGGACAATCCGTTCTTCTTCCTTTTTTTTTTTTCCCTTCCATAATGGTCTTCAATCTAGAAGAAAAAAAAAAAAAAAAAACTAAGCAGAGGGATCCAGACATATTTATATCAGAGAATATTATCCAGATGTGAAAATTTTATATCCTCTCGTTTTGATATTGTCATGTCGACGTCTTAATATCCAATTTGTCAGTAACAAGTAATATTAGAACCAAATGCCGAATTCTACACACACACACACACACTCTCTCTTGGTCTCAACTCTCAATTTGTTATGGTAACCACTAAATTTCGTTATTCATGTTGTGGCAAAGACCAGTACTAAAATCTGCCAATCAAACCTAGATACCTAATGCAGTTTTCACACAATTTCACTCGAACAACTACTGAAAATTATTGATCTGACGTGCAATTCAGGAAACCAAGTCACCAACCAAACTCGCCAAGATACATATATAAAATATTCAAACTCAACAGCTGCTTCTACGTATCTACCAAAAAATCTTCAGCCTCTAATTTCTTCTGCCTACAATCTCGCCTTGACCTTGCTTATCTTTGAATTTTTATTCTTTATCACTGCGATTTTATTTTTCTTTTTCACTTTTGTACCTTTTTTTTTGGCTTATTGCATATTCCATCCCTTGATTAATCTCTCCGTCCTCGTCGTCAAATATAGATTCATCAATCTTTTAATGCAATTCTTAGAAGTATTTAATTTTCTGTAAAACGCAACAGTAATCAATCACGTTTAATTTTGTTCCTTGTCATTTTTAGGTAGGTATCACACGAAGAACACTAAGAGGCAACCTCATTGGTAATGATTTTGCTTCGTTTTAATTTTGATTGTAGATAAAATGTGATTAAAAGAGATTATAAGAGATTACAAAAGAGATCACTTGGAAATATGCTGTATGAAGAAAAATACTTTCGATAACGAGTGAGTGAAAATATTAATTGTCGTTATTGCAAACAGTGAATACTCTATAATACACCAAAAAAAAAAAAAAATAGTTGTGAGCTAAATCTGATGGATGCCAATTACAAATATTTTCATGGAAAAGGGGGACGTGACTGCAAATAAACCAGATTAGGGGGAGTTGATGGAAATCAGCAGCTTCAGGAGTATTCTGAACTGGAAACTTCCCTCCAAGCAGATCCACGTGTCAGTTCGTGAACGCCTTAAATATATCCGCCCCCTTTTTACCAGGACAGAAAAGAAAAGAAAACACCCCTTCCTCTTTTTCCCATTTGAAGAAAAATCGAAAAAAAGAAGAACTTGTGGCCACAAATTATTCACCAAAAAAAATTGGACTTCCCCTAACTCCGCCAGAAATATGTGGTCCAGAACGCATTTCATACATATATCTATAGAAGTCGTTAAGCGCTTTTTCAAAAAACGCATTAATTAAATACACGTGGCGAGCTGCTAGACGCAGGGGCGGCGAGTGGTGTTGACGTGGCGAAAAGTGCAAAGCAAAGGGCCACACACAGTCACACACTCACACCTGAGAGAGTTAAAATGGGCAACACCAAAACAAATCGTACCCTTTCGTGACATCTCAGCAGTCAGCATTATCCCCAATATTAAACTCACACCCACCACACTTTTTTTCTTCGTCTTTTTCTTTTTTTTTTCGTAGGGGTAATAATCCACAATTCTTGGTATCCCTATTTTCTCTCTCTCACGTTTTTTTAATTTTTTAATTTTCCGATGTCTTTTATTTTGAGGCTGAAGATATTTTGCGGTTTTTTCCTATTCACAGAAAAATATCGTGTTTTTTGGTTTTTTCTTTTGGGAGGAAAAATATATATTTTTGTGTGGATATTTTTGTATGTCTCATGTGGTGGGCAGCTGCCAGCTCCAGTGGGGAGTTCAACAGTTTTCTTTTTTCTTTTTGGGGTCATCTCGCATGTGTACCTCGCCTCCCCCTTCTGACCTAGTTTTTCGTTTTATGTTTTTTTTTTTTTACCATTTCTTATAAATTATTACTTCAGTAACCCTGTCCATAAAAATAAAAATTTTCATGAATTCGTACACCGGATTTTAAAAACGTGATAAAAGAAGCATTGTGTTTGCTGAGAAAATCGGTTTCTTAATTTTCCTTCATTCTACTTGAAATTTACAGTTAAATTATTAATTTTTTTTTCAACGACCAGTTATTAACATGTGCACCAAAAAAATCGGAAAATTTGTTGATAATCCGAAATTTCATCAAGCTGTTTTTTTTTTTTTCTTTATTACCTACTACATCAGCTCATTATAAGTAGGGAAGGTCAATTCGGAAAATGATTATACTAACTTGGTCGGTCATAACGAAAGTTGCTTTTGTGACTAAGATATTAATTAATCTTTACATAAACTATTACATTTAGAGTCATTCACTCATCAGGATAACATAAAAAAGGTTTTGGTTTCCAATCAAATTTGTAATACAAATCTAATCTGCTTTCTTGTGAATAGTTTAACGTTAATGACATATTAAGCTTGTAATAATGGTTAGTCTTACTAAACTAATGAGTTTGACTTCCTACTCAGGAAAATTGAACACATGAACTAAGCTCTTTTTTGGTCTTAAAGTTAAAGTCATGTTCTTGAACTAAATTAGCGTAGTAAGGAAAAGTATTTATTCTGAAAACACATTGTATATATTAGTTTTTTTCGGGTTAATGCAGTTTAGTTTTTTTATATTTAATTTAAATTATATTAAAATCAACAATTTATAATGTCAAATTTTTTGGGACGGAAAAGTGCAAATGAAAATGAAGTGGAACCAGACTCATAAATTTTGCAAAGATCATGTTAGATCTTGTTTTTCCTTTTTTTTTTTTTTCAGAAATTATGTAAGCACAATACTTTTTTGGTTATAATTATCTTCAGAAAAATACCTAAAAACTATCCAATTCAAAGCCATAAAGATCCCTTAACTGTCAAAACAGTGACGGCATTCTGGCATATTCTTTTGCAAAACATTCACCAAAAATCCTAGAAAAATGACACGTACACGCCACAAACTCGCGAGTAGATGGAACTCTCCGACGTGCGCGTAGGGACTGCTCTCCAAGTTAGATTTTCTTCATCAGAGAAAAAACGAAAAAGGGCGCAAAAAAACTTAAAAGAAAAAGCGGTGGTCTTGTTGGCTGACATGAACAGCCACGTGTCGGAAGCCATCTTTGAATTTAAGCCACAAGAATCCATGGATTTCTGGATCGTTCCTATTTGAGAAAAAAAATAAATAAAAAAATCGAAATTACGAAAAAGAATTCATTTCCCAGTTTCACCCACTCTGACGTGGCGCCCTTTTCCTTTCTCCCTTTTTCTCCTCTCCCACAAAAACAAAACTCTCTCACAACTCTCAAGCAAACAGCACAAATTCATTTTTTCCAGTTGTTCTGTTTTGTTCTTCAGATACTCTACTCCTCTCTAGAGCTTCTTCCTTTAAGCTGCTGCTTCATTCATATTTTGTTCTTTTTAACTCTTCACTTCTCCTCCTCATCAGCTCCCAGCCATTAACTTTTTTCCTTTTTAGGTTTTTCCATTTTGGGAAATTTTAGGTCCTCTTGTTTTTGTTTTTTTTTTTTTTTCCTTTCCCTGTTTCGATTTTTTCCACATAGGTGTGTTTTTTTGTGGTAAAGATTGAAACTTTAAGGCAGTCTTAAACTCCGAAACAAGCATTATTCACTTAGCTCTTTTGGTCTGTGGATACCCTTTTGTTGAAATTGCCAAAAGAGTTGGGTTTTAAGGATTTACAGAGCTCAGTCATTGTACCACTTTTTCCCAGCTTGTTTGTCAATTGGCTTTTGAATCTTTCCTTACTTTCTTGTACAATCAACTGAATCTTTGGTGGGTTTTTTGCTGAAAGCTGATCACGTTTACGGTTGATCTGTGAGAGATTGGATTTGAAGATTTTTGGTTACTATTGAACAGTGCTGAAAGTGTTCTTTAAAGAATGAGGCGAAGATTCCTAAATTGGATCCAGATGTTTTGCTGTCTAAATAGAGATTGATTTGTTGAGTCCCGAGTTTTTTTAAGAGGTTGCTCTTAACTACTTTTACCATATTTTCCCCTGATCCTCTGCAAGGCGGCCGTGAAGTTGAGCTGTTTTTTGGGTGAATTTGGAAATTGGAAGATTTGAAGTCTTGAAGAACTATCTGATGGTTTCCGCATCTATGGCTATACAGGTAACTTTTAGTTTTTATTATGGCTTAATGACTGGGTTCATCAGAAAAAGAAAGTTAATAGAAAGCTACTAGCTTCATTGAATGTCAGCTTTACCTTTAATTTTATTTTAGAGCCATTTTTTATTAAGGTTAATTATTCCTAGAAGTTGGAAAAGGTACTATTCAGGATGAGAAAGCAATTCTTTAATTTTTTGGGTGATTTTTGGAAACTGGGAAGTAGAGTTTTTCCCTCGGAAAAGGGGGGAAAAAATTTTGCGCAGGAGAAAAGATGACTTTTACCTATTTGCCGATTCTCAAGAGTCCAATTTTATCATTTTGACTAATTCATATAAAGAAAAATGATTTATTTGAAGTCCAGCTTCTATCCTATTGCTTCTGCTAATATGACCCTGTTTGGAGTTTTAGAGCCCTTGGCTTGATTGAATTAGAAGTTGGCAAAAGGAGATAATGCCTGATTTTCCCAGCTTCTTTTTTTCTTTTTCTTTTTTTTTTTTTTGGTGGAGCTTAATTACTGATGGAAGGAAGACGTGTAGCTTCCCAATTAAGTCCCACACTATTGTAAAACCTTGTATGTAGCATTATGGTTTAGCTGATGATGTTAAATTCCTTGGCATTACAGAACTGGTACTTGGTTTTTAGACTCTAAACTAAAGTTATTCCTCGATTTACTAAGATTAGATCATATGGAATTGAGATCTTTGTAACATCCTTTTCCAAACGTGATGTTATAGGATGAGAGTGGAAGTACAGACTCAGAGACAACGCTTCCCCTGGGAAACCAGGTCTGTTTTGAAGTGGATGTCACTTCCAGAAATAGCATCCCCTCGAAAGAGCAACTTCAGTCTGGAGATGATCACTCCCTCAAGGTACATACATATGTGCGGTGTATAATCGAAGTTTTGCACATCATAGCCACATTGAATCCTGTTCACTTATTTAATCTTCCTATTGTTGACAAGTAGGTTAGGAAGCCTTACACAATCACGAAACAAAGAGAAAGGTGGACAGAAGAGGAACATAAGAAGTTCCTTGAAGCTTTGAAACTGTATGGCCGAGCCTGGAGGCGTATAGAAGGTGAGAAGTTATTATTTGATTGTTTTTATTTCTATTTTTTTATTTTTTTCGTTAGCTTTATATTGAGTGATGGTGATCTATATGCAGAGCATGTGGGTACAAAAACTGCTGTGCAAATTAGAAGCCATGCTCAGAAGTTTTTTACCAAGGTCTACTAAGTTCTTATACCAGTATCCATTATCTCCTATTGTAACTATGTGCCGCCTGTTGAAGTAAGTCATACGATTTATGACTTCATTAAGGCGTGCAACTTCTGGAAAGGTTTTCTTATGAGTATTGAAATTTTGACGTATGATCGGTTTTAATGCTTTAGGTTGCACGTGACTCTGGCAATGGTGATGCAGCCTCTGTAGGGCCAATTGAAATTCCTCCCCCTCGCCCAAAGAGAAAACCACTACACCCATATCCTCGGAAAGTATCTGCCTCCACCAAAGGCAAGGCTTTAACGATTGATAAGCGAGCACGTTCTGTAGCTCCAGATGTTGGTCTCTCAACTGAAGATAACCAATCCCCTACTTCGGTATTGTCCGCCACTGCATTTTGTTCTGATGCTCCAGGTGCAACAGACTCAAACAGCCCAGATGGTAGTTTGTCACCTGTTTCATCAGTTGTTGGTGGCGGTTCCACTGTTTTAGAGATATCTGAGCAACCTAACTTGTCATCAGCAAAAGGAAATGAAATCACATCCATGGCACGTAGCCAAGTGAATATATCTTCAAATCAGGATGAGAAGGTTCCTCTGGTACTTCTCTAACCTTGTCTGTCATTTTCTTTCTTATTCTCTTGTCCAAAAAGATGCTGTTAAGTATGAATTATTTCTAAAGTATTTATGTGATCTTCCTTTACAGAAACTTGAATTGTTTCCAGAAGAGAACTCTTTCATTAAAGAAGGTTCAGAGGAAGTATCATCTACGCAGTGCTTGAAGCTCTTTGGGAAGACTGTAATGGTAACTGACTCTTGTAGGCCGACATCTTCAAATTCAGGAACCTGCAAATTGCAGCCTTCCAATGAAAATGAAGGAAAAACGGCTCAATCGTTACAATGGAATTTAATTCCCATTAATTATTCTAAAGGTGATTTGGAGTATTCCTGGAGTGCTCTAACTTTTGGAGGGCAAGCGGCGCTCTTCTGCCTGCCAGTACAGAATGGAGTATCAAATATAACAGGACAATGTCCAACTCCTATTTCCTTGCCATGGTGTTCATATTCAAACCTCGCGTCTGTTCCTGTAGTCCATGTCCATAATCCAGTTCCAATTAAGGCTTCACTAGTGGGAGATTGTAAAGAAATGGTAGATATTGATGTCCGCAAGGAGGGGTCTTCATCCAACTCCAGTGCTGAGTCTCAGTGTGCGGATGGAGACAGCAATCTTGAAGCTCAAAGCTGTCAATTGGTATTAGGAAAAGAGGAAAAAGCACTTCCCTCCAAAAAATCTGGTTGCGAGACATCTTTCTCGGACTCTTGTAATCGTACCAGGGGTTTTTTACCATATAAGAAGAGATGCGTAGCTGATAGGGATGCTCAGTCGGTAGTAGTTGGAGAAGAGAGGGAGGAGCAGCGCATCCGTCTTTGCCTGTAGTTGATCCTTGTTTTGAGTCTTTTTGCCTGTGCAGTTTCATCTCTTTCTTTTTTGCCATAATTTTTTTGCCCATTGGACAGCTGAGGATGTGAAGACATAACACGAGAGCGGCTTGCGAACCCTAGCTGCAGCATCTCTAGATATGTAGTTGGCCTCACCTACTTTGTAGTTGAGTCCATTTTTTTGTTCTTTTGTTCAGTTCTTCCTCAACTGTGAAAAATGTATGAACTGGAGGCTATGTGACACTTTGTACCAGAACTTGCTTTCATTTTAAGGTTAGGCTTTGATGTGTAATTAGCTAAAGATGTGATGTAAATGTGCCTAACCGTTGATCTTGATATGCAAGAGCTATTCTGTAACTAATAGTCATTCAGTTTATGCTGAGGGTAGGAAACAGTTGTTTGTCAGCTTCCTCCATGTATCTTGTAACTTCATTAGGTCAGAATTGATGGAGCCAAAGAAACAAACATAACTTCCAATATAAACCGAGTGATACATATAATTAACAAAGAATTTGGGCAGGCAGTTTGGATACCTAATGTAAGAATCTCCAGTCTTCATCTTTCAACTCGCAACTAATAGCCCTCTGGTCTAAGGATACCGATCTAGAAAAAGTCGTATTTTGAACTAACATGATATATAATAGACAAATTATTTTTGCTAGGATAAATGGAGAACTTATTCATAACACAACTATCAAATAAAACAATTCTAGTTATTTTGGAAGTCACACGATTTTGCTCCAGGGTAGATAAATTGATTATAAGAAAGGCAAGATAAGAAGATTCATACCGCTCACTCAAATCATTGTCAGACAAATGGACTATGAGACGAAAGACTCCTCTGTCATTTTCCCTGTTTTAGCTTTGCCTATCAGTTTCAAGATACTTGAGTAGTTCAGTACAGTATCAATAGCAGCGTTTTTTGTCAACTCTAATTTGCGGGAAGTCTTCAATTAGGTGATGGCCTTTTGCTGCTAATATGCAGCTTCTCTTTAGTGAATGCAAAATGCAAATCTTCGTTTCTAACGAGTTAGATTATAGGTGCCATATTTGGTTCAAATACACAAAAGCTTCCGGGGAAGTGCTTTTTCCTTTTCTGGGTGGTGCTATCATGGAACCATCTTTTCTTTTGAGTTTCACCCAATGCTTAATCGACAAAACAAATACTACTACTACTACTACTACTACTACTAGAATAAACTAAAAATAAAAGCATATTTATGTGATAAGAAGAAATTGCACAACTTTTTTGTCACTGCTGACCCATCACTTCATGTCATGTAGTTAAATTTGTGTTTGGCTTTCCTACTCAAGCTGAAAACAACGTTAATCTTTTCTAATTTAGCTGCTAAACAATTTTAGTTTTTCATTCCCACGGTTTATGCGAATGCAAATCCGGGGTGCAGAAACTTGGAAGTGGATTAAGGTCAATTTTACATTTTTGTTTATAGAGTATAGCGGTTTTGTAAGAAGCGGAATTTGGAACCACATAATTCCACCGGAAGAAAATCCCATTGAGATCTACTACTATAGAGAGTTAAGGCCTTGGAATTACTACTAGACAGTGAGGTAATTCTTTTACCATTTTTCGATTCGTACCCATTCAATTGTACTATCTAAATAAGATTTTTTTTTTAAAAAAAAAATTGTATTCCCCCCGTCCCATAATTATTGTCCAGTTTGGGTTTTCATTTCTAGTTCAAATTGTACTAAAAGTGAATTCTCAATCTGGACAATAATTTTGGGACAGAGCGAGTATAACGTAAGGAATAACAAGTTGGTCTTAGATCCAAAAAAAGTACATTTAGTATATTTTCACGTTTAAATATGTCTTCTAAATAATAATAAGATGTTTTTAGTTATCAATTTGTATAACGTGAAATAATTTTACAAACAAATATCGTTCATCAAAACGATGTAGAAATTTGGACAAGGAAACAGAGAAAATTATTGTGGGTAAAAGAAGGAAAAAACGCTATAAGAAAAAAAAAAAAAACAGCACCATACTAAAAGGGCATCCTCAAATAAATCAAATCAACGGTCGCGTCACAATTCAGCCACCCAAGTAAAAGAAATGAAACGAAAAAAAAAAAGGAAGAAAAAACACAAAACACAGATTCCACGTCTTGGGAGTCATATTCGCCTGAATATTCTCCAGTGTTTTCCGTAATTCGTCCCCTTTCTATGGGCTTAGGCCCGGTCATGAACGTGGGCTTAATCAACGATTTACGCTAAATGAAGTCATTAGTTTTACAGCCAATCAGTTAATCAACCGACCGCGACGTGTGCTTCGGTTTCACTCTACCTTCTCACAAAGCCAAGAAAGCAGCTATAAAAGTTGAGAGCACGAACACATGCACCATCACTCTATCATCGCCAATTCCACCCCTGCATCATTCACATTTTCCCTTATCATCTTTCCAATTTTACATCACTCTTAGATCCTAAGTTTTCGAAGGAGAAGTTCCGAATTCTTCATCAATGGCTGCTGCTGCGACTTTGAATCCCACCGATGCTCAGAAGCTCGAGAAGCTCAAATCTGCTACTGCCAGTCTCACTCAAATCAGGTTTTCGCAATCATTAATTTCACCTATTAGATCTGATTTCCTGTTGGTTGCATCTGATTATGGCTGGTGTTGATTTGATTTGCTCAATTTTTATTTTTATTTTTTTTTTACAGTGAGAATGAGAAGGCTGGATTCATCAACCTCGTCTCTCGCTATCTGAGGTATAGCGAGAATGTTTCCGAATTTGCTTTCTAATTATGTTTCCGAATTTCGCTTAATTCATTTGGATTTAGCCGCGAATTATTTGATTTGTGTTATTGCTTGGAAAATTATGGTTGATTTTGGAACAATCTGCAACGTTCAATTTTGTTCGCAACGATCTCTGCTTATCTGGAACTTTTAATCATTTATTATTCAAATTTATGAATCGAATACTCGTATAGATTCATCATTCGATGCAACTGTAGATTTATGAGGTTTTGATACTTGATTAAATTTGTAATTTGATTCATGGACTTGCATCTGATTTCTTTGTATTTATAGCGGTGAAGCTCAGCATGTTGATTGGAGCAAGATCCAGACACCCACAGATGAGGTTGTGGTGCCTTATGATACCTTGGCACCTGTACCTGAAGGTAATTCCTCTTCACCTTATTGCTTGTGTGCACTATAGTATTTGAGAATGTTACGTTGAATTCGAAAAATAGAAAAGGATTCCACTGTATGCTAAGAAATGTTTGTCTTTTTATGGGTGCAGATCCTGCCGAAACAAAGAAGCTTTTAGACAAACTTGTGGTGTTGAAGCTTAATGGTGGACTGGGAACGACGATGGGTTGCACTGGTCCAAAGTATGTCTTAGTTTTTTCCATTCTCTTTGTCTGATACCATGGGCTTCCCTTAATAACTTTGCACTATTGTAAGGTCCTCTAGATTTTTTTTTTATGCTTTGCTTATTTGTATCTTTTGTTTCATTGACAACTTGCTAAGACCTACTTGAAGGATGACATTTTTTCCTTATAGCTTGCTATTTTTATTTTCATTTTCATTTTTTGCTAGTGTACGTATGTGCCTTTATATTATTTAAACGGAGATCAGTTTTGTTTGGGAGCTAGTCTGGTCTATCATTATCATTGCAAGACAAGAAATCAGGTTCTGACAAATGGTTCACATTCCATCTAATCTTTCTGAAAGTAATGAGACTGATACTTTTAATCACACTGTTTGGAACTCTGTCCCTTCTTCCTTGAACAATTTAAAGGTTTGTAAAAGAGATAATGTTCGTTTATTATTTAGCCTGTTTAGGAGGAAAACTTGTGAGAACCAATCTGTGCATTGAACATTGTAAAAAGTAGTTCCATTTTTTACTTGATGATGGACACGATCCTTTCCGTTGTAGGTCTGTAATTGAAGTTCGCAATGGATTGACATTCCTTGACTTAATAGTTATTCAGATTGAGGTATTGCACATCAACAACCATTTTATGTCTGTTGCTTTTGGTCCTTGATCATTGTCGCTTTTGACGCTAACGATATCTATGCAGACACTAAACAAGAAATATGGATGCAATGTGCCCTTGCTTCTTATGAACTCTTTCAATACTCATGATGATACTTTGAAGGTAAACAAAGGAGAATATATTGCGTTGTTTTGGTTGTTCCTTTATAATCTCAAGAGACTGACATCTCTTTTGCCAAGCAGATTGTAGAAAAATACACCAAGTCCAATATTGAAATTCATACATTTAATCAGGTCTGTAGTGAACGTCTTTGATTGCACTTTAGTCTGTGGCCTCCTTTTCACTTATTTTAATTGGGTGGCCATGGAGTAAATGTTTCATTTGTTTTTTTTAACAGAGTCAGTATCCACGATTGGTGGTTGAAGATTTCTTGCCATTTCCAAGCAAAGGAAACACTGGCAAGGATGCATGGTATTGAAAATTAATCAACTTTGTTTCAGTTTGTGATTTTGTATTATGTTCAGTTACCCAATGTCGTGTTTTTCCCCTTCTGTTTTGTCTCCCAATGATAAATTTTTTTTTGCCATTATAACAACTTGTGTGTTTGTTAAGGTACCCTCCTGGCCACGGAGATGTGTTTCCAGCCCTGATGAACAGTGGCAAGCTAGATGCTTTAATATCAGCGGTATGGTTCATTGTAGCATGCTCCTTATGACTGTCATACCTGCTATTCTTTAAGATGCATCAAGCTGATCTTTTCTCTCCTCCTGATAGGGCAAGGAATATGTCTTCATTGCCAATTCTGATAATTTGGGTGCGATAACGGATTTGAGTATCCTTCATTCCTGTATTTGAGATTCTGTCTTGGTCCATTATATGCTATCATCTGTTAAGGATAATTTGACCTCCGCGTCATATGATACATTTGCCAAAGCTTTTGTTCAGGCTCGGTGTTGTTATTTCCTTAATTTTATCTTACAGAAATTTTAAACCATCTGCTCAGTAACAAGAATGAGTACTGCATGGAGGTACTGAAGAGATTCAAAATTATTTACCGTCTCTAGCTCAATTCCATTTTCATTTCTCCTCTTCTCTCCTACAGAATAGCAATTGAAAGTTCTCTCATTGCTTAAACCTGAATTTGGCAGGTTACTCCGAAAACGTTGGCTGATGTCAAAGGAGGTACACTGATTTCCTACGAAGGCAGAGTGCAGGTACCAACTTTTCTGTTCCCTCTCTTCCTCTTTTTGGATATAAGGAATTAATTGCAAAGCTGTTTTAGTTTGAGAATGTTCTAACTGATGGCTTAGTAGGAAAAAAAAGGAACAACATGCATATGATTTCTTTTTCGGCCGTTAACTTCTTACTCCAATATTTTACCATATAGTTTTTATTCGATGATACGGTTATGTTTGTTTCATTTTTTTAGTGTGTGTTTTAGGTGTTTTTTGTATTGAAAATGTAAAGAGGTGTATTGGAAATGTAAAAAGGTATGCTGGGATGGGACAGATATTATTATATTATTCTGAAAAAACCATGAGAAAAAGGAAACAAATTGGTGGCAATTCACTTCTTCCTGATTTGGTTTATTTTTCTATAGAAAGGTGCATAGTCTGTTTCAAAAATTGGTTTGTTGTTTTCTGATGGTCATCATAGTTCTGGTTAAAATGGTAGATAATTATTAGCAGTCAATTGTCAGGTTTATATTTGGCTAGGTCTAGTGAAATGACGGTTAAATTATTGTTCATGATTTTGCTCCTGAAATTTAGTATGCAGAACCCTGGTTGCTTATTGACCCTTTTCATCCTTTTTGCTGCAGCTCCTGGAAATCGCCCAAGTTCCTGATGAACATGTAAGATTCAGTTTCCCTTGGTTTCTTTATCTTGCTTGACAGAATGCCTTTAAGCTGTTAAATTCTTGATGGGAAACAGGGGCTGAATTGAAAATAGACGGAATAGGCAAACCCTAGCTACAGGGATTTGAGAAAGACAGTCTTTGAAAGCTTTTAAAGATTGCTTTTTACAAAATATCAGAATAACTTGAATAACAAAGCTGCATAAGGTCTCTATTTATAGAGAGATTCTGTTTATTCCTAATCTTACTATTTCTTAAATCTTCCTGCATCAATTCTTCTATCTTTCTGCACGCTTCGAAGAAAACTGAAATATTGACTGTTGTAAGTTTATCACTCTGGCCCTGGGTTGTAACACTAGGATGATCAGCATTCCTTTTTTTCTTTTCTCTTTTTTTTTAAAAAAAAAAAAAAATTCAAAGAAAAACATACATGCTTGATGAAAGCTTCTTGACTCTGGATGCTGGATGAGAGTATTCCTACTCTGCATACGTCAATAGACACTAGATATTCATGAAAATCTACGAATAATTGCGAAATTGATTTCTAGTCTGAAGTTGAATCTTTTGGCTTGCTTCATCGAGGAAATATTAGTTTCCAGCAAATGCGCAGCTACTGGATGTAGCATCTTGACCTTGCTTTCTTTCATAAAAGTCTGTGGTAGTAATTGTTAATGCTCTCCTTTACTTTGCAGGTAAATGAATTCAAGTCAATTGAGAAGTTCAAAATTTTCAATACAAACAATTTGTGAGTCATTTCTTTAGTTTCTTATTAAACTAGTCATTTTATCCATATAATTTTGATGATGATTCCTAGAATTACAATTGAATAACATTTATATTGGTGCCATGCAGATGGGTGAACTTAAAAGCAATCAAAAGACTTGTTGAAGCACAAGCCTTGAAGATGGAGATTATTCCAAACCCCAAGGTAGGGCATTGTTATTATTTGCTTTGATCCATTAGATGCGCCTGTTCTTCGAATGAATTCCATTGTGTTTTATCAGGAAGTGGATGGCGTCAAGGTTCTTCAATTAGAGACTGCTGCCGGTGCTGCAATAAGGGTACATGAGAACTTTGACTTTGTTTACTTTTATGCTTAAACATTTTTTCCTCTGCTGAAAACTAAAAAGAATCTTAACTAATTCTAGTTCTTTTCATCAGTTCTTTGACAGGGCCATTGGCATCAATGTCCCTCGATCTCGCTTCCTCCCCGTAAAAGCCACCTCTGATCTGCTTCTGGTTCAGGTTAGTGTTGGTTTGGTAGTTTGCCATTTAGTTTTGAATCTTGCACTTTCAATTTTATTGATGAATTGGTTTGGTACTTGCAGTCCGACCTTTACACGTTGTCTGAAGATGGCTATGTGGTGAGAAATGAGGCTAGGACTAATCCAGCTAATCCTACTATTGAATTGGGACCTGAATTTAAGAAGGTAAGTTCATGAATCCACATCGTTCCTCAATTGTTATTCTACTCTCCTGGTAATACTGCTTATTGATGGTTACATTCTTCACAGGTTGGCAACTTCTTAAGTCGGTTCAAGTCCATTCCCAGTATTGTTGAATTAGATAGCTTGAAGGTCACTGGGGATGTGTGGTTTGGAGCTGGTATCACCCTCAAGGTAAACTAATGTTTTTTATGAATCCTTGCTGTTTGACTTAGTAATGAAAAAGCTAGCAATTAGTAATAGCATTTTACATCTTTTCGTCGTTTCTTTTTTAGGGAAAAGTGACGATTACTGCTAAACCTGGATCTAACTTGGAAATTCCAGATGGAGTTGTGATAGCAAACAAGGTAATTACCTCCCATGGCTAATAGTAGAATGTCGAGCAGAGGAGTAGACATATTCTGACTCTACTTTCCTCATTTGTTTGCAGGACATCAATGGTCCAGAAGATATATAGAAAGGTCCGATCCAGCAGTGCTCCATCAGTTATGAAAGCTCTACCAGGGAGTTTGGTTGTAATGAATAGTATGAGTTGTACCAATTTGGACTTGTGAACAAATAATCAGGCAGTTTTATGGATCTTTAGGTGATTGCGGCTGATTTTATGTATTTTTACTCTTCTAAATCGATCTTTTTGGTCTTTGTTTGAAAGAAGGGTGAGTTTGTTTACAAAAACTATATACTGTTTTAAACAAAGTGAGGGAAGTCTGTCAAAGCAGGGCGGCATTTTTCTTGGAAGTTTTTATTTCTTTACTAGTCACGTGATACCTACACATTCTTCTCCGTCCCATCTTGTCATGCTTGAATTACACAGCATGAATATTTAGAGGAGCCTTCCCCCAAATGTTTAGAGGGGCGTGGGAAACGTTCTCCTGGTGTGTGTTTATGTAGCTACTAGATAGATATCGAGGAGTCGAGTGTGTTGCGGATGTGGAAATGTCTTTGAAGGATATATTCCAGTTCTTATTGGAGGCTGTTAATTCTGTGGATTAGTTTCTGTTATGATTATTATTCTTTATCATTTCCTTTTCTTTTTGCGAAGAAATTGTGCTGGGCTGGAGACTTGGAAATATTTTCTTGAAGAAAATGAAAATATTATTTGCAACAACCAGTATAACAAGCCTGTTACGAAGTAGGCAAGTCCATGGATTTCCTCTGCTTCATTTCTAGTTACTTTACTAATGGTACAGTGAGAAAATCCAAGTAAAACTAATTCTGTAACAAGAACTTGTGCTTGAACGGGAAAATCAAACTCATGTAATCTTTGACTCTAAAGCGCAGCAATTTGTATAAGCAGTTATTGTTGTCAATTCCTTATGCCATGCCGCTCCCAGAGCTAATTTGCAAGCGACAACCTCTGCTTGTATTGCTGATAAAGCTGACACATCCTGCGCCTTAATCTGTAAGACTTGCTCCCTCCATGGAACATATATTCCACGCCACACCGACTTTTCCCGTCGTATTCGTAAAAGAGCCATCACAGAAAATGGATGCTTCACGGTGTTGGATCGCTATTCTTTGATGTGAATCCTCCTCCGGTGGAATGATCTGTTGGGTTGACCGACCAAACTCCCAAACCAGTAGGCACTAGCCAAGTGGCATATGCATCTATAATTTTGGCCTGCCTTACAATATGATTTCGTGCCATCCATTTTCTTGTTTTAAAGGGATAAATAGTGGTTCTTCACTTATCTCCGCATAATTTCATGCAATTCATATGTGCTAAATGATATGGACAAACAAACTAACCTCATCTGCAGATGGAGCTTTGCAAAGCAAAGCCAACTTTGAAACCAAGTTCGGAAATTTCTTGGGGACAACCCTGATTGAAGTCAAAACCAAGTGTTGACACTTCCCACAATTGAACATAATGCTCACAATTAAAGAAGAGATGTGTAGAAACTTGGAAATACTGAATGCAAAGAAAAAAAAAAAAAAACAAAGACGTTTCTTTCTAACGTCATATATTCTATTTTTGTTCGAGAATTTCAAATGTTCTAACATAAATCGACTAGAGAGGAACATTTTAACTCATTTCCGGGAGTATTGATGAATATATCCCAATGTTTACATTGTGTATGCAGTCATCCCGGATTTTTTTAATTAGTTAATTACACCCCAAAATTTTAGAATTGGATAAATTCATCCCATAACATGTCATACAAAAAACAACACTTGATAAAATATGTAAAAATCTATTGGATCCTGGATTTATTCTTTTTCTTCATATTTTCTCTTTTCTTTCATTTTTTAGATCATTCAAAAACAAGCCACTTTTCTAGACAAAATAAAAACTTGAAAAAACCTAATTACTCCCTCCGGTCTTTATTACAAAGTATTTTAATTCTCATAATATATAATCTATAACCTCCATTATAGCAAAAACTATATTTCTCCTAAAATTCCAAATGTGACTCTTTGCTTAAATTTTTTTTTTCCAGTGAAGCTGATATGCAAAAGTTTGAGATGGTTCCCTACTATAGGTAAATTCTTTACTTTCATTATACATATATTGCTTTCATTATTCAGTGGCCATTATTCAATAAATAACATTTTTTTTTATCGATTACCGAATTAGTTTGTTATATTCAATCACACATGATTTTGTCCAAATTCAAGAGTGATATAACAGTATCCCAAGAATTCATATCTGATAGAGCAAACAATACCGGCAACCACAAAAAAAAACACACACACACACACACACACACAAATCGGCAAAACGCCATCATCTGTGTGGTCGATAAAACGAAGACGCTACATTGTAAGCATAAGCAGTAAATTAACGGTGGTGATTGATTTTTTTTTCATATACATAAATTTTCATAGTATTTCTCTTGGTTCAATACTTGCCAAACGTGAAAGTTTTACTCACGAGTTATTAGTTCATTTTTTAAATTTTTTTTCCAATTCATTAAAATTAATTGAGAATGATTATTCTGATGATTGTTACGCCTTTCAAAAGAGAAAAGTGGTAATAAATGCTGTTTTTTTTAAACAATATTCTTAATTTGGGAAAAAATAAATTATTTTTATGTTAATATAAACATGATGAATTGAAGCGATGATTTTTTTGTTTTTTTTCAGTTTTATCACCGTAAAAAACAAGATTCTGGTTGAAAACTTGACAACGGTTTCTAACACGATGGAATTATCGAAATCGGCTGATGACAAAATGCCTCAAGTAAGATTCTTCGAATTTTATTTCTCTTTTGTTGATTAAAAGATACTCCCTCCGTGTTAAAATGATTGTCCGGTTTGAGATTTTATTTTTAGTACAAATTCTTTTATTTAACACACTAATTAAATCTCTTTTGTTTTTTACTATTTTTAATCATTCATTGTGCAACAACTACTGCAGGGTCTTTCATCAGGCAATTGGAGCAGTGGCCACTTCTTTATTATCATTTGTTGTTACTCCAGCTAATTTAAGAATTCAGTGAAACAATAATGTGGATGCAAGATAAAGTTTTGACTTTTGACATCTTAAAAGAAATGAGCCAAGGGTATTAAGTTGTCAAGTTAAAATAATTGTCATTCACGACAAAAGAAAATTTTCAAAGAAGAAATAAAGTTAATAAAATAAAAAATATCAAAATCATAATTAGAATCGAATAAAAAATACTAACTATAAGCGAAGTTGAAATCATAACCAAAATCATAACCGGAACCAGAACCGTTTCAAACCGTAACCGTTTGAAACCGTCTCTTATATGGTTCGGTTATAATTTCATCTATCTTGAAACCATAAACCGGCGATGAGATTGCATAACGTATCTTTTAATCGAAGCCCGGTAGCCCACGCCGTAGTCGCAGTAGTAGTCGTGTTTATTTTCTTCATGTTTTTCCTTATCATGTATAACAATGTGATTGACGTTAATGCAATAGATAGATCAGGTCCTTAATTTATCACAAGTACCTTTTTAGTTTTCATCCTAATACAACAACAACAACAATAATAATAATAATATGTTCAATGTATAGTGTTTCATCACTTTGAAAGACTGATGATAATCATGTTAGGCTGCCATGAGCGTCGAACATGAATTAATTTAGTGTTCTGGCTAATGGAACACACAATGCATACAGCATTTTTCTAAAAAAAGAAAATAGAAAGAAAACGTCTCTTAAAGTATTGTTATGGATATGTATTTATTGCATTTACTTTCGCGTAATGAAAAAATTTGACGGTTCGTGGGCCGTGGCCTCATGTACTTTTTATGAAATTGAAGACTATCTCAGAGTTAATGAACGTAGAATTTGGCAAGAATCTTCTCCTCTAGTTATTGTTAGTTTAGAGAGAATTAATGTTATACAACAGTATAACTATCGATCTTGGTTTCATAACACGAAGATGCTTCGAGATCGACCTCGAGTCTTTGACAAACATTTTTACAAAAATATATTCGCTCTTGTTCTTATTATAAGTCATTTTGATTTCGCATAGATTTCATTTAGGTTGTTATTGTAATTGAAAATAAAATTTTAAAAAATATATTTTTACATTCATTGTATTCTTTTAATTATTATAAAGTATTTTAAAGATTTCTTTTTGTGAAAACTACTAAATCTTACTATATTAGAAACAAAAACCTCCCTTTCAAACAGCTCATATGATTGCCACGTAGCATATAGAAAGTACTAAATTGCCCTTTTGTCTAAACCATAACTAAATTACTAAATTTCCCTTTGCACTTTACGTGACACGTTTTTTTTTTTAAAAATTTTTTCTTTATGTTTCATTCATTTAGAATGGTTTTTTAAGTTAAATTGATCAATTAGGTTTTTGTTACAAAGTGTCAATTTTGTTTTAAGCGCATACCCTGCGGATGAAGCTTATTACAAAGCTATTAAAAATCTCCAAAACTAAGTATTAATTTGGCACGACCGAACATTAATAAATCATCTTACTAATATTTAAATTTATTAGGATGCTTTTATATTTTATCTAACATTTACTTCAATATATATATTAGATTAAGACTATTTATATTTAATAAGTAACACTTATAAAATATTTCTATAACTTACATGGCGAAATACAATTTTTTTTTTTTTTTGTGAAATACAATTATTTCTATGATCACACTTATAAAAAATTTCTAAATCCTTCAAACATTTCTAAAATATATCACTCCAAATACAAAATTTTATTTTTTTTCAAATATAAACATTTCTAAGATTTGCAGATAGACTGGGCCAGAGTCGCGCATTGCGCGACCAGACATCACTAGTAAAACTTAGAAATCAAAATATCTTATAATGAGGACCGAAGGAAGTAATATTTTTATAGCATTCTTGACAATAGACGAGATATATCATAATTTTACATGTATATTTACAAATTACACGCATGTACAACCCTAGATAATCATATCTACTAAATGATATGACGTTGTTGCTGGTTTTGACGGTAATTTGCTTGGGAACATGGCCGGTAAAATTCAAGAAGTTGGATTGCTACTTGGTACTTATAAGAAATTACAAACAATTATCTTTCGAACAATTTATTAACAAAGGAAAATGTATTCAAGGTTGGATGCATTATGAATCGAAAACATGAGAATGGTAACAGCAAATAACATTTGACACAATGTGTAATGACTTCTAATGATAGCCTAATTAATAAATTGCTAATCTAATTAATAACTTCTAATGATAAATTATAGTACTAATTTTGTCTCGACAAAATAATTCACGTTGAGTTTATAATTTCACCTCCTTTTTCCAGTTATAATATTGAGTTGGGGATTGAAAATTTGAAACGAACACAAATGATTCCCCTTTTTGGGTTTAGGGTTCACAATTATATCCGTGCAAAGATGATTTTCTCGGAAGTATGCTGAATCAGGACACACAGTCACACACATTGTCAACATCTCCTGTATCTGTCTAAGCACCGCTGCCAAAGATTATTTTTGGTCTTCTGGAAGCACTCAAGAGGCATATACTACAAGCACCAAACGTACGGGAATGGAATTATCATTTGTATATCCTCTATTTTCTTGTTTTCTGAAATTTTAATATTTTTCCCTATAATAATAATTAATGGATACACTTTATCAAATTTCCACTACTGACCTCCAAAGAAAATGAAAGCCAACTATGCTCCCTAATTCTTAAAAGAAATAATTTATTATTAATTAATTAATAATTTCTTTACCCTTTTCGTTGAATTTTATGGGAGTAAGTTGAAAATATATAATAAAAGTAATAATTAGGTGGAAAATAATAATAGTAGGATAGAGAGAGTGTCGTGACTTGACCAACTTTTGCAATTCCGTCTATATTTAAACCCCCCCAAGTTAGACTCTCTGGCTCTCTCCCCTGTTTTTATTGTCACCTTCCCAACAACTCCGATCCACTTCTCGGTTCTTACTGCTGCTTTTCTTTTGCTTATTTTTTATTCCCCAGCCGGCGGAGATTGGCATCATCAATCTCTGCTAAGAACCCATTTTTGAGATATCTCCCTTTTCAATCCGATTCGTCTTTTGCTGAAGCCATGGGATTCGAGAAGATCAAGGTGGCCAACCCCATCGTTGAGATGGACGGTTAGATCTTCTTCTCTCTGTTTCTCTTTTCGTTTTACTCTTTCTCCTTTGCTTGGACGTGTTGGTTTTTGCATTGATCTGTTTATCGTTTGATGTAGTTGAATTGAATCAATTGTTTTGAGGATCTTGGGTTGTGGTTAATTTTTTTTTTTTTTTTTGCTGCATCAGTTGATTCTTAAATCTTTACTATATGTGGATGGTTGTTTTTGGATTGAAAGATTATGGTTTAAGAATCAAGGGATAAAAAGATGCAATCTTTATTTGGTTTATGCTATATTAATGAGAACAAAAAGAAAATATCTTGACGATTCTATTTGGTGGGCCATTAAGATTTTTTTTTTCCCGCTTACCATGATGATCTGTTCGGTTTTGCTCTCTCTGTGCAATCATGAATTTGTTTGTTGGTCTCTGTATTTTCCTTTCCTTGTTGATGGGTTCTTTAGCTCTTCAGTCAGCTCATTATCTGGAATGGCCATTTTAGTAGTTTAGTTTTGTTTGAAGCTCTTCATCTGCACTCGTGAGATGAGTAATTAAGATGATGTCTAATTGAATGCTAAGTTGATTTGGTCGGTGAGTATACTTCATCCAAGATGCCATGTCTGCGTCACCTCGAAATATGTGAATGTGATCTTGCTGAAACCTCTTATTTGATTTCTCACTCAAAGGACTCACTCAGCAGTTTTTTCTTTTTTTTTTTTTTTAAAAAAATTATTATTATTTTATGTAATGTATGACACTTAATTCTCTTCACAGCAATTCCGATACATGGTTGCTCCTGCTATCCGAATCATTGTTTTTGGGCTTTGATTAGAAGTCATAGATTGTTTCTTCTCTTTTTTAACTTTTTATTTTATGCAGGTGACGAGATGACCCGTGTCATTTGGCAATACATCAAGGACAAGGTAACTAGTAGTTTGGGACAGTCTTTTTGTCATTTTTACTTCATTTATGTGCGATTATATGAAGATTGTGTTATGAGGTATGCTAATTTCTTTGTGTTTTGCAGCTTATTTTCCCTTTCTTGGAGTTGGATATTAAGTATTTCGACCTCGGCCTTCCTCACCGTGATGCTACTGACGACAAAGTTACTATTGAAAGTGCAGAAGCTACTTTGAAGTATGATAGTTTGCTCATTTATTGTAGTCTTAGAATTTGGAAGATTATATTTTCAGGATTAAACAATTATGCTTCTAATGTTATGGATATGATTAAATATGCTAGTACAGTATTTTATTCTTCCAATGTGCTTCGTTCTATGCTGTTAATATCTGGTACCTGATTCATATTGTTCCATTGTAGGTATAATGTTGCAATTAAGTGTGCTACCATCACTCCTGGTAAGTGATTTTCCAGTTGCTATAGAAAAGCCTTGATATACATCTTTTGAATGTTTTCTAATTGGTTCACATATTAAAACTCCATGTTCTGTTTTTAAAATTACAGATGAAGCTCGTGTAAAGGAATTTGGTTTGAAGTCTATGTGGAAGAGTCCAAATGGAACTATTAGGAACATCTTAAATGGTGAGTAAGCTAGACCCTAACATAGAAAACTTGCATGTAACTTCCAGGCCCGTGACCTTTTGCTCTCTCTGCAGGCACTGTCTTTAGAGAGCCAATTCTTTGCAAAAATGTTCCCAGACTTGTTCCAGGTACTTTAAACTTTTCTAAAGCTAAGATTGAAAATGTAATTTACACAATGGGCTTGCATTGACTCTTCTATTACCAGGATGGACAAAGCCAATATGCATTGGAAGACATGCATTTGGAGACCAGTACAGAGCTACTGACACAGTCATTAAAGGAGCAGGAAAACTGAAATTGGTGTTTGGTAAGTGTCATTGTCCATTGATACTGTGCTATAATGCAGAGCATCTTCCAAAGATTTCTGTCATTTGAAAGATTTTTGTAATTTGTGTAAAGGAAACTTTTTATGTGTTTTATCCAGGTTGTATATTTATTTCCCAGTGATTGTTCCCTAGTTCTTTTAAATTGATGTTTTCTATGTGATTGCAGTGCCGGAAGGATCTGATGAAAAGACAGAACTTGAAGTCTACAACTTTACTGGTGCCGGTGGAGTGGCTTTGTCTATGTATAACACAGATGAGGTCTGTTTACATAATTGAGCTCTTTGCTTAAAGTTCTACTGGGACTGAACTTCTTATCTCATTCTTTTTTTGCAATTGTTTGTCAAATTACAGTCTATCCGTGCTTTTGCTGATTCCTCAATGGCTACTGCTTATGAGAAGAAATGGCCACTTTATCTTAGCACGAAGAATACCATCTTGAAAAAATATGATGGAAGGTATGATACAGCATATTAGGATCTTATTTACAGAAATTTTGCTGTACCATTTACTGTCCCTCATATTTTAACCTTCTATTGTTTATATCTTGTCTGGAATCCTTTTAAGTGGCATACAATATTTCTGTCTAATCTGTTTGTTTAGTTTTTCAGGTTTTTTTTTTGTTGTTTGTGTTTCATATAGTTTGAGCCTGTCATTTTTGTTATTTCATGTGTGTAGCTCGTAGTCGCTTTGTTTTTTCGCTTCATCTGAATAGATCCTCAACTTATCTTTCTTAATTATACTTTTGTAATAGCCTATTTGTGTCTCTCATATTGATGTTTCCACAATATAGGTTCAAGGACATTTTCCAAGAGGTATACGAGGCCAGCTGGAAATCAAAGTTTGAGGCTGCTGGAATTTGGTGAGCTGATTGTCTAAGCACTTTGGTTATATTGCTTTTTCTATGCCACATAGTGTTGTTGATGGAGCATTTATGTAATCAATCTATCAGGTATGAGCACCGTCTAATTGATGATATGGTTGCGTACGCTCTAAAGAGTGAAGGGGGTTATGTATGGGCTTGCAAGAATTATGATGGTGATGTTCAGAGTGATTTTCTAGCTCAAGGTATGATATCTAAGCTTTTGTCACATAACGGCTATCATATTTTTCCAGCTGCATGGACGCAATGATGTATGGATAATATCATCCATCCATTTTATGCGTTTCTCTTTAATGATTGTGCCTTCCTTTTTTTGTAGGGTTTGGATCTCTTGGGTTGATGACATCAGTCCTGGTATGCTTTGCTTTTGATAAAACTTCTTTTACATCATTCAATTAGTTTTGGGTAAAAGTAAAAGAAGTCATCTCGACTTTCCATGCTTTTTGTTGATCCCCTGCTATAGTTATATATACTGTGCCCACTTGCGGTTGGGTTTTTGGTGCATACTCTGTCGTGTAAGGATGGTTTATGTCCTAGTCAACTGATGAATGTATTTCCTTTAGGTCTGCCCGGACGGTAAGACCATTGAGGCTGAAGCAGCTCATGGGACTGTTACAAGGCACTTTAGAGTTCACCAGAAAGGTGGTGAAACTAGCACTAACAGCATTGCCTCAATCTTCGCTTGGACCCGAGGACTGGCTCACAGGTACGGGCGGATTCTTATCTCATGACCTGTCAAATTTCTTTTGTCAATATGCTCTTTTCCTCTAGTCTATTTTCCTTTGACCCGATTTGTTTCCTTAATTTTGATGAATGGATAAAATTCTCTGTTTTTGGGTTGCAGGGCAAAGTTGGATAACAATCCCAGACTGTTGGACTTCACTGAGAAGTTGGAGTCTGCATGCGTTGGTGTTGTAGAGGCAGGAAAAATGACAAAGGATCTTGCACTTATCATTCATGGATCTAAGTAAAGCAACCTTCTGCTGCTTCACTTGTTTATATGGTCTATTATATGGTCTAGCTTCCTTCTCTAGTAAAGGAAGTACCTAATCTATTTTTGAATGGTGCAGGCTAAGCAGAGACAAGTATCTGAACACGGAGGAGTTCATTGATGCTGTTGCTGATGATTTGAAAGCAAGATTGTCTTACAAAGCGTAAGTGTATGTGCCGAAGAACCTTAATTTGTGGGAATTCAAGTGATCTTGTAACACCGCCCCCAAAAAAAAAAAAATTGTTTCATTGTTTCATCTAGTTTTCCGGTGGTTATTGTGCACCAAAGATGATTCTTATGCCCCCTCTGCCCTTTCATCAGGTCTCTTTAGGATGTGGACCGGTGCTGTTCGGGGTTTTGAGTAAGAAGAAATGAAGGGGTCGGAAAGAATTTTATTGATGAGGCTCATTGAAGTTTTGGTGGATCACTCTTTTAGTCCTCCATTGTTAGACACCTGGTGTAATCCATCGCAGACTTTTTTTCGTTGTCCAATTTCAAATCTTTATGATTTCTTTTAATCATTGGCTTTTTTTCTTTTTTTTTCTCTCTCTCTCTCTCTCTCTCTCTTGGGTACATTAGTTTGTCATCTTTGTGACTGTTGAATGCAACCTGCAAGTTTAACTTACTCAACTCACACGTCGCTGACGTCAGTTTTTCTCTTATATTTTACGTTCTCTTTCAAAGAAAAGTAATGAACTAATAGAGAGATAAATGTTGTCCATAGAAAGGAGAGTTTTTTTGTTTGCTCATCTTACATTAGAACCATAATAGAAATCATAATCCCAATCGGAAGTCTGTTTTTGTGCTGAGATTAACAATATTACTTTGATGAAACCCGCTCCATAAGTACACCATTAACTATTTAACTTGAACCTCACAAACTCATAAGCAGTTTTTAAGTTTTAATTAATGAATATTTGATGTTTGTGAGATTAACAATATTGGAAAATGACATGTAGTAAAATATATAATGCAAAAAAAAAAAAAAAAACTGACTGATGCGTAATATTATAACTTTTATTTTGTTGTATTTTACTATTAAAATTTTATCTATCTTTTTCAAAAGTATATTTTTACCCTTAATCACTATCTCTATTGTTGATATATAGATTCGCATTTCAAACATATGGTCAACTAAACAGTATAACATGTTTTCTGCGATTCAACATCTCAATTTGTTGGAATTTAAAACTCTAAATACCTGGAAGTTGGATAAGTTAAAGGAATTGAAAGGTGAATTTAGCAGTATTTGATGGAATGTAGTGGATAATCTCTAAAGTGGCTAGAGGGAGATGAGGAGATACATTCGCTCATAAAATATTTTGAAATTTTTTAAATATAGTTTGATTTATTACAATTCATATTTTAATATCCATTAATAAGGTAAAAAGTGAAAATTATCTCACAGTGACTTAGTAACATTGGATTTGAGTTCCATATTCTTCCCATTGAAGAGGTAGACCTTTTCTTCAAAACAAACATAAAGAAGACTACGAAATTTATACCCGCAATATAGCAAGTTAATTGCAAGGATGAATACTATCTATTTATTATAACAAAAAAATGATTATGAAATTTGATTGAAACTATATCTTGCTCTCTTTTTCCCCCCTTTTTATTATTGTTATATTACTAATTTAGAGAACAATTATTATTTGGACTAGCAAAAATTATAGATATGGGTAATTATATCCGCATACACACACACACACACACACATATATATATATATATATAATCCTTCCGTTAAAATTTGACATATATTCTACTAATTTCTAAGCTTTCCAACCGACAGTGCAATTAAATAATTTTTACCTTTTAAATCCAAAAACCATGAATTTCCTTCTCAATTTCCTCCATAAACCAATCATATGCCACTTCTAAATAAAAAACATCCATATAATTGTATCAACATCAAGCACATCCACCATCCAATTTTTAAGAGGTACATTTTTCTAATAAGGGTTAGTATCGTTTTAGTACATATAATTGATAAAGTTTTCCCCATCCACAATATTTTGATGTCTTTTTCTTCTTCTTCGTTTTTTTTTTTTAAAAATAAAATTTAAGCAAGGGACTAAAACGTTTTATCCGTAAAAGTTAGTTCTAAGTCCTGGCCTCCTGGGAACTGAACAATCATATTAACGCAAACCTTAGGTGACACACGATAGCCAAAGCAGGAATTTCTTCCTTCATTAACCAAGCCAACCAAATGCTTTTGTTTTTTTTTAAAAAAAGGAGTGCTCAAAAAGTGGAATTAGATCACTGCTCTGCCATTTTCAGTTTTATGCATCATTTTACTTTTCAAAAACTAAAACAGTCATAAATTATCAGAAAAGAAGTATTGAGAAAGAGAAAAGAACTGCAAACACATTAATCATCATCAAAGAAGACAAATTTTTATTCATGGAACTTTTTTTTTTTTTGAAAAGGTTCATGGAACTTCATTTTCACCACTTACACAAGAATCTAAAATTCTCAAATTGGTATTAAATTAAAAAATAAAAAAATAACAACAACGCAAAACGAATAGAAGTACAAAAACCTTCACCTTATTATTCTCCTGGACTAATGTTTTACATAAAACTAAAAATAAAAATAGTAACGACGGCGGCATATGATCTTTATTCTGTGTAGACATTCGCGCTCACGGGTAGCATTCAATCATCATGTTTTGATAGGCGTTAATGGTACGGCTTCATATCTATAGCCGCTGTGGCACCTACACCAACATAAACTGTTACATGAAGAACTGTTATAATCAACTCCATCACAAGAACATGTGCAATTATGCACCATGCCGGCGCAAGGCGGCGGGTGGCCCCCGATGATGCTTGGAGCTTGTTTTGGTGAACTACTACTAGAACTGTGGCTTGGAGGCTTTGATGGGCTGATTCTTGTACTTGGAGACGGCGAAGGAGAAAGATGATAAGAAGGAGAAGGAGGAGTATGAGGGTTTTGTGATGGAGGAGGAGGTACTAATGTGGGAGGATTTTGATATCCAATTCTATTTTCATGGCCGCATTTGAAATGATGTTCATAATCTTTTAATGTATCTCTCACTTTGAGAAATACGCCACGAGCAACATTATTCGCTATCTCATCCCAAGATGGATGGAGGGTTTGTGGGAGATGATCAGGCCAAAACAAAGGGAAAGGCAAAGTTTGATGGAGAGAAATTAAGAAAATGCAAAAGAAGATGGCTAGTTTATGAGTAGTGTTCATCCTGCTCTTCTTGATTTTGGGGGTTTTTGTTTTGTTTGGAGAGGAGATTTGGAAGAGTGTGAGAATTTTTTATTTGGGTAGGAATTATGAAACGTATTAAATATACATGATCATTTTCTCAGTTGGTGGGAAATTTTATAGATTTAAAAGTTGAAATCAACGTTTATTTGAATTTATTAGATGGATAATCATTGATTTTAATTTAATTGACCTATACTTACTTTTTACTGATACCCATTGGTAAGGTAAAAAGTCAAAATAACTTCATAGTATATATGTTACTCGAGTTCCAACTTTTAAGGTTATTCCCTCCCACTTAAAAAAAAAAAAAAAAAAGCAGAGAAAAGAAAAACTTATCAAAGAGACTGACTTCTTCTTGGAAAGGAAAATAGGATGGTGATGCACTTTGATCGAAACTAGGAGTTATCTCTTATCCTCACTTTTTTGTTTTTCTTTTTCTTCCCCTTTTTCTAATTTTAAAAAAATACAAGTTATCTTTTGACAACAAAAATTAAATGTTGATTGATGATAAATACTACGTAAACAGTAAACTTGTATCAGTTGGTGGGAGATTCTAATTTTTGTTTTTCTTTTTCTTCCCCTTTTTTCTAATTATTTTAAAAAGCTTTAGTTGAAATTTGAAACATCACTTGGAAAAAAAAAATCACTTAAATTCTACAAATTTCAAAGTTTCCAAAGCCTATAACAGTTGATTAGGATGTTGCCTTTTTGAACCCAAATTTACTTCGGATTTGAAACAAACATCAATTCTTGATTCTCCTGATCGCAAAACTCGCTCGGTAGTGACCCTAATTTTGAAACACAGCTAGGATTTAACATCAGCAGAGGGTCAATCAAGGAGGACAGCAAATCAAGGGCAAAAAAAAGTTGAGGAAACCCGATACCTACCCATCCGAGGTCACCTACAACAAAAGGAATTTACATGCTTTAATGATTCCAGAACACTTGAACTGACAAGTAAAACAAGTAGACGAAACAAGGATAGAAGAAACATCAACTTCCTGAATGATCTTGAAAGCTAGCAAAAAGCATCCCTTAAGTCCATAAAAAACAATAATCGAACAGGCCGACATCCACCTCCAAAACGATCTACATCATCCACAACAACAAACGCAGCCCGGGAAAGAAGAGAGCAAAGAAGATAATCTAATTGAACCAAAAGCGCATACCATGAAGAGCCATGAGAAGAACTTAATAATCACCGCCACACAGGCTGACATCTGACTTATCCAGGCTGACATCTGGACCGGTCCGATCTACAACAAACAAAACCACGACCAGCCGGGAACAAGAGGACAAAGAAAATCTAATTAAACCAGAAACTAGCGTGAATAGCCAAGAGAGAAACTTATTCATCATCAGAGCCCCCCCTTCTCCCGACAAACTAATCCTCCCGTGATTAAAGGAAGCACCCTTCCACTCTTCAGGAATCCAAAGGACCCAACAAAGAGCATCCAGAAACCCCCTAGATCCATCCAAATCAATACTCGTACGGGCTAGTGTCCACCTCCAAATCGAAACCAATCCGATTTATTCATGATCGCAACCAAATCAACAGTCAAACAGGCTGGTATCCACGTTCAAAATCAAACCGCTCCAGTCTCCAATCAATTAAACCAGAAACGTAGCATATTCATCACCGGAGGCTTCCTTTTCCTCTCGCCGCGATCCTTCAAATACGTAGTAGCTCATAAGTTTTGCCTAACACAATCAATCAAAGCCACCAAGCACAAATCATCCTCTCATCAAACAATCAACAAGAAAGAAACCAAATAAAAAAAAAAACCCACGACGTTGATAACACAACAAAACTGAAACCCCTGCGACCGACAATAGACGATCGGAGCGACATGAATGAACAGAAACAAACATCAATTCATCCGGCCTTGTCAATAAATGTACATTCTAACGGGAAAAATAAACAGATGTCATTAGGAAGGAATCGAAATTGTGACATGGGAGGTTAATACTGTGAAGTCTCAGGAACCAAGTAGGCAAGGGCATTCGCTAAAAAAAACAATTATTGGACAATGAAAATACGTTCCGACTATGCAAGCAAAACAAACCCTGCATACTCACATTTGTGTAGCCTACCTAAACTCAAAAAGAAGTTACTTCGTTCCTGTGTAGCCTTTCTAACTCAGCTCAAAACCGATTTTGCCAAATCTTTTAACGTCAAACAACTACTACAAAATACTCTCACTAATATCAATGTTGATATAAAGCCCAATTGTAACCAGTTTCAGTATTCCAGCTCATAATTTTGACCTCATTAAGTACGAAATAAATGCTATACATAAACCTCAATAAATGACTAGAAAAAGGTAGCAGGATGTGTAAAGAAAAAAAAAAAAAAACTAGTACAGTAAAAAGTAAACATCAACCAAAAGAGAAGAAAAAAAAGACCAATTTTATTCATCATAATTTCTTCTTGCCAACTTACACGAGAATTGAAAATAATTCTCAAAATGGTGAAATACAAGACAACTACATCAAAATGTAAAACTGACTAATTAAGCACAAAACCTGCTTCACCTTATTCTAAACTAAACCAATTTTATGGTTTTACATAGCATATCACCCAAATCGAAATGATACAAAATGCTCGGACAACTTAATCGTGTATACTGGAGATAGGAATCAATGGTTCAGAGTTGACAGTGTGCTTGCTAACACAGTTACACCAGCATGGTGTATTACGATGACATGAATATCCTCTGTAAGTTATTTTATCACACTCACATTTGCATACATGCTTAATGATGCACCTAGGCGTGGGGCCTGGAGGCGGCATTAAAGGACTGGTTGGGCTTAGAATACTTGGAGATGGGGTAGGTGAATAATCATCTGGGCTAGGGTTTGGGGAGGGGGAGATATCTGGGCTAATGCTTGGAGAAGGAGATGGAGTTGGAGTGTCATCATATGGTGAAGGACCGTCACTTCCTGGGCTTGGTGAAGGACCGTCATTATTTGGTTCTGGATTCGGGCTAGGAGAAGGAATAGTGGGTGGTTCTGGATTCGGGCTAGGAGAAGAAATAGTGGGTGGTGATAGGGAAGGAGGAATTATAGCTCCAGGTGTTCCATAGCCAAGATGATGATTTCCAGTGCCACATTTATAAGTATCTTCGTAAGCTTTCATAGTATCTCTTACCGTAAAAAATATACCTCTTGCAACAGTCTCCACCATGTCATCCCACGTAGGTTGGTCTGTCGAGCCTGAGAATGAATTTTGTGGGCTAGGTGGTGAATTCGCCGAAAGTGGTGGAGTTGGAGATGATATTTTTGGTGATTCTGATGTTACAGGGCTCAAATTGATGGGTTGAAACCATGAAGAAGCAAATGCTTGATTGAGAGACATAACAAGGAAACAAGAAAAGAGAACGAGTTTGTAGTTGTTGCTCATCATCATGTCTCACACGTATTTGTGAATTTAGAAGAATAAAAGTTTTGTGAATATGAAAAAATTGAAAGGCTGGTGTGTGGATACAAAGAGTGGGGTGGAGGTTATTTATAGAGGAGATGTATTTTATCTCCTGATTTCTATCTCTTATTTTTGAAAATTTTTAAAAAAATTTAAACTAAAAGAATCATTAATTCATAGTGTTAGATGAGATTATCGAATTAAACCGAGTGGTGGTCCTTAATCGTCATCTCCTCTTCAAATTAATTTCGGATAAACACCATCACTTGAATCATCTGATCTACACTGCTTAAAAAACTACAATAATATTAATCTTCCTCGGTCAATTTCAGTTACAAAACCTTTTCCAACTTTTTAATAATTTCAATAACAATGCATAATTGATCATGAATATTTTTTATGTTGACAAAATTAATTGCACAAAGATTTGAATTAATTAGAATCACTACTAAAGCCGTTTGAAGATCTATAATTTAAGCTAATTAGAGTATAGATTCCGGTACTAACCATGCAGATGAATTTACAGCCTACAAACAAGTTAAGATTAACACAATTGTCGAAGAAATTGAATACGTCAAGTTCTGTTACTCATGTCTCAAAATAAAAATTGTGTTTCTCTGAATTAAAATATAACTATCCCATCTTTTTCAAAAAACATTAGAATGATACTCCCTCTATTAATATATATATATATATATATATATATAATATCATAATACGACACATGGCCCAGATCATAATCATAATTACAATGAATTCTTTTGTGCTGAAAGAATACAATTAAATTAGCACAATAATCCTCGAAAAGAATTTTCAACTACAACTGCAGCTGAGAGAATCGCTAATTTTAGTTTCCTAGTGAATGAATGTGTGAAATCTGCCATCACCGCAAGAAATTCCAATAAATCTGCAACGTGAACTTTCCAACTTTCAACACCATTTCATTCTCAATATCAGTTAATGATTAAACTAGAGTAAGAAAGATTACCAAGCATCAGACTAAGTTGAATGTCCTTTATTTTACTTTCTAATTTGATTAATACTGCTCCCATGGTGACACCTGAGGAAACAGAAAAATGACATTTAGTTACCTTCACAGCATCCCATTTACATATTCTTCATCCTATACCAGAGAAGGCAAGATACTCAACGCAGACGAGGATGCTCATAGTGAAACAAATAAAAATACATTAGTTCATGGCAGGAGAATGGAGAATGTTGTTGACAGTTAATCGGTGAGATTTTACCTCAAACTGTAAACTTAATATTTCAAAAAGCCAACCCATAGATCCTTGTTCAACTTTATTCAGTCATTTATGAACGATCACTAGTGTCACGGGAAATGCAAATGACTAAAAAGAACCTCACCAGATTCAAAAGCGTCTACTCTTGGTACACCTTGGAAAGCATATTTAGCATAAGCCCGTAACCGGATCCGATGAGGGGCACCCAACTTGCTGAGCAAAGACCGAAGCAAACCACTGAGGACAATAACATAAACTACAGTTAAAAGTCGACAAAACGGAACAATCTATAACTTCTGCCCATCAATTAGGAATTTTAGATTCGTAGGTTGAACAAGAAGACATAACCAAAGAGAGGAACAAAATGAAAATAACTAAATAAGCATTCTTACTCAGCACGCAACACAGTTAGAAAATCAGATGGTAAAGATTCCATGAACGAAGATATATCCTCCATTTTGAGGGACTTCAATTCCTGCTTTAAGTTGTTTTTCTCTTCCACTGACATTCCTCTTCCGAGAGCTGTTTTACTGTTGGGTTTAAATAAAATGTAAGAAACTGGTTTTCAAATGGTATGACAGAACCTGGCCATGTATAGTCTGAATGCATATATCAACCACCGATAAAGGCTATCCATGTCTTCATTAGATCTCAGATTAAATAAGCAAGTTTGACCTTTACATATCATCTAACAATGTGCAATGATCATGACGCAAATAGACCATGAGATAATCCATGAAATGGACAAAAACCATCAAACCTCAAAGAACAACTAATAGATTAATTGCTGCTAGTAAACTGTCAATTTAAATTTCTAGGCTTGGATGCAAGTACCAACACGTAGATTCAGACACTTGTTTTATTATATAAGTTGCAGGTGCCTTATTGTTGGCAGGCCTTGCATTTCTAGAACAATAAGTTAGCAATTTTCCATGTTTTTTTTTTTTTTTTACTTAGTCATCAACTATTTAAAAACCTGCACAACCAGATCACTTTTATTGCGGCATAGAGTTCAAGTTCACGCAATTGAAAAATTACCTGTTTATTGTTCTCCCCGTGAATATGACCGGAAAGTATCTGGCATACTTCGAAACACCCATCTGTTCACCCAACTGCTGAATTTTGTTTGAATCCATGAAAATTAAAGCTTTCCAAAGTTCACAATAATTTACCCTAAAAGTTTCATCCAATTCTTTACAAATCCCATGATCCAGAAGAACTGCGTAAGATAAGTATCATATCAATATTAGTTCTTTTGGGAGGGAGCAGCTAGTCTTACATCGACTACTAGATGTCTTAACAATAACTTCTTACCCAGAGAAAAGCTACTTGCCCCTTCTTGAGAAACCAGTATATTACCAGGGTGTAAATCACCGTGCAAGAAACCATGTACAAAAATCATTTCGGCAACCATCTCTGACAGGGCTTTTGCGACCTTGTCAAGTGAAGAGCAGGAATAGTTAGTACATAGCTGTCAATGAAATCAATGAAAATCAGCTTACTCTGGGAAAGAATTTCAAATTCCACCATAAAAAACATGGAGAAACTTTAAATACTGCTTCTGGAATATGATTGGATTGTAAGAATTCAGGCAAATATGCAACCACCAGTGGCCCTATATCCCACTGTATGGGCCAGCCATTTGATCCAAGCTGAAATCCATTTTACTTGCATTCCATAAAGTAGAAACCAAAATTACAAAGGGCACAAAATAAGAAAACTAACATTGGTGGGACTGATTCCCATTTCCTTCAGGAATTCCAAGTTATCAACCTGACATTTAAAGAAATGTCCAGTCAGTGCTAAGACCAAGAAGTACGAAATGAAGCACTAGTATGTTTACGAAAAATAGTCAAGTTTGATTCATAATTTACAAAAAGCTAAAACATTGCTTCCCCTAAAGTGAAGAAAGAATCGAATGGATTCATACAGAGAGGAAAAATACATGTTTAGTTGATTGGAAGTTCACATCGGTACCATCTAATGCAGAATTGCAGATAATAGCTTCACAATGGCTCTAAAAATCTACCTAAATGTCAATTTAATATTCTTGTAATCTCATCCAGAAAGTCCTTCACAAGGTACTGTTTGTAAATGCTAAACCAATATCCTCTATGCTGTCATATACAAAACCAAAACCCCACAGATATCGTGATAGCAGTAGCAGGGGGAAAGTGTGAAACTGTACCTTCTGTCCTTTACAGAACTGCATTGTCAAAACTTTAGTGGTCGTCAAATCCTGGATATTTTTCATGAGGCCAGCCAAATAGATCCAATTAGGAAAGTTCCAGAGAGGCAGAAATGTAAGTATTGATGTATTTTGTACGAGAACAAAATGAACATCGACAGATACCCAAAAAACGTGGGGAATCTTGACAGTACTGTTGCCTTTGAAATTTTTTGCTGCTCTCTCTGAGTTCCGAGCCTCTTGAGTGAAATCTACAAAGTAACCCGTATAAATATGGAAATGTTTCAACTTGCAATATGCAGCAAAACTTATTATAGTCAGGGAATAATATTACACACCAAGTTCAGAAGAAATAGATTTTGCAAATTCTGACACTATCCATCCAAACCGGTATTCAGGAAACAACTGCGAAGAAGAAACAATAATTCAATGAAAAAGTATGTCAAACAACGAGAGGTAAAAATTAAATGATGAATTCAATCAACAAACAATCACAAAACATTTGGAAAGGAATAGACAAAAAGAAGCTTCACAAAAAATAAACACAGTAAAACATTCTACTATTTTGGGTTGATTGATGCAACCAGACGAACTAAAATCAAAAGGTGATGTTGACCGCATCTAAATAACCACCATCACAAACCATTCAACTACAATTCAAAAAGGCTAATGTAATAAGAAAGCTCAAGTGTGAAAACTGAAAAGAGCTCATTATAGAATTGGCTGATTATGGCAATCATATCAACATTAGTCCCACACTCCTACTACATATGCACCCTGGAAAATCAGTTTCTCCAACATCTCCACATGGATTACAGTTCCCTGTATCTAGATTTACTTAATCAATTATCTCTCAACTCTGTAACATAATCCACATTTTCAATCTCAATTATAGAATTTCAGTATCACTACCATATTAAAATAAGCAGTATATTTTCACATAAAAGTTATCAAAATGGTTCAGCTGGTAGAAGTACAGCTTTCCGCAAGTAGTATGACATTTTGAAACAATTCGAACAGCCATCCAAAGTTTCACAAACTCCAAAACTTTTACTATTGCAATCAATTCATACCCAAGTAATTAAGTTTGAAAGGAGCGACATGGTGCCAAGGTCAAAATGCATCTGCTTCTCCAAGCCGGGATATTGCACCTGTAATCCAAATGCTAGAGGTATAAGACACGAGAAACAGGGAATAAAATATTCAGTGATTCACTATATTTAAACTAGCACATCAGTTTCCTACGAAGCTTCTGACTAAAAAGCAAAACCAGATATAGAATACTACAGAAACCTTGACTGCCACTTCCTGGTGATCTTTCAACACTGCATGATGTACTTGAGCAATAGAGGCAGCTGCAACAGGTTGTTCATCAAATGAAATGAATCTATTGTATAAGAAAGTAAACAGGCAATGAGTCACATCCCAGGCCACCTGGTAAAGAAACAAGTGCAAAACACTTGTAACCACAATGTTCCAACAATCAAACAAACTTATCCTAAAAAATCTTACGCCAAAACTTACATTTCTGAAAGATCCGCACCCAAATTCCTCACCAGTACTTCTTTGATAGCTTTGAATGGACAAGGAGCCGTCTAAGAGCAAAATTAGGCACAAAAAAAAAAAACACCCCGTTACCCAATAAAATTTTCAGTACAATGTAGGCGAAGAAGCTAAATAATCACATGTAAGCCTATATACTCTAGAGTAAACAAAGATAAATATAAATTTAGAAACCTGATCCTGCAGTGATGAAAGTGTGGATGAATACTCTTTTGGCACTTGACGCATTGCGGCAACAAATTGACCAGCTTTCACATAAAAACCTCTATTCAGCTCGCATAATCTTAATATTCTCTTTGCTGATCGCGAATGCACCTACCAATGAGTTCCTCAAAAAATCAATAAGTTGCTTTAAAATTAGTGACCGTAGAATATTTCGCGCCCTATAGCCCAGCTAATTAACCCTAATTCAACTAGAACTTAGATAAGCTCAACCGAGCACGGTCTTAACATAATAATGTTCACATTTTGTTTTTGTGAAGAAAGGGCAAACCTCGGAGAGCACGCGGCGATACTCATCGGAATACTCCGGCAATCCGCGGAGGGAGTATTTGTAGTCAAATGCTGTTGCAGCAATCTGCATCCACAAGCAATTTGGTAATTAAGAGGCGAAGAAAAGCATAATTATAATGAGTCATGTGAATATGTTGAGTGATTATATAGACGGTACAGTGAAGAGAGAGCGCGATGATCGAACGGCGCCGTAGAGGACAGGGAAGTCGGTTGAGGGAGAAGGCGAAGGTAAGTTGAGAGCGTCCGAGTTGTGGAGAACAGTAGCAGCGCCGGCGGCGGAGAGGACCAACAGCGACGCCGTAGCCGCCAACTTTGTCCTGGCGGGAAAATTGGTTAGCCAAAATCGAATCTTCTTCATCCTGAAAATCGGGTGGAGTCCGGACGGGACGAGTACATTCCGCTGTTTTTAATTTTAAGGTTTGGAATAATCGGGTCAAGTCGGATTTGGAATATAATCGGATACGATTAGCCTTTTGTTTTTCACAATGAAGGCGTTGGATTTACCACGCCTTCAGACAATCTGTGTTTATTGGTAATATTAATGTATGGTTAATTGAATTTGAGAATTCATTAAGTAGTACTACCTCGGTCCCAATGAAATAGTCCACATTGAGTTTTTTAATTTGTACTAATAATAGTAGAAAACTGAAAACTTAATGTGCACTATTTTTGTGGGACAGAAGGAGTATAAAGATTTAAACAGAACTAAACATAAGATTTTTTCATATTGCAGGGTGTCTACTGTCGGCAGCAATGATTAAACATACGATTTTTCATTATATTCCTTAAGTTCCATTTTAATAGTCGTACTTTATATTTATTAACAAACTGAACCATGACAATCAATTATAATGTACTCCCTCCGGTCCTTAATATAATGTATTTTGATTTGTCCTATGTTTAACCTAGTATATATTTATAATTAACAAAAAAACCGTAAAAATATTTCATAACAATCAAGAGAATAGAAGAAACATAAAAATATAGTTTTAAATTTTTTTCGACAATTAAAAATAAACGTACTAGGTGAAACCTAGGACAAAATCAAAATGTATTATATTAAGGACCGGAGGAGATATAATAAAAAATTGTACAAACAAAATTCTCCTATTACTTGCCACTTTATTAATTAATTCCATACACTAATACTACTTTAGTACATAAGTGAATGTGGATGGGTCACACCTATCTTCATTCTCATCTTTGGAAGGTATTCATTGCTCCCAATATTTCTTCTTCTTTTTTTTTTTAATCGAAAGGGGAAAATTTCATAGCACAAAACATTATACAACTATTGCTCGAGGATAGGTTATCCCAGCTACATCATGGTATAACCATTCAATAACTCTCGGTGGCGGCAAATTCAGTCCCAAGAGACCTCCTGGATTTATCGCCGCCAAAGAGGCCAAAAAATCTGCAGAAAAATTACATTCCCTATGGTTGTGGAGTAATTCAGATTCCATTGTCTATGCAAAAGCTACCTAATTGATCGTAGCAAGTCGTCATGTGCGCAAGGTGACTTGTTTATATCTTGAATCATTTGCACGATGATGAGGCTATTCACTATAGCTTCTAATTATTGGTGTCCCAAATCCCATACTAGTAGAAGTCCTTGGTACAATCCCCACAACTCAGCTCCTGTTACCGAGCAGTAGCCAATGTTCTATCAAGAAACCACCCCTTCATACTCCACAGTGATCTCTAAGCAGGCCACCAGCCGACTACTCCCAATATTTCTGTTAGCAAAGCCAAAGTAATGCCAGCAAAATCACCAAAACTTATCATAATATTTCATGAATAAGAATCTTTTTTTAAAAAATATAATCTTATGAATTATGATATAAGGCTCGAGCATAAATGGTAATCATATTTTAGTTTTAGTACGTAAATGAATACACGGTAGTTAATGCACATTTCGACTACCACCAAGTCGGCCCAAACTGCAGATCAGTTTTTTTCTCACGAGTTCCTACTTCTATAGAACCGCACTATATATAATTCATTTCACATTTCTTACTTTCCATTCAGGGAATTTGAACATCTAATTATTACAGAATATATAATAAACGAATAGATGACACTAATTGCGGATTTTATAACTAAAAAATTTCGATTCCGATAATGGATGCACCTATCACGAAGTTTAATTTTCCACCGACTGGAATTTATTCCCCATAATCACGATGTAGGCCCATCCGTGTTGATTTTTTTATTTTATTTTTTTAATTTTCATGTTTTTACAGGTGGTGACTGATGAAACTATTTCAACGATCCTTCCAAGTTCCAACAGCAAAAAATAAAAAGAAAATAAGCTGAAGAAGAGAAGGGCAAATAGAATTGTGTGGCTAAAGTACATTAAGTCCGTCATCGATGAAACCACTTTTTTATAGCTCTATGGAAGCAAAATTCTGGGTCATAAAATTATGTGAACAAGAGAAACCGGCCGGCTAGATCGTACACGTTCTAAGTTGTAATTAACCACGCTTTTTAATCATACCGATGAATTGAGCAACCTTTATAAACCTCCCTCTTCCAAAACTCTTTGTCATTCAATAGTGCATTGGACATACAAATTTCTACGTATTCATCCTCTTTCAAAAGTTTAGACTAATTCTTAGTTACTAGGAATTTTACTACATATTTTCTATATGCCCAACATTCAACGGCAAAACTGCTGAAAGAAAAAAGGCATGACAAAGAAAAAAGAAATGTCGGCAAACCATGAATGATTTTCTTTGTGGTCAGCAATGTAATAGTATGAACAAACATGTTCACACATATAGTGCTTTCTTCCTCTTCAAAAGTTGAATTAATAGAAAGTGTGGTGTTTAATTAGTGCTGAATTTTTCTCTTTTTTTTTTTGAAATGAATAATTGTAAAGTAGTTGTAATTAACTAATGTATATCGAACATATTCCAATCAATATTTAGAATATTCGGAGGCGTGGTGTTAAGCGGTGCTATTAACAAATACCATCTGCGATTGAGCAAAGTCAAGACAAAATATATAATCAAAGTTGAATAATCATTCGAATATGAAAAATTAAACCCATGACAGTTTAAAGAATCCGTCCGATTAGTATGATTGTTGTAGTAATGTATTTTATTACTATTTCGGTATAATAAACAAAACAATCATTATAATATGGAATGAGCAAGTAATCATCGTAAAACTTGACAAGGAACAAGGATAACATTATGTCTGACCGATCAACGGGTTTTTGTTTTCACGTCTGCGTACCATTTCCATACCTGCAGTTCCTTTGATACGTAAACAAGAAAGATATCAATCAGTACGACCATAAACAGGCCAAGATATAGACACTAACGAAAGCAAATCTCACCAAGTTGTTGCATCCCATTACCATCACAACAATAAAGGATCAACAAATCAATAATTACGTAAAATATAAAAAATATCTAGTCACATGTTGATTTTCCTCCACAAACTTGAGACGAGCGAAAAAGGCCAAATGATTGGAATCATTAGGAAAAGAAAGGCTTCGTGAAAACGGTAAATCTACAAGGTGAAGTGATCATGGCATTGATTCGAATGTCTCCGGTTTCGTTATTCATCATTTGCAAGATGCGGGTCATTCGGACAATCGATCGATCGACATGCCAAATAATTTATCTTTACTATAGTCATAATATTTCTATTCAAAATTTCAAATATCATCTCAGATAGTTAGATACTACTTGTCCAGCTGAGAGCAGCCGGCAGACTACTGCTCTCAGGGATCAAGTTGTGAAAATATCTCCAGATGAGGTGGTCCTTCAATCATGTCTTCCTCCCTTTCTTTCCTTTAATATTGGAAAAGGAAATTTGGGAACAACTGAATTAAATACTTTTTGGGCATGGGAGATAATTTGACACGGACATAAGTTCTTAGGTTGTTAACTAGCTAGTTGTCCGCATTTTACGCTATTCATAATAAGAGATTTTTTTTAATCACATTGAGGTTAATACACTGTTCATGAAAAAGTACTCGAAACCCATCATCCCCGTCCCGCAATTGTTTAAGGGAAACCCTGTCGTAGTTGTTCGAAATGTATTAAAAAAAAATTGTATGTAGATGAAAAATACTGACATTAATGTCGTGCTTACGATTTCCCATCTCAATTTCTTTTTCGTGTTTTGAAAGTTTTATTGCTTTTACTTTGCACTTCACAAACTTTTTGCACTTCACAAACTTTCTGAAATGTATATACTATTTCTGTTTCAAAATTATTGTTTAATTTGAAATTTGATTTTTAATCCAAATTTTAAATAATTATCAAATTTGAACAATAATTTTAAAACGGAAGGATTGCAACCTGCTCCAATTACAATAAAATGATACAGTGCCAATTGGGAAAAAAAAAAGGGGGAACAGGAAAAGCATACGTGTACGATTTTTTATTTTTTAAAATTTTTGTGTCAATAAAAGAAAGAAAAGAATTTGACATACGAGTTGCAATGCAAGAATATTGTTAGCGGCTTAGTCGTGGCTCGTGCGTGAGACGTTTTGGTTTGGAAATAAGAAGCAGCACTTTGTTAATCCAGAATCTGTATGTCTCCTGAAAAAGAAAAAGTCAAACGCGCTATTCCTGAATCGGTCAACCTAAATAATGTAAATTATCACCAACTTGAAAAGCCGCCTACGAACTACTAATAATTCTATTGGCTGGTAGAGTCTCCCTCCAAAGTCCAAGGTGCAAACCCAGACGTCCTTATTCTAGGCAAAAATAAATAAATAAATAAAAAATCAGCGTATTTGGTTAATTGGTTGAGTTTGCAACTGGGGAAGGTTCTTACATCTTAATTGCATGGCCATGAAGTATAGAAGAAGATGGAGATTAAAATATAAGAGCAAAGGAAGGTACGAAGAGACTCCGCCTCACGATCTTCTCCATTATTTATTTATAAAACCGAGATGTGAACAAGGATAATGTTAACAAGATTTGTATCGGAAAATAAGAGTTTTGTTTGTTAAGCCAATTTAGACAAGAAGAAGCAAAAAAACATTTTGTTAGACAAGGTCATGAGATGAGGGTTATAGATTTGTCTTGCGTAGGTAGTATCCTCTCTTCATCGACTAATCCACAGTTCCACACTACAACTTCAAAGTTCAGACTCGAGGTTGGTTTGGTACACTGTTTTGAATTCACACAAATGAAAGGTTGAACACATAATTGATAATACACCTTTGTATTGTACACCAAACAAACCTTTTTTTTTTTTTTTGTATTGTACTACTCGTTACGCACTCTAACTAATTCCCCTCTCCACCACCAATTAGTTAGCCCGAGATAAATCATTTGTATCAATGTTTTTTTTTCAATGCATTCGTCATGCCTCTACACTCCAAACCTTTTACATTGAAAGTGAATACGGATACATTATGTCTCTAGGGGTTTAATTCAAGGATTTGAGAAGCAATACGAAGGGATTGAATAACTGAAATATAATATTTGTTCAGTGAAATTTATTTCGCAACGAATTTTTTATGGTATCCTTAACTATTATTGTCCTTTTTATAGTGACTTGACGGTTTACATAATGAGATTTTATAGTGAATGAAACACAATTTTATGAGATTTTATACACACAAAACATATTTGATTCTTTTATTATACCAAAAAATAAATAATGAACTTTTATTTTTTATATATAATTTTTTAAAAAAATTTGAAACAGAGAGAATATTCTATCATTGACACAAGTGGGTACATAACATCATTTTACATGAAAACTCAACACGCCTTAATTAATGACAGCCAGTAATTCCGCGGCCTAACCTTTATTTATATATAATATAAGCACATTACTTGTCCCCCAACCTTCTTCCTCCTCCACTCACCACTTCAAAGTTGGTTCACTTTAACTTTTTTCACTCCCAAAAATTCTCACATCACTCCGAAATTTCTCCGATCTAATTAAAACCACCGGAAATTAACAATGGTGCTCAGCAAGGCATCTTCGCAATCCGACGTATCGGTACATTCTACCTTTGCTTCTCGATATGTTCGTGCTTCTCTTCCCCGGTAAGGAAAATCTAACACGTCTGCTCTTAATTTTGTGGGGGGATTGTGAAATTTTAGTTGATTAATTAGGGAATGAATTGAAACGGCAGGTTTAAGATGCCGGAGAATTCGATCCCGAAGGAAGCAGCTTACCAGATAATCAACGATGAACTGATGCTGGACGGAAACCCGAGGTTGAATCTGGCGTCGTTTGTGACCACGTGGATGGAGCCGGAGTGTGATAAACTCATTATGGACGCCATTAACAAAAACTACGTCGACATGGACGAATACCCTGTCACCACTGAGCTCCAGGTATAATTTCACCCACCCGTACTGCTACTAACCCGACCCATCTTACTTTATTAGTATTACTTGTTCTTCTGCTTCATAGTTTCACTGAATTTAATTCCTGATACAAAAAGAAGAAAAATTGCATAATTATGAACGCTGGTCATGTTACAAAACTTGGATTTGGGTAATTCTCGTCGTTTTGTGCACGAAAGCTTGTCTTGTTGTCGTTCCTCTTTGGTCAACTAAACTTGTCCAATCACATTTTACCTTCAATTAAAAAAAAAAAAAGAGTAAGAAAAAATTGTGCAATCACTGGACTTGGGTAAACAACATTAATAAATTAGGCGCTGTTATGATTTGTTTGTTGAAGTTACCCCACCACGTTCTACGACTTTTTGTCTCACCACCACTACAATACTTACTTCAATGATTCTTATTCTTCTTGGTGGATGGAAATTTAAAATTTTTTTCCAAAAGTGAAAACATTAAAGCATAGTTATTACTCCCTCCGTCCCGTAATTATTGTCCAATTTAAGTTCTCATTTCTAGTTCAAATTGTACTAAAAGTGAAATCTCAAATTGGACAATAATTTTGGGACAGAGGGAATTATAATACTCTCCCTGTTATACTGTTATTTTGTAGTAGTAGTAGTAGTATACTGTTATTTGTCACATCTCAAAATAAGAATCACATCTAATAATCTATCTTAATTTCGATTTAAGACTACACGTTAGCCAACTACCGTTAGTTTGTACACTTGAAGTGTATGTGTAACTACCAGTCCAAAGACTTTTCAGTTTCCAGCTGCCATTCCTCGTGGGTGAAAGGTCTTGGAATTTTGGTTCATGATGTTGTATTAAAACTGAATTTTAAAGAAGACCAACAATCATTTTGGATTAGGAAGATCGTTATTTTTATGTGGAGCCAAATACTATTTTTACAGATTTCATAGATAAGATCAATTAAGTTGCTAAGAAAATGATAAAATAGAAAGGTGTATATGGTGTAGGCTATTGGCAACCAGGCTACAAAAACAAAATCCGTGCGGAAATACGTGCAAAAATTACGCAATTTTCCACAATCCCACACCATTCGAGTACTTGGAATATGTTGCTTTCTCCCCTACTTGGATCCAGTGATCATCACTACCAGTAGTATTATTAAATTAACGATTTCCATTGAACTTTTTTGATGGGTCTGTGTTGTATGGGTTGGATATAGTATAGTAGATTTATTGATCTGATAATGGCGTTATGAGTCTGTGAGAATTAGTACAGTTGTCTTACCTTTTTGACTTTCTTTGATTCGTGGTTTCATATTGTTTGTTTGGGCCATTTTCACGCAATTAATTTCAATAGCCGTCTGCAAAGTTTCCCACAATGATGAAAGCTCGATCAATATAAACATATGTATAATTAGCCTTTTTGCAATTCCTTGAAACTGGGGTAGTGAGATTAAAATGAATCTCATTCTAATAATCAACCAACCACGTGCTCGCTACCATTTATGACGGTGACGTTCACTGACAAAATTCCGAGATAGGTTTATCCTTCGTCGCATCTAATGCCCTTTCTGCACATGTGTTATTTTGACATTTGTTATTACATGTATTGTTTTGAGAGGTAAAAGAATATATTGACCATTAGAAAGTAAAAAGCCTACAAGGACTGCAAGGGTAGCTCATGAATAGATCAACAAAAAAAGTCATAAAGGAAGAAAAAATGAATCTTGAAAAGTGGCAGTTGATAGCAAGGACTTATTTGATTATGTGATGTTTTAATTTTAATTAATTACAACGTCTAGATATAAATTTGGACAGTATTTTGACAGTCCTTTTAACTGGCATTTCCCGCCTTGAAGGAAACTAAATTCTTACCTGGATGGAAGGGTTTATAAAATTAAAATCTAAGGTTCCTTTTTTTTTTCGGTTTTGCTGCCTGAATTGGCATAAAACAGAACCGATGTGTGAATATGATCGCCCATCTTTTCAATGCTCCCCTTGGAGATGGAGAGACTGCTGTTGGAGTTGGAACTGTTGGATCATCAGAAGCCATTATGCTCGCTGGCTTAGCATTCAAGAGAAAGTGGCAAAACAAGATGAAAGAATTAGGAAAACCACATGACAAACCTAACATTGTTACTGGTGCCAATGTCCAGGTATTTTATATATTCAGCTTTCAGACACAAAGAGTAACAGATCATATGTTTTGATCAGAATTTTTAAGTTAGTTCTTGAATGGCTATAATTGAGTAATGTCATGAAATTTCTATAGGTTTGCTGGGAAAAGTTTGCAAGATACTTTGAAGTTGAGCTAAAGGAAGTGAAGCTGAGGGATGGATACTATGTGATGGACCCTGAAAAGGCTGTGGAACTAGTAGACGAGAACACCATCTGTGTTGCTGCTATTTTGGGTTCCACCCTCAATGGAGAGTTTGAAGATGTCAAGCGCTTGAATGATCTCCTCACAGAAAAAAATAAGCAGACTGGGTAAGCCCTCTCTTTTTACTGTGCAAAATCGCCAACATTTTTCACTTAGGTTTGTTTACTGAAGAAGTGGCTGACCATGAATTCTGGTGATTGGCAGGTGGGATACACCAATTCATGTTGATGCAGCAAGTGGTGGATTCATTGCACCATTTCTCTACCCAGAACTTGAGTGGGACTTCAGGTTGCCCCTGGTGAAGAGCATCAATGTTAGTGGCCACAAGTATGGACTTGTGTATGCTGGAATTGGTTGGGTAATTTGGAGAAGCAAGGCTGACTTGCCCGAAGAGCTCATTTTCCATATCAACTATCTTGGTGCTGATCAGCCAACTTTCACTCTCAACTTCTCCAAAGGTAATTTGTTTTTTCACAAAATCATTCGTTAACACTTTCATCTGAATTAAGCATAAATTAAGGATTTTTAACATGCCTGATCAAAATCTTCAGGGTCTAGCCAAGTCATTGCTCAGTATTATCAGCTAATCCGCTTAGGCTATGAGGTATTGATTTAAAGATTTTATTCTGTACTCGATACAGAATCTCTTGGATGATTTAACATCCGATCTTTGTTTAACCAGGGTTATAGGAATGTGATGGAGAACTGTCAAGAAAATGCAATCGTACTGAAAGAAGGATTGGAGAAGACAGGAAAGTTCAACATTGTATCCAAGGATGCTGGAGTTCCTTTGGTCGCATTCTCTCTTAAAGACAACAGCCGTCACAACGAATTTGAGATTTCTGAAATGCTGCGCCGGTTTGGATGGATTGTACCTGCCTACACCATGCCCCCTGATGCACAGCATGTTACCGTTTTGAGGGTGGTAATCCGAGAAGATTTTTCGAGAACTTTGGCGGAGCGCCTTGTCCTCGATATCGAGAAGGTCTTGCAAGAATTGGATACCCTGCCGTCCAGAGTCGCGGATAAGCTGGTTGCTGCCAATGGAACGGAAGATCATGTTGCCATTGTGAAGAAAACCACTCGTGAAGTTCAACTGGAAGTTTGCACTGCCTGGAAAAAGTTGGTAGCCGACAGGAAGAAGACTAATGGTGTGTGCTGATCCATACCATATTTCCGACTGCACTTGCATTCTGTTTGGTCATTGATATTTGGTTTTTGAGTATGAAGTTATGGCACTTCTACTTATTAGGACTATCTAGTTAAAACATATGAGATTGCATATGTCTTTGTCTGTTGATTTACTGTAAGAACCCTATAAGTACCTGGATGTCCTGGACATAGGCACCAGCAACAATGTCAGGCCCGTCGTACGGTTTTCCTAGTTCTTTCATCTTGTTTTGCCACTTCCTCTTGAATGCTAAGCCAGCGAGCACAATGGCTTCTCATGTTCCTTAAAAGTTTCAATTTTAACATCAGCCTCTACATCTTAACAGTTGCATTAAAAATATTGGCTTTCTTATTTGACACATTGGTTCTGTTTTTAACTAACTGGGAATCACTCAACCGTTGGATGCTTATTTATACAATTGTACGCCATCATCGATTAATATGTAGTGGTTAAGCAATGAGGCCATACTATATATATGCTTCATCATGTCCCGTGCAACAAATGCTAGTTGTGAAATGAGTCTCCCAAGTCCCATCTCTCTGTTCAAAAGTAAAACCATGGCTCTCGTGGATGATTAAATCGGAAAACTTTATTCGAGTTCCTCGTACAATAGAAGATCTGGTCGACTTATCATCAGGTTTGGGAGCTCAACTAGTAATTCATTTAACAAGTCGAATGAACTGGCGACTGATCCACTTAGTAAGAAAACTTGATGACTGAGTCGACGAGACGGCGTTTCCTCTCCCTTGTACATTCGTCGACGTTGTCATCAAGTTTACTATTCCGACGAAATAGTCGTCTATATAGTTCGTGGACTTGCACGTTGGATTAGAAAATTCAATGACTAAATCGACGAGGTGTGTTTTCTCTTCCTTGTAGATTCGTCAACTTTGTCATCGAGTATTTGAGTTTTCTAACTCAACAGATTATCGTCGACCTATCCGTTGGGTTAGAAAAACCGACGACTAAGTCGATGAGAATTTGTTTTCTCTTCCTTGAAGATTCGTCGACTTAGTGTTCAGTTTGACATCTCGACGGTAAAGTAGACAGAAGGTTAGTCTAAGGGAATTGTAATTTTACTGCGGTAATGGAGACCATTCATTCACTCAATTACATCCACAAATCCATGAAACCAGAAAGCAGAATCAATTCTTATGTTACATACAAAATCACAAGTGAAGAACAAACAAATGATAAATGAAGGCCAAAATGCACAGCTCCAATTTCTACAAAGTCACCAATACATACATACCACTCAAAATTTCTCAAATTCAAATCATAGTAGACCTCAAATTCTGATTGCAAAACCTTCTTCTTTTACGACGCTTAACACATAACAAGCACTTTGTGCTGACAGACAAAGCTCTCAAAAATAATAAGCAAATAAAACATGGCACCATTCTGCCGCATGATTCTTCTTCATTTTTTCGGCTTGTCGCATTGCGGATAACGGATATAGCTTACACCAAATAACTTATGACACCATTTTTGTCTTGGAGAGACGACATTAAGAACCTATGGCTTGGATGAGACGGGGCCTTTAACAACTGTAACAGGGCAGGTTGCATTTTGCACCACGTAGTTGCTTACACTTCCAAGCAACACCCTGCGATTAATTTTCATATTTGATTACTCAATTAAGTGGACAAAAAAAGATCATATCTTTATAAATTATTAGTTTAGATTTTCCAGTTTCCTTTTATTATTCATGATTGATTGATGGAAATACTAAAAATTTGAGAATCAATCGAGTAACAAAAAATTCTGCAACAGAGGAGGTAATCATGATTCTTGAATTACCTTTTGATGGTTCCCAAACCTCTGCTTCCAACAACAAGTGAATCCAGTTTAAGATGGTCCACTGCCTGGCACAGCTTCTCCCTTGGATCCCCCCAGTATACTTTTGTCACTACTTTCACCTGCAATTCCATCAACCCCAACAACTTTTAACTCCTCTAGGAAATGATCTTTGTGACTGAATTATAAACAAAAAAATAATAAAATAAAACAGAAAACAGAGAAACTGTACCCCTTTGGTCCTGGAAACAGAATCAAGCAAATCAAGAACTTCAGGATCAGGAGTAAGTCCATACTTCAAAGAAACATTAATTTCTCTGAATTCTTCCAGCGGTATCAGGGCTGCAAACACCCAAAAAGGAAAAAAAAAAAAAAAACATAAACCCACGATCAATTTCACTTTTTTTAAGCATATACTAACAAAAAATTGTGAGGGGAAAAAAAAAAAAAAGAGAATCGAACTAAAACCATACGTGATCCAGTGTCTCCAAACAGCTGCTTATTAGCAGTGTCAACCTTAGGTGAAACAACATGGATGATGATGAGAACGTCTCCTTCGTCAACCAAGTTAGAAATCGCCCAACGAAGTGCAGATTTACTAATCGGGGAATAATCCATTCCAATTCCAACCGTACGGTTTCCCTTGGATGTTGCCACCGCCATTTCTTCTGATATATGTTTTCTTCTTCTTCTTCAAACAGATGACAAGACTTAAATGCAACAAAAAAAAAGTAACAGAGGAATGAATGATATGGTTTGACTGGTGCTTCAAACTACAATGATTAGAGTTTTTTTGGTTTCGGTTGTTGGATGTGGGCTTGGATTTCTAAGGTTATGTTTTTGGGGGAGCTAGTATATACTGGTTTTTTTGGCCTGTTGGGAGTTCTTGAAGGGGCTAGAAGGACTTGGTCATTTCTTAAGGATTAATATTTGGACATTTTCCACTTTATTCCTTAGTCTCCTTTATACTTAAAGAATCTCGTATAAAGCCAAGTTGGTTTTTTGATTGACAGTTTTGGACTTTTGGTTATTCTGTAGCGTTTAATCGGTGGGCTTGTATCATCATGTGAATAATACGCCTCATGTTAGAAGTAACAATCAAATTCGCATCATCACTTTTTTTGGGTGAAGGGTGAAGTATCGTGATCATATTGTTCGATCGCATTTATCTTTGGAGACATTGGCGGTGTAAAGGAATGTGGAGCAATAGGATACAAAATCTTTTTACATAAAGCGATAGGTGTTTAGTAGTATTATCTTCATCCCAGAATAAGAATTATATTCGTTGTGAATTATAAAAAGTGTAATAATTTATCGAACTTAAATAATAATGAAATAAATATGATTTGAATTTTGGGAGGAATAAAATAGAAGTTCAACGAATGATATTAATATTGGTATTGAATGTGTTGAAAATTTTACTTAAACCTTTTTTTAAGCATAATTTTGCCCAAGTCAAATTCCATGAAAGTTAGTGGTAATATGTAATTGGTATTTTGAATATATATATATACACGTAAAAGAAACGTCAGATCTTTATCCCGGAAAAGTATTTGATGGATTAGGAATCAGTATATGTATGCCAACGAAGAATTGTCTTGTGATTCTATTTTTTTTTTTAATTTAAAAAAAGAAAAACTATTATCAATATTTCATAGCTTCATCTCATAGGTTAAGACTGGACTAGTAGTGAATGTGGATGTGTGGATATCTTGCGATAGCAATCTTGAAAAAGTTGACATGGTTACGTTGCGAATTAATTTTCCTCAAAATTACTTTCGTCATCCTCGCATTACCACACCTAGGCGTTGCCGATTAAAGATATTAAGTTGCGACTTAAGGGATAAAATTGGATTCGTCTTAACCAACCCTATGTTTTGGTCCTAGTCCTCAACTCCAAAGTCCAAACCAATCCTAACATTACTAAGCCTAAAATGTAAACCATATAAACAATAAAGAGTACTATAGCGTCATAGTACTTGTGTACGTGTGAAATGTGCTCTCTATCGTTTAACTTATGAAACTCCTCTAACTTTCTTAAACTGTACCCACTATTAATCTTTTCTCCCTTTTTTTTTTTTTTTTCCCTTTTAATGATTTCATGTGACTAATATATAATTGGTCTTATATTCATGAAAAGGTGATGAGTTCCCCTCAAGGCGCACACAGCCAACAACGTTAATAACATGGGCAAACACTTTTACGCAACGCGAATTAAGAAGGATGTTACTTAAAAAGTTTTTATAGTTCAAGTTTTTTTTCTTTTCCCCCCAAACATTTACCTTCCATGCGAAACGAGAGGATCAGAAGTTTTTGAATCAGAAGATTCAAGATCTGTACAGTGTAAAACGCATCCTTTTTCTCCCTTTGTTTTTGTTACAATTAGAAAGAGGCTAAAAGCCTAAGGTCATACAAGCGCATTTCAGGGGTGTCACCGCAATTAAATCATGCTCTAACCATGGTTTGACACTCGATGGTGAAGTAACTAACCACTGCAGTCCGCCCGGCCCTTATACTGCCAAATAAGCCAAGAAATCGATTACAAAATTAGTCTCCTGAAAGACATGTTTAAGCTTAACCGTCCAATCTCGCTTCATATTTCTCAAATTTCATACACAAAACTTGCATTAGCACGGAGTATTACACTGTTACCTTACACCAAGTGGAAAATACTCGTGCTATCAGCTTCCGCTATTACCAAATTTCCATGCAAGAGTCAATGCTTGAAAAAAAAAACCCCACAATTCAGCATCTGCAATAGTAGTAAAGCCAATGTTCATCATGTCACCGCCCAACCATCGCCCATAACAATCCCTAGCCAATGTTCAAATTTTTCTCCCTTTCAAGTAGTGACTAACGCATTTTGCAAACTTCAAATGGTATATAAGGGGATGGGGTCAAAAATTTGATCGAGTGGTTACTGAGGTTGTAGCTGCTAGCATTTCACCTTTATATCATCAATATCATGTTTTTGCTCTTGTTTACGGAGTTTCCTAAACCAACTGTTTTTTTACTTTTTTGCAAGCACACATTATGTATCATGTATGCATGTTTCGAATAGCAAAGTGAAGTCAAGAGGATTGATGTGCACTCAGAGTTCTCATAAAGCAATCAAAAGATTGAAGTTTATGCGTATATATACATTTAACTAACAAGTAGGTTGGGCTAGAGCTTTGATTAATTAGTTAGTTACCAAATATTGGTGGCCTTTGCGCCTTAGGCGCTTGGTCAACGGGACGTCTTTTATTAGGTTGAATCGAATATTTGTTTCATTAATAATATTTTGAAGTTCTCATCATCTCATGCTTAATTAAGAAAATTTGATTCAACAACTGCTACCGTAATGCAGAGTTTACTACTCCATGATGATGTTGAAGGATAATCATCATTGTATGATTAAAAATAAAAATAAAATATGAAAGCGGTTTTACGACCCAAATTAAAAGTTAAAACAGCATATTTTTTGGGTAACGATGTTTAGCAGCTCGGCAAAACAGAAAATCACTGACATTTTAAAGTTGCTATCCAAATCAACTAAGAAATAAACGCACTAGTTTTTGGACCAAATACAGTAGATTGCAAAACTGAGGAAACCTTTTTTTTTTTTTTTTTTAAATGCTGTATATACTAATTTGTCCGAAAATAATATTTGTTTTTAACAAAAAAAAAAAATCGTTGAGATGAATGGAAAATGTTAAATGTCTGGAATGTACGTAACCGATTAACCATATACACAACACCATTCTCATTTTTCGGATGTCCTTCTTTATGGTTGACTACATATGGGAATGTATAATCCTCCGTCCAAAAAAGAAATAGTGTACAAATCTTAAAACCTAGTATTCCCTCCGTCCCATAATTATTGTCCAGTTTTGTTAAGATACAAGATTTTATTTTTGGTCAAACAAGACCTTTTTTTGGCATAAACTCCCACATATACCCCTGTGTACATAAATGGTTTATCCGGCCAACCCCATTTCAGAAAGCAGGAAGAATACTGGTACTTTCATTTGTTCTTCAATCAGGCACCCGAAGAACTTCAAATCTGGAGAATCTTCTCGCTCAAAATTTCAATTTGAAATTTACGAAGACAATTTTTCTATTTCATTGAAAAGTTTTTGGATTGAAGGAGGTCTTCAAATCTGAGCCGCCAATCGAACAAAAGTCTCGGATGAATTGATTTGAATTTGACGAAAGTTCTTGTTTTGAATTTTTAATCTGATGCTCTTCCGATCGATGTAATTATCCTATTTTGCAGACAATGTCATTCTAATCCATCGCCGCTGCTTGGAGTGGTCAGAATTTGTCAAAAATTTATTCTTTATATTTTTTTTCGGCATTTAGCCGACCACCTCATCTTCACCTCTGCTTGAATTCGTCGGAGAACCGTGGTTGCTTGGAACCATCGGAGAATCATCATTTGTGGCTATTGGTGTCGGAGAACCGTTCCTGCTTGGAGCCATCGGAGAACCATTGTTTACGGCGGCTATTGGTGGTGATGTGCGTAGGGAGAAAATGTTCCAGTTAGAATGTTTTTCATTTTAGGGATAAAGGGCATATATGTAACTTAGCCTAAAAAAAGTCAAATCGGACAATAATTTTGGGACAAAATTTTTTTGGCAAACTGGACAATAATTTTGGGACGGAGGGAGTATGTATCTTTCTTTCTTTCTTTTTTTTTTTTTTGGTGGCTATATTATGACAATATGAAATTTTGGTATTGAAAGTTTATGTTGCAATGAAACTGTGAGATTCAGCCTAATTTTATTAGACATTTATTGCCACAAAGTGTTTGAATTAAGAAATGCCAATTGGACACCCGAAAAAGTCAATAAATACTTGAAGGTAACAGTACAATTATAAGTGTTAATTACGCTAACCACTTCACTACAACTGTGAGAAATGGACGTAAAACCAAGTGGGCATGATGGTGGGTGTTGCCTACCAAATGACAAAAAATTATATTCAAAGACTTCAAAGTGAAAACAACAAATTTCCCTTACACTTGAAGTCCTCTTCTTCTTTTAATTAGTTTACAAAACTTGTTAGTCCTCACTAAAATGAATACATTATTAATCTATAACTAATTTGTATTGTTGATTAAATCATTTAGTTGACTATACGTTTCTCTCAATTTAACTTGGTTAAGTGGAGAGGGTCAGTTTCATCTGATCTGCGCAAATCTGTAAAAAGGGGGGCAAAAAATGGAAGAAAAACGTAAAAGTACTTAATGGGGGAAACTCACCGACACTTATTGGGATTTTTGAGATTCTTATGATTTCTTTTTCCAAACTCATTTTTTTAGTAGTTTGATGCTAAATGTTTCTAGATTTGTGGCTAAGTAGCATTCAGTAAAATTTTTCCCTTTTAGATTGCATAAATCTAAGGCCTCATTTTTCCATTTTCGTAAACATCCAATTTCTGCAAAACCAAAACAGCTGGGTAAAAAACAAAAATCCTTTTTTTGTAAATTTTGATATTAATTTTTTTTTTTTTGGTGGTTAATATAGAAAATTTTCATCTTCCCAATAAGCAGCAGCCGGCAAGTTCCCTTCAACCAGTAACCGGTCATTACTTTACATTTCGCTGAAAAGTCCACGTCAACGGCCAAACCAGCGCGTGAATCACCAACTCCTTAACCCTTCTTCCCCCATCAAAAACCTCGAGCACACGCACATCACGTACACACACTCACACACTAAAACCGTAAAAAAAATAAAATAAAATCCTCCCTTCCCGAAATTGCCCCTTTCAGCTCAATCGAGATCTGTGCACCCCCTTCTCTCTTCTATTTCCTCTCTGCGTATTTTCACACAGACACACACTGACTAAATCCTCCCTCTGTGTAAGCATCTGCATATAGAGAGAGAGAGAGAGAGACATAGAGGAAGAAGAACCTGGATGTGTGAGTGAGAGATGGCGAAGGGGAGAATTCAGATGCTGAGATGGAACGTTGCCGTTTTGGTGCTTATCTCGTTGGTGGCACTGGTGAGATCGGATGCATCGGATCACAAATACAACGCTAAAGATGTAGTTCCTCTCTACGCCAACAAGGTCGGCCCTTTTCACAACCCTAGGTAAGCTTTCCTTCTTTTACCCACACTCTCCAATTGAACCGGGAGTGTTTCTTTTTCTTTCTCAATTGTGTTTTCTCCTTAGTCATAATTGTGAATCCTTAGGTGTTTGACTTTGTGGAACTGCGCATTGTTTCAGTTTTGATTTTGTTTGGTTAGGGATTTGCTGTCATTTCGATCAGTTTTTTTTTTTTCTTGAATATATATTTTTTTGGTTTGTTCTGTTGGGGGTTTATAGGCGCTTATCTGTGAAGATAGAGACTTTATGATTTAGGAGATTTCGTTCAAATCTTCTTGATCTTAACTCCATGAATGTTGAATGAAAGGATCTTGGGGGTCTATTGATTTGGATTGTGATCAGATTGTTTTTCAGAATGCGTTGAGGTTTCTAGCTGAACTAAAATGATATTGCTTCTTAATGTATCTATATCTGAGCTTCCTCTGTTTATTGATTGTATTGATCTTTTTGACCTTCTCTTTTTTCTGGGTGAATTAAATTTCTGGATCATTTGCTCTCTAATGACGATTGTGCTGATGCTTGGTTTACTGTTTTTAATTTCAGCGAAACATATCGATTCTTCGATCTCCCGTTCTGTTCTCCAGGTTCAGATTTACACCATCATTACTACTTTTTTCACATTTCTTTCTGAGATTGTATTGTGATGTTTGTGGGGAAATGTTTATTGGCAGCTCATGTGAAGGAGAAGAAAGAAGCTCTTGGTGAAGTCTTGAATGGAGATCGTCTTGTCAGTGCCCCATATGTACTAGAGTTTCTAAATGACAAAGATTCGGAAAGCGTTTGCAAGAAGAAGTTGTCTAAGGAGGAAGTTGCCCAATTCCGAAAGGCAGTGGCAAAAGATTATTACTTTCAAATGTACTACGATGACTTGCCTGTCTGGGGCTTTCTAGGCAAGCTCGAGAAAGAGGGAAAAGCCGATCCCAGCGAGTACAAATATTACCTTTTTAAACACCTGCATTTCGAGGTACTCTATAACAAGGATCGCGTGATTGAGATCAATGCTAGAACTGACCCGAATGCTCTTGTTGATATCACCGAAGACAAGGAAGTTGATGTGGAATTCATGTACTCAGTAAAATGGAAGGAGACCAATATCCCTTTTGAAAAGCGGATGGAGAAATATTCACAATCGTCTGCATTGCCGCATCACTTGGAAATTCACTGGTTCTCCATCATCAACTCATGTGTGACTGTACTCCTCCTTACTGGTTTTCTTGCCACTATTCTAATGAGAGTTCTTAAGAATGACTTTGTCAAGTAAGTCTCACTTTTTTATTACCTATATTGCCATGGTCCTCGTCTCTTTTTGTTCTGGATTTTATTTTGAGGTCTTTGTGTCTGTTCTTTTTTCCAAAGGTATGCTCATGATGAAGAGGCTGCTGAAGATCAAGAAGAAACTGGGTGGAAATATATCCATGGGGATGTTTTTAGGTTCCCTAAGTACAAGTCTTTGTTTGCTGCAGCTCTTGGGACTGGCACCCAGTTGTTCACCCTGTAAGGATGCTTCTGGCTGGTCTTGTGTATTTCCCTTTGGTTGGAAAAAAATACTTCGTCTTGTTTGCCTCTTAACCAAATTGTTAACTGAGGGCTGATAATGAACCCTTTCAAATTGCAGGACAATTTTCATTTTTATTTTAGCTCTTGTTGGTGTATTTTACCCTTACAACCGGGGTGCTCTGTTCACTGCACTTGTTGTCATATATGCTCTGACATCTGGAATTGCTGGTTACACATCAGCTTCATTCTATGGTCAACTTGAAGGGACAAATTGGGTATGATTTACTTGTCTGTCTGCCTTATTTTGCATGCCCTTTTTTGCCTTGATCTCTTGTTGATGCCCCTGTAAATATTTGAATTCATTCTTGTAGATTGATCTTATGCTTTGTTTTCTCCTTTCACAGGTCAGAAATCTTTTGTTGACTGGAGCCCTGTTTTGCGGTCCATTGTTCCTAACTTTTTGCTTTTTGAACACTGTTGCAATTGCCTACAGTGCTACTGCTGCCCTGCCATTTGGAACCATTGTAGTCATCTTCCTTATCTGGGCCCTTGTGACATCACCTTTGTTAGTACTTGGCGGGATTGCTGGAAAGAATGGCAAGGCAGAGTTTCAAGCTCCTGTTCGTACCACAAAATACCCCCGAGAGATTCCTCCATTACCTTGGTACCGTAGCACTCTGCCTCAGATGGCAATGGCTGGGTTTTTGCCCTTCAGTGCTATTTACATTGAGCTTTACTACATATTTGCTAGCGTGTGGGGCCACAGGATTTACACCATTTACAGCATCCTATTTATTGTCTTCATCATACTTCTGATTGTCACTGCTTTCATCACCGTGGCATTGACATACTTCCAACTTGCTGCGGAGGATCATGAATGGTGGTGGAGGTATGTTGGGCTTAAGTGCCATTTTAAATTACCTTCTGATGATAAATCTTTACTGCTTTTAGTTATTCTTTTCGTGCATGTTGCTGTAGGCTTGCTTGTATTAGAGATGGTGAAATTTTAGTATGTTAAGTAGGCCCCAGTGGCTAGTATCTATGCATGAATACATTTTTTGTGCTTCCTGTAGGTCTTTCCTATGTGGTGGATCCACTGGACTCTTCATCTACGGCTATTGCTTGTACTACTATTATGCCCGGTCCGATATGTCAGGGTTCATGCAGACTTCCTTCTTCTTTGGCTACATGGCTTGCATATGCTATGGTTTCTTCCTGATGCTAGGGACAGTTGGCTTCCGTGCAGCACTCTTTTTTGTCCGTCATATATACCGCTCAATCAAGTGTGAGTAGGAAGTGGACTCTAGGAGGTCCTTTTTTGCTCTACCGCATGATCAACATCTTGAGTAGGGCAAATCTTGTTTGCAAAGGATTATGTAGAACAGGATTTAGTGAGAAGAAGCATGTATAATTTTACAAGAAAGAACTCATTTTGCTTCACTGAGAATTCAAGGCATTTTTCTCTTTATATCTGAAAGTTTCTTTCTTTTTCCCCCCTTCCCCCCTTGTTGCAATATGTACTAGTACATTTTGACAAAAATGAGGTAACAGCCGGAGTAATGACAGAAATTCTTCCAAAGTTAAATGTTGGGTTCTCGTCTAATTTGTTATCTTGATCTGCTGCAAACTCTCTATATACAGTCCAGTAATGAGTGAGTGATATATACGTTGTAAAAGTGGTCTGTTCCGATGGCAATATACTGCAAATTTCACGATCTTTGGCTGACTTGCAAGATTCCATATCTAACTCTAAATTACCTTTTGATATTCCAGTTTCGTTAATTAAAAGGGGCCATTATAGAATTCCAAGATTAGTCTTGAGGATGGATGTTCAAGAGTGTCACGTTTATCATCTGATTTGTGTAAGAAATGCGTGCAAGCCCACGATTTTTCCATTTGAAAAAGCTTTGTGCAATGAGTCAGAGCTCAGAAATCCTTGCGTTTTTTCCATTTTTGGCTGGGATTATTGCAAGTGACTTGAATCTGATTACCGTAATTGGACAGTGAGTGAATCTCATTGCTAAATTCCATAATCCATCGAATAGCATTATCTTTCTCTAATCTATTTCGTTATAATCTAGGACTAATCTAGTAGTATATGAATAATGACTAATGAAGTTGACATTTTTATTCCTTTTTGTACCAAAGAGGCGCAAAAATCGAAAATCAATACACTTTCTCCGTCCTATAATTATTGTCCAGTTTGGATTTTCATTTCTAGTTCAAATTGTAGTAAAAGTGAATTCTCAAACTGGACAATAATTTTGGGACAGAGGGAGTATGTTACTGCTCCTTTTTCCAACTAAATCACGACTCATCTAAGGTGATTCAAACTCCGGTAGGCATCACTCGGGTAAGAACTCGCCAATAATATTGACTTTTGCTTTGTTAGTCTTCGTTATTATGATTGGCACCTCGGTTTTGTAAGTAGATTATAAAATCTTAAAGCTGGTGAGTAAAAAAAAGAAGACCAATATCATCAGAATACGAAAGAAGTCGAACCAAATGTCCTTTCATTTGTAACTAAAGAAGGGAACTCGAACCAAAGAAAATTTGGCGATACTATTTCTAACTCTTTTTTATTGGTAAGAAATTAAGGGAGTTACAATTACAATGACCACAAGCAGCGCAAAAAAACCCACTAGAGGCAAACTAAAGAAACACCGTCAAAATTCAATCTGCCACCAAAAAAAGACACTGCAAAAAGAATCTGTAATATACAAAGCCCAACACGATTTCCATTCTCTTTTATGTTCTTCAATTTGGACGTCCATCAACATCATCATCACATCAATCTCCTAAAAAAATGAGTGTTTATTTTTCAGGGGTGATTTAGTTTCAGGCTGTGAAGATCTTGCTATTTCACCAGCTTGAAACTTGGCTCCTTGGGAACTGTTAATGGCCTTGTTGATCTATACATGATCATTATAATATTAGAAAATAAGTACCGTAACTTTGTGTAAAATCTATGATAAAGTTTTTTTTTTTTAAAAGACATTTGCATTTTAATATTTTACCTTTGTGGCAAGAATGGCTTATCGAAATAAGGCATCAATTGAGCTCTTGGTATCAGTTCTTTTCTCAGCAACTTTACCTCTTCATCCTCTATCGTCTGTCCCAAATCACATTTTAATTTAGCTACACTTTGATCGAAGAATAAATTATCAATTACGGACCAAATCTTACAACAATTAATTAAATTACCTTCAGCAACTTTTCTACTTGTCTCTTTTGTCGCTCCATTATGTATATCTTGGTAGCCACCTATATATATTTATTTTATTTTAAGAAAGCATTAGCCCGAGAGGGATTTTTTTTCATCTACATTTCATAGCAATTAAAATATCAAAAAGAAAAAAAAAATCAGATATACTTCTTTCGTTCCAGAAAAAAATGAAGGTAGTATAGTTTATAGTCATTGTGATGTAACTCACTGTGTAGTCGAATAAGGCACGTCTAACTGCTCTTTCTTGAGTGTGGAGTTTGAAATCTACTGGCTTAGTGTTTTCTTTTGTAACATTCTTCTGAGTAGCCTGCAAATAATTTGTATTTGTAATTCGGTTTATCAAATAATTTTATTTTAATTTTTTTTTGTGCATAATGTTTTGGTAATTTTAATGTTTTACCTTAGTCTTATCCACTGATTGACGCTCCCTCTGGGTATCATCTCTTGGCTGAAATCATTAACATTAACAATTTATATTTGGAAGATCAAGTATCGCACGCAAGACATAGAGATTGTAAGAATTGCTTATAGCTAATAATTGTGTAAATGCTGATTTTTTGGTACAAAATTTTCCAAATGTACATGTAGATTCTTTTGATAAACGTTGATTAACTTTTAGAAAGAAAATGATGCAAAAAAAAAAAGAAAGAAAAATGGTCGGAAGTGCCTACCGCTGAATTGCTCCTCATCAAGGTCTTCAATGGTGAAATTTGTCTGCCAACTCCTTTGGAAGAGGCAGGAGAAACTGGAGATGGTGATCTACTTTTAACATACTGAACAGGAAAAATAAGTTAGAAAAACAAATGAAACCTACCAAAAAACAGCATAATTATTGGCTAGAAAGAAATGGTTAATTTCCCACCAAACCAATAATTAATGAAGAACAAAGGAAGTAGGAAAGTCATGATGAATTAATTAAGTTGGTAACTTACCTTTTGAGCATATTTGCTGTTGGGGCTTTCCATTTTTGATATAGCTGTTTTGCTATGATGAATCGAATGAGTACTGACTGAATCACCAAACACTTATAGGGATCAGGGTTTATATAATACAATGATGATGAATCACATTGCAAATCAACACATATTATTCATCATCATCATCATTGTTGGGGTTTGCATATTGGGGTTTGGAGATTGGTATCTTTCTGAGCAACAATAGCTTTGTTTGTTGATCCATCCTCAAAATTAATTTTTTTGCATGCTTTTCTTGTACCAAACTTTCTGATTAAACCTCCCTCTCATTCATTCAAATTTGATTCTGGCAATACATTTTTTTTTTTTTTTTGTTTTTTGATTCTCTTGGTTAATCATTTCAAGGAAGAACAGATTAACTACCATGTAAAGGAACCATTTTTCTCTGAAACATTGCCTTCAATGGATCCTTTCAGAGTTTGATTCATGCATAATAGCTAGGCTTAAGATTAAAGTTACCCCAGTTCCAAAGGAAAAAAAAAAACAAAAAAAACAAATTGAATCCTTTCAAAATTGGTGGGTGACAAGTCTTCGAGGTCCATTTACAATTCAACTTTTTTTTTTTTAATGAAAGTAAAAATAAAATAAAGCTGAATTTATTCCAAAATCCGGATGAAGAAGCAAACGTGAGGTTCTTATTCCCTTCGTTTTATTTATTTATTTATTTTTTCTTTAATTGACTTACGAGTTTAAAGAACACAATGAAAGATTAAGAGGCCAAGGTTCGGATCTCGTGGGAGAAAACAAAATAAGATAAAACATGAAACAATATAGGATATACAGTTTTGAGATTAATTATGAGACATGGACTCGAAGAAACTGATTAATCGATCGAAACATCATTTTCTGACAATAGCAAATCACGGATTACTGTTCGTTAATTATGAATGGTTGTCGATAATTTCATTGTTAAGTCTGTTATGAAATCAAAGTTGGAAGGTCACCTTTCCTTTCTAGTCGGTTATTCGCTTCTTATCAATCTTGAATTTTTTTCATAACAAAACACAACCCTGTCGTATGTAGTTAGGTCAATGTTCCAAAATCAAACTGCTAAATTAGTAGTAATTACTTCATTACGTAATTGCTTATGTTTGAAGATTTAAGGTCTGGAACTTACAAATCCCGAAAACAAAAATCAGAAAACTTGTCAAAATCGTAATCCATGTTGATTTATATGATTTCTAAAGCTTCTATATTGATTATGATAATTCCTTAAAGCAGCGTTAATTGGAGGCAATCCTTTTGTTTTGTAGAGTACTTTGATTAACATTGCCAATTTTTTTTTTCCTTGTATATTTTCGGTCACTTGGCAAAAAAAAAAAATTAGTCACTGTTGTCTATTAGTGTCTTCGATGCTACAACACATCCGAAGTTATTCGCTTCGGAAAAAAATTTGGACAGTTAACTGTTAGAACTCATTCATAAGTCTTGTAGCACACGTGCATCCCACGATTTCTTGCCACCCCGTATTTGTGAAGGAAATTCACAGTTACTAAATAGCTACGTATATTCTTGTTGCCATTTTTAGTAATCTTTACATGTTAATAATATTGAAAGGTTTACTATTCAAACAACCCCTACGTACAGTACGTCTTTTATCCCAACAATTTTCTCGTGGCAAAATTAGGCACTTTTCCAATGATAAAGCGATAAGCCGAGTAGGTCGCCCCTGAATTAGAAAATAAGCCAAACCCACAAAAAAAGAAAAAAAAAAGGCTGCATATATGCCACTCTCTAATGATCCAGATCGATGTATCTTGTTGCAGAGAAAAATTCGATATGAGGAAAATATTACTCCCTCTGTCCCAAAATTATTATCCAGTTTGAAATTTCACTTTTAGTACAATTTAAACTAAAAATGAAAACTCAAACAAGAAAATAATTATGGGACGGAGGGAGTATAATTTATCTATGAAAAATGAACAAATAGATTAATATAAACTAGATGTTTGCCCCGGGCGAATGTCCGGAGTGCTGCTTGCATTTTTAAATCGATTAAATAAAAAATACGAATTATTCTTAAAAGAATAAAAAATAGAAGAATAAAAATCGATTGAAAGGACAGGAAGTGAGTTATTACATATAAATCTATGCCCAGATTTACAACATTTAATTTACAACAGTTAACTTATGCCTGGGTTTACATAAATCATAAACCAAAATCTACAACAGAAGAATAAAAAAAAAATCATCCTTAAAAAATCAAATTTCTTTTATGACAGCTTATTTTTTTTTCTGTTGTAGGAAGAGATGGATTGATAATTAATTTCAGATTGTATGTAATTGATTTAAAGGTCCAGGTGTGAGAGAGGAGCGAAATGAAAGAGATCCTTTGAAATTAGGGATTGGAAAGATATTATTGGTGTTTCACTTTATTTAAGGGAATTTCCTTACATTTGATTTTATCAACTAAATATTGTTATTTTAAGGGATTAGTATATACATATAATTAAGAGATTTTTATATAGCTATAATTAAGGGATTTTTATATAGCTATAATTAAGGGATTTATGTTTTTATCTATTCTATCCTTTTTTTGTGATTAGTTAGAGTGTCACGTGTCAAAAATGATTTTGTACTGAAAATAGCTTTTGGCGGGAAAATTTTCATTGTGGTGGTGACACATGTCCTTTTTGTTTGCTATTTTAATTAAGTACTATAGATTATGGCTAACAATATAATTTCTCCGGCTCTGTTAAAATAGTTCACTTATTATATTATTTTAATAAAAAAGGTGGATTATTTTGCTTTGACAGAGGGACAACATGTGTTTTTTTTTTTTTTTTTTATGTTAAGCAATCTGAAAATTTTCAGCAAACTATATACGGTGATCATTTTTTAAAACATAAATTGTGAAAGGATCACTGGAAACAAATTGTTAAGTATTCTCAAATCTTAGAATTAGTTCTTGAGGCTTTACAGAGTTTGCAATTACGTTTTTTGCTGCGGTTGGCATTTCCATTTTGAGCAATTTGGACTTTACTAATTGCTGTAGGCAAAGCACTGAATAATACTGTCCAAATGTTACCCGTGCTCTTTTTTCTCGTAGTAAATTCAGGCAATGTACTTAAAAGGGATTAACCAAGTTTGATGGTCCAAAAGTAGAAGATTTTACCCAAGTTAACATTAAAGAAAAAAAATAGTAGCAAAAAAGTTGGCAATGATCTAATTTGTTTTGTGCCCAAAAATTCTTTTCACTTCTCCAACATCATGATCAATGATCAGCTAAAAGAACAGTGGGAAAATAAACCACTTGCGAACTTGGAATTGTCCCAATCAAAATACAAATGTTGACCAATTAACCGGACCCAATTGTTTGAATTACATAGTACGTACATATATTCCAAGGGAAATTTCACTTTTCTACATTAGTAGAACTTACATACATACAAAATTTCGAAAAAAAAAAAATTACGTATACACTAGGTCATTCTTCTCCTAGGTTCTCATTTTTAATTATATGTCAAACAATTCACATATATATGTCATTTTTCCTCTCACCAATACCATAATCTAAAACTATATTGAGTACTAAAAATTATCAACTTGTAGGAAAAAAAAGGGTGAAAAGAGGAAAATGGAGGTAAGTATCGAAGTAAGGAGAGACAATATCAGTGAGGAAAAAATAGTACATTTGTTACAGCCATATTTTATAGAGCAGTACACAAATCATAATAATCGTAAATGTGATGGCCTGCATTTTTAATGTTCAAAACTCTCAAAATTCTTACCCTAATACTGCCATAGTTTATGTGATAGCTAGTACCGTGGTGCATAAACTTTTCTTTTTCTTTTTATAATTTTGTCTGATATTCGAAATCACTATCAGCTAATCTATATTTAAACTAAACAGTTATTTTTTTTCCTGAAAAAATAAAACTTTCTCAATAAAAAATAACATATTTTGTTGTTTGTATATATGGCTATAAAGGGTAGCAAATACGTCCTTCCTTAGTTACTCCCCAACTCAGGGAAAGCACTATATATTATCAAACACTTTACTGATGGGGGGAAACCAGTACGTACTGAAGGAATAAAAACTCACAAAAAATTTCACAAATACAAACGAAAGATACATACAATGCAGTCAAAGGGATTTTCTTGTTCATCATAGTAAGACTCAAAGATGGATAGATAATGTGATCTCTTGCTTTCAATGGTGTAGTTTCCTTTTCCCCTTTCCCCCTCACACACACACACACACACACAGTCACACAGTGGTGTGTTTTGTTTTCACGATAAGAGTTTCAGAAACAAAGAAAGAAAGAAAGAAGAAAAAAGAGGTTGTGGGGTAGATCCCACTGTATGTCTTGTCTATAGGGTTTGAGAGGGACAAGAGAAGCTACAGAAACTTTCAAATTATGGCACTGAAAAACATGGTGTCTTTATTATTTCATTTATTTTTTTTCCCATCAAATAGTAATATGGGAATAGTACCTGTGAAAAAGACACATCCAAAACATGGAAAAACATAGCCTTAATCCCCCATCTTCAGAGCTTTATTTCTTTGTTTGTTTTTTCCCCCCCACCTTTCCAATGGACCACTTGCTTCCTTTGCTCCACTTCTGGTCTTTCTTCCTGCTAGAATATATATACATATATGTATGTGTATGGCTTCCTCTTCTTCACATGAAACTCTGAAGATCTACCACTGGAATCTTGGACTTATCTTCTCTTCTCTCCATGCATGCAACTATTTATGTATATTAGCAAAAAATAAAAATAAAAAAATTGGATAAATACTATACCTTTATTTGAATTTGCATGGATGTTTTAATTGTTTTCTCAAATTAATGATTGAGTCTTGCTAGACTTTAATTTTCTGTTATATCTTTCTCCTTTAATTTTTGTACCTTTTGATGATATCGGTTGCTGTGTTATTGCACAAACTTGTATGAATGTGCGGGCATTAGTTAAAAAAGTCATTGAATGAAAATGTCAGCTAAACAATGCAATATATACCACCAGCTTTTAGCAGTCAAGTAGATGCCTATAGCTATAGCTTGATCATAATGATTGGTTTTTGAAGTAATTGCTCTGATGAATGAATCAATGATATTTCATGAATTCAAAAGTAAAACTAACCTTGATTGACCTTCTTTTCATGCAATATTGATCATGTGATTATCACTGTGTAGAGTGTAGACTAGATATGGTAAAATCTTTGCGGGTTTACCCAAAAAAAAAAAGAAAAGAAAAAGCACGTAAGATGAGACAAAGTTCTCTTACAATACGACATGCAAAGACATATATTCTCCTTATAATTTCTGTGCACTTGATCTTAAAATATTCAAGTAACAGCAACCTATATGAATCACTGTTTTGTTATAGCCCTTCCTTCACATGTTTTGTATAGTTCTTTGTTTAATTTTGTCACGGTCACATTTTAATACTTCACTTTAACTAAAACTGCATTACAAACTGAACTGCATATCAAAATTGGACAGAGAAATAATATATATATTTTTGGGGGTCCTAATTGTATTAAGAAGAGTTTAGAGAAAACTGCAAATTTTTTCCACTATTCAAACAAACTCTAGAGTAAGGTAGAAAAAACTAACATTGCCGTGAATCAATTCCAAAAAATAAACAGAAAGAAAAAGTACATTGCATTTCATCATCCCAAGTACTAAATACAAGAATCTTTAATTAAGTCATCCTTATTAATTCCCTCTATAATCAACCTCATCATAGCTGAAATGGAAGATGGGATGGAACTCTGAGCTGATCACAAGGCTTTTTCTCCTGCATGAACTCTTTTCTGCAAGCGTTACAAGTAGTAATCTGCACAATGTTGTTATTATTAGCACAGCTAACATGCCTTGTTGAACAATCTTTTAAGATCTGAACCGCATTGAACTCTGCAAATGCTTGTTCCCTAATCTTCTTGGCTTTTGCCATTTCCTGCTTAGCCATTTCAATCAAACACTTGGCTTCATACCTCTTTTCTTCAGCTAATGCTTTCTCTTCCATAGCCACCCGTGATAGCTCACGTGCCTCATTCCTCAGCCTAAACGCTTCTGAATAATATTCCATCTTCTGATCAATATCTTTCACATTATCAAACTTATCCCTAGAATAATGATGATCTTCTTGGCTATTAATCTTACATGCATCAAGCTGGCACCATCCTGAATACTCTCCTTCACTGGTTTCTTGGTAAAGTGGTTGAGTAGAATGATGATGATTCTCTTTGCTTCTGGTGGACAAGTTGTTTATTCCAGTGCTAAAGGAAGAGTTGCTTGAAGAGAAGAGTTCAAGCTCAAGGTTGTGGCAAAAATCAGAATCATCAGAGCTTTTGTGATGGAATTGGATTTCAGTACATGAGAAAGTAGAAGCTGGTTTTGTAGGGATTTGGGAAACGTTATAGTTTGTCATCCGAACTTTGCATGTATCTTGGTGCTCTATAAAAGCTTCCACTCTGCAAAAAAAAAACTCAAACACAAAAAAAGGGTTATAAACGCATTTGCACTATGTATGTGTATTGATTGTCATGAAACTAGATCATGATTGAAGACCATTTTTTTTCAGATGAGAGATTTCAAGACACTTATAAATTATAACAGGCTTTTTTTTTTTTTAGGTACAGTGATTTATTCAAGATACAGTAATGATCCCTAAGATCAGAAAGGTGTGCTTTTTATCATAGACTTTATGGAGAAAAGTCATAACACATTATCAACCAAAAGACAAAGATGAAATACTAGGCTTTTCTGATCATCTTCACCCTACTCTACTCTTAGGTTCCATTTCCAAGATCATAAAGCTGAAACACTGATTTTTTTTTAAAAAAAAAAAGAAAGAAAGAAAAATAAAAAAGCTAGAACCTGGAGAAAACGCGGCCGCAGTCACAAGAATGGCCTCTGGTACCACAAATCTTGAGATGAGCTTTGAAATCAGATTGAACAGCATAGCCTTTGGTGCATTTATCACAAACCCATTGTTTGTTGTTGCTGTGTTTCCTCCTGAAATGCTTCTTAATCCCAACCAGATCACCCAAAGCGTGGCTAGGATTGTGGTGAAGACAACTCGGTTCAGGACACACATAAACTCTCTTCTTAATCGCTTCTTCTTTATCTTTCTTCTTCAGCAACTTCCATGGAACCTTATGCCTTCTCTTATGCATCTGAAGGTTTTGCTCTCTTTGGAAACTCTGGTTGCAGATTTCACACACATATCGGTCCGATTCCAACAACATTTCCGGAGTAAGATACACAACCTCAGCATCAGGATCTATATATAATATTTAACAGAATCACGGGGTATGTTCGTCAGGTACCATAAAAAACTACAACCAATTAAAATTCAATAAAAACAAGTATTAATAATCTACTATATATATATATCTAGCTATGTGCTAACCTGGGGTTCCTGCTGGCTTGCGTTTCTTTTTGGTGCTAAGAGGCAGCTCATAATTTTGGGAAGTGAGATTTTCAGAAGAAGGAAGAGGGAAGGAGTGGGCAACAGGCATAGGAAATGATCTTGATGAGTTTTTAATGTAAAAATTCAATGGAAATAGCATATAGGGTATATGGGTTTGAATGTGGTTTGTTTTTGAGTTTTTATTTGTGGTTGTACTGCATAAATGGGGGTTTGTAGATGGGTACTAGACCATTCCTAGATGATGATATATAGATATTCTTTACACCAAGTATTGGGGGTTTGTGGGGACTTTTTGATGAGGAGAAAGACAGTGTAAGAGGGTTGTACTCTATATTGTAATTTTCATATCCCCCTTGAGGAACTAAATTTTAAGTGACTGTCACCCCAATGTGAAACTTTTGAGGATTTATAAAGAGGCTCTTGTCAATTGTCAAGGAGGTTCAGGGTTCAAATCTCACTACTATATGTTTTTCTTTAAGGCCATGTCGGACAAGAATGTTTAGCGTTCGAAAAACTAATCTTTTATTTGAAATGTAAATCTGAATTTGGAAACAATTTAGTAAAATATGAATCACCGCTTATTGAAATTCTCAATTGCCTCATGGGAAACCAATGGTTTGTTCCCAAAATACCAGCTAGTTAGAAAGAGAATAAGATGAGTTCAGTCATTTCTTGTGTTTGCGGAGGGTTTTGTTCAAGGTTCACCTAGTGCACTCGTGTAAATACTTTTGTTATTTTGTTTATCCGTAATAAGGTAACTTAAGAGTGTAAACTTTTGCTTCTTTCATCGAACAAAAAAATAAAAATTCTTGTTATTCTTTTGTTAATCATTAACGTGTTGTTTTTGTAAAGGGCATTGTATTATTAAATGAAATGATATTATTTGGTTAGGATGCACAACTCTCTAAATTATGGCATTTTGAGGTATAATACATTAATTACTAATGCAACAAAAAGAAAATTTAAGGCTCTAAATATTACTGGAGAGGACCAGACTATAAAATCTAGGACAAATGTAAGGTGTGAGGAAACCTTAGGCCATTGAAGACTTATGCGCTCAGTTTAACATTGCATCCTTCCATCAAATGTTGAGAACTTCAAAAAACGATTTCATTAACTCTAACACCAAAACTCCTTGGTCATTTTGTAAAGTAGTTGCTGAGTATAAAAGTTACATATATGGACCACACCCCTTGTCAATTACTAATTGATTGCATAAGAAACCCATTAATCACTTGCGATTCATTGATAAATTACACTCTTTATTTTTCTTTTTCATTCTAGTTTTATTATTTCCTACTCTGAAGATTTCCCACTTAATTAGTTCTTTTAATTATGGGGTTTCGTCGCAAATTCTGAAAGCGAGACTATTCTTCAGAATTTTTGAGATTATTATTTTCATGATCAATCATTTCAAAATTGATAGTTAGGAGAATTCAATCCCTTATACGTATGTATTCAAGGTAAAATGTCAAACTATAAGTTGAGACGAAACAGTCTACATACTTATGGTAACTTTTCCGTTCCGCTTTCATAAATACGGTAATTTATACTTGGCATTTTGGAAGTTTGTTGGCAGTGAATTCGTGCACAGTGTTTAAGAAAACTGGTGATTGATTTAACAATGGATTATGCAAAAGAGTAGCTAGGGTTTATGATCAACTGAGGGTCGGAGGAACATGATATGTGTATCTTGGTGTACGGTGTACAGTACCCAAGATCATGTTGCCGATATACTTACATAATAGTGTTGTTCTACTTTTTTTGTATGAAACATGGCCGGCCCCTTTCCCACGTACATTTGTGCAGGTGATATATAACAGTTGGTCGTAGGGCATTATAGTGCTTTGGACTTTGAATTTTGTCCCTCAGGTGAAGTGACCTATCTCCCCCCTTTCTCCCCAGTAAAAATAATATATTGTGATGCCACAACATGTTGCATGATTATTAATCAATACAATCGTCTCTTCTAGCTTGACTTTTATTCGGATTGTAATTTGATGTTATTGTTTATATATCGATGTCTCATTTCACTGTATATAATAAGTAACATGTATAAACTATTCCAGTTCAGTATATCGTTTATGCAAGTAGTAAGAAAGTAAGAAAATTAAGGATATAATTCGATGGGTTTGACACAAAAATCATACACAATGATGAGAATCTGATCCGATAAGGCATAAAAGGCCAAAAAAATTGAATACTTGAGAGCAAATTTGAATAGTGTGAAATACTGTACCAAAAACACAAAAAACACAGTAGTCGTGATAAAACAGTAAGGAAGATGCCCACAATAATTTGCCAGTTTGTATTCAAATTACTTTTTGTTGGGTACTGAAATGAAATTATAAATCAAAATATCAAATCAAATCAAATAAATAATTATTTTTTTTTTAGAATACTAACAAAAACAATGGAACCAGAGTTAAGTTTGTTTTTAGTGTTGAAAGGACTTGAAGAAAAGAAGAACAAGGATATAGATAGAGAGAGATAGACGAGGTAGATTCTCACGGCCAAAATTTCCCACACTACCCAATGAATCATGTTTTGCATTTGATGCATTGCATTCTGCTGCATATAATATCTCCTAAGAGAATGAATGTCTTTTGCTCAGTTTATTACCCCACCCCCCCACCCCCATCACCTTTCCCTCCCCTCTTCCTGTTTAATTCAATCAATTTTTTTTTTAATGTACAAGTTTTTTTTTTAATTATTTTTTTTAAATGGTGAAATGACCAGTCACTAGGGTCTATTTATTGTTTGGATTGAATTTTGTGCAATCCACAACTAATGTATTGTTTTTTTTTTTTTTTTTTTGAATGAACATTAGGCTCTATAGTTTGGCTTTTGGCCCCTTTGGAAAAACTGAGTAGAAAGTGATGGCCCTTGAAAGGATTTTGGTTTGGTTCCTTAAAGCTAAAACCATGCAGAGATAGTTGAATGTGATGCTAATAGATGAGTTTGCAGAGGTGCAACTCTGTATTCTTCTACACGCACAACCACGCAATAATGTACGGTCCAATCTTTCATTTACTCCCCAATGTTAAAATTTTGACTACAATTTAAAAGTGAGCAACAAAGATGCAATGGTTCTACAGTCCGCGGAGTAAAATGTTTCCTCCAAAGACACACCGTAGATTAATCTGCGTGTGATATGTGTCCGCTCAGAACTATCTCCTGTGTATACATATGAATTCGTGGCATATATGAATTTGTTGTATTTAGGTGGTTAAAAGAAAAAAAAACCATAGTGGCAGTGGGGAGGTAAATTGTAATGAACGAAGCTAAATTGTTCAGAGCTAAAAAAAATATTCACTCTGATGAAACCACCAAACATTCAATAATCCACCTGTTTTTCCCACCCCCAAAGAATTAAAGATACAGTTTTAGAGTTTTAGCAATGTTCTTCATTTCTGGTGCTGTGGTCCTGAAACCTGATGTGCTTTCAAAAGATGGCACATCGATCTTCTTTAATATATGATGTTGTAGTTAGTTTTCTTCCTAACCAAAAAAGTAAATAAATAAATACAGTTTCTCAGCTATACAGTTTCTGCTAATCGGAGAATTTGGTTGCATGGTTAAAGAGCTACAAATTATGAATGTAGGTCAAAACATTCGAACACCACCGACTGTAATACTCCCTCTGTCCCATAATTATTGTCCAGTTTGAGATTTCACTTCTAGTACAATTTGAACTAGAAATGGAAACCCAAACTAGACAATAATTATAGGACGGAAGGAGTATAAAAATAAGATGAACATTTGCCCCCAAAGAGAAATCAGAAGAGCTTTGTTTTTTCTTTGCATTTGATGATAACACATTTGACTAACTTGCAATGGACCAGAAAGAGGTGCCACAAATATGTTGGTACAAAATTCATAATACTGTATCAAGAAAACGAGATCATCCTCATACAGCTGTGGTGTGGCCTTCAACACAAGATCTGAAAATCGGTCAATTATTACGGGTATAAATGGACCTTTGAACCACCCCCTTCCCCCCCCTATTATTTGCTACTTTACAGAAAAGATGTCAGGAGTAACGACAGGGTCACCAACCAACAAACAAGCTGAAGCTCCTCAGGTTTCAACTTGAGCTTCACAAGTACATTCATGCATTTTTCTTGCTTCTATAACAGTTTACATTTTACCTTACCGATAGACAAGATAATACATGGTCATCCGTTAACCCATGGGGCCAATACACATGGTCCTTAAACAAGAATGAAGCAATTCGAGCTGATGAAGCAATTCGAGCTGATGGTCCTTATACAAGAATGAAGCATAATGTAAAGTGTTTGTCAAAACTGGACCATAATCTGCCCGTCAAAACGAGAAAATGGAATTGATAGATGCCAAGATCCTAATGTGTGTAAGAAAGTACTTGAGATAATAATGAGATTCAGCAGTTTGGATCACTCTTCAGAGACCTTGAAAAATGTATATGAAAGTATCAAGTTGTTGATACCATCCATTCTAGGATCTGTTTCGAACTCGGGGTCTATGTAAAAGAAGACCTATAAGTGCAAGTTAAAACATTTAATCAGATACAATAGGTTGACACAGGATGCACAGTCCCAAATACAGGTAAAAGCAAACACTGCTTACTGGCATGTCGATCTGTTCTCCAGGTAGCAATCGCTGTTCCTCAAAACAAAAGCACTGTATTTTGTTGAAATAAACTGCAGCCTGAAATTAAAACATTACTTATGATTACTTGAAACTTGCCTAGAGACACATAATAGTCTCTATATTCATACTAAAATTTGAAAACCTCCTTTTAGCTGCATCAAAGTTCTCACAAATAGAGTAGTAGTAATTAAACAAAATAAATATGTGACAAATTTCGGAATCAGACTTTACAAAACCATGCAAGAGGTAACAGCATGTGGAAAGAAAAATGTAATTTCTGGTTACACAAAGAGACCAAAAGTAAATTCCTTCCAGACCTCCAAGAAGCACTCTTATTTCAGCTAAACACAGAATGGTCAGCAGAGAACTTTAGAGACAAAGAATTTTCTTTTATGGTTTATATGAAGAACAAACACATCTCAGCACAAGATGCAAACCAAAAAGAAAAGATTTAATCAACTAAGGAACAACTCATTAATCACAATAAGAGCAGCTTCATAACAAAAGTTTAACTCACTTTCAATCTACTGAAAGGAAAAAGTTAACAATTAGTATTGTTTCAGTGGCGTTATTCAAATTGGACGCCTCATTTTATCTGTATTAAAGTTCTGAAATAAAGAAGAAGTAAGAAAACAAAATAACTAAATTGACTATTTCAAAATCAGACCTTACATCACCATGCAAGTGGTACAAGGAGTTTCAAGAAAGAAACAAAGAATCAGGATTTTGCAAAAAGAAGAGCAAATAGACTTCCTTCGACTCCTCCAAGAAGCACTCTTATTTGATCTAAGCACATGATGGTCAGCAGAGATCCTAAATCCGACCTTTTTTCTTTTCTGGTTTATAAGATGAAAGAAGACATCTAAGCACAAAAGATGCAAACAAAAAGAAAGAACCAAATCAACTACAGCAAATATTTTCACAAATTGGGCAGCTTGTTACCACAAACTCATCTCTCTTTCCCCAAGGCAAAACTTATTAACAAGTATAGACTAAATGCATAACTACTGGATAGGAAGTTGCAAATACTTACTAAGTTCATTACGTTTGACTGAATACACATAAATAGCACACATCCTAGATTAGAGCTTTTTAATAGACTCAGAAGTTGTTTCCAAAAACCTAATGGCAAGTATAAGATAGAGTTCTTTTGGGAGGAAATGCAAGTAAAGATCAGAGCGATCGCCAAGCTAATAACACCCTAGAATAGATTATACAAACAATTCCCAAGCCTCATATAAAGCATACTAAGTTAACAATAATTATCTATGAAAACTCATGAAATTTGCATGTGCACCTTCATAGGAGTGACATTATAGGTAGATACACCAGTAATTGGAGTTGAACTTCGATTTTCAGCAGTGTAAAATGCAAGGGCACTCTCCCCAGGCTTCACTCTTACCTGCAATATATAACAAGATGAATACAATAGAAGCAAATGAGTGCCAAATTAACTTGTTCCACACATACACTCCTTCCTCATGTTAGAAAATAAAAGCACAAGGGCACCTCTCTCTGGGTGGGAGTGAATTTCCAAGGCATTCCATCAGCCACATCAGCATTGAATTGGACAACGACCTCTCTGCAGGTAAAATGAATTGCACATTTAGATATCAGCCGGAACTTTTACCAGCAAACTTGGTATTGTGGAAAAGGACTAATCATATAACATTTCTCAAGCTAGTAAACAAGCTAAAAAAGTGAGGAAAGGAATGATTAAGTTGAGGGTGAACGGGGAAGGCTGTAAACCTCCAGCTCTTCGCACAATGACTACAAAAGTTCGAAAAAAAAAACAACCGAAGAAGGAAATCTACATAACAAGACGGTGTAACAGAAGCATTCAGCCTAGGCTCTATTGATGCCAAACAATACCAATGGCAGAAGCGTGTTCTTCTTACCTCTGATCACGCTCATTTTACATAATCTCTACATGAAAAGGATTTTTTTGTGGCAACTAAAATTCAATCAACTCTAGCAAATATAAACAAAAACCATAAAGCTAAAAAGTAATACTTGCTCTAATCATCATGTAATCGAAAAAAGAAAAAAAGAAAAGCAAAGGATGCAAAGATTGTTGCCAAAACATTCAAGGAAGAGTAGCACCTTTTAGTAACTGTTCCATCTTTGGCATGGCGGGCAATTTTCTCTTCAACGCTCTATAACATAAAAAAAGGCAATTTTCCTAAGGACATTTTACATGCAATTGATGACTCAAATCACAGGCACTTCATATTACCTCTCGCCGTTGAATGGTGCCCCCATAACCTGTAGCTTGACAGAATCTTCTGTACAAGGGTACAGCAGCATAACTCATTCCCACCATAGCAAAAACTAACCCTGTCAAGTATATCAACATCTTACGCGATTTCTGCTCCGTGGTAGGTTTAGTTGCATATTGGTGCCGGAGATTAAGCATAATACAAGAACCCCCTACATTCGGAGTACTAAAAGCTGAAGGAATCTCTTGAGATTTACTAAGAGAGACCCTGTTATTGACCTCATATCTAGAAATGAAGCCATTCAAATTCCGACTTTGAACTCCAAAGTACTGAATATATCTATGATTATTAGCACCAACAAAATTATATCTTGCTCCAATGATCCCATTATAATCCCTGTACAGTTTAAAGAACAGAATAATAATCCCATCAAAACCCAATATTTATAGCAAATTATGCACCAATAAACAGAACTATATTCAGAAAAACTCAACACAGAAAATCCCTAGAGAAGAATTGAATTAAGTACCTGGAAAGAACTTGGGCGTGGAGAACAGAATTGGTAAAGTAAGGGAACAGGCGGGTTCTTCTACCGAGCCTCGAGAGTGACATGTTTCAATTGATTGAATTGGGAGTTCGAGGAAATTATCAACTCAAATGAACCAGCATTTGAATCAACAAAAGATTCACTGTGATGTAAGATTGCACCCCACAATATAATTCCTCATGCTAATAGAATTGATATATTAGATGTAAAAGCCTACCGGAAGACGGCTAAGTACTTAAATCTTTCCGGTTGAAAATCAGAAGACTGGCAGGAAAATCTAAAGGTTGAGAGGCGGGAGCGTGGCGGATTCAGCTGCCTGAGCCGGGAAATGGGGACAATAAGCCCTTTTACTATTTGGTTTATTTTATTCGATATATTTTTTTAATTATTATTAGTACTTAATTAATAAAAATTGTAAAGGGTTTATCTTTATCCTTTTTTAGTCAGTCGAAATTTACATAAAAAAAAAATATCATCAACAAAACAAGAAAGACGATTATCTATCACCAGCTTAGAAACGCCATTAACTTTGCATTATTGTTCTAGATGTTTTGATGGTAGTAAATCGCACCTTCTGGATTCTTCTGCTTCCTTCAACTTTTCAGTTCTTCTTTTCCCTTCGCTAAACCTAAATAAGCCCTGTAAAACGAATTAAATCCGATTGCCCCTGTATCTTCCTTCGGCAGTTCCACTAAATAAGCCCCAATTTTCGATTCAAAGAAGTTACAAAAGCAGTCACTCGGTGGAGAGACAAGATGTTCGGTGTAGTATTCCCAAACCGCAGTTTTCCAATGGATATCTCAAGCTTCACACAAATCGACACCTTCCACTGGATTCTCGATATGAATACTTTCGTGGGTTAGTCTCAAAATCTCATCTTTTTAGTTCTTTATTTTTGTTTTTGTTTTTGTTTTTTTTCAATTTTATTTGGGGGGGAATTTTTTTGCTGATTCCGGCTGTTTTGTTTTTGTTGCAGGTGAAGCCTACGATTCAATTGGAGAAGTCTGCATATTTCTAATAAACAACTTTACACTCCCTCCTGACAAGGCTCTAGCTGTTTACATTCAATCCCCGGGTTCCCCTTTCCTTTACTGCGGAGCAGTTACAATAGCCCGGCCTTCTGCGGTTCTTTCTCTGCCTTGGCCGGAACCCGGTGGGCAATTGCAGCTCACGGCTGATGCAGCTCCGTTGTCCGCCAAAATTGGTGTTTCAGTCGAGGACCTCTCGTCGCTGCCATCCCTTGATGTGACGGCAGAGAAGAAAATCGAGCGTTTGGCAATGAAAGTTGGGGAGAACTTGTTCAATTTTATGCAGTCATTCTGTGGCGTTGATGGGAGTAAATTGGTGGTGCCAATGGACATATTGGACCGGTGGTTTAAGAAGTTCCAGGAGCGGGCGAAGCGGGACCCCGAATATCTCAAGGGTTTTGCATTGTAGCTTTGGTGAGGCCTGAGGTATAATGTAGACTAGTGTTGTACTATGCTTTGTTTTCTAGAACTCCCAGTTCGAGTTAGCTCTTTTAAGAAATCCTTTTGAAGGAGGTGATTTTAGCTTTTTGATGTTGTTTTGTAATTTGCTTTCAGCTTAGATTAAGCATAGAGCTCCTTTGATCTAAGTCAATAATGATGATAAGGAAGCAATTTCTCACTTGATCATGACACGTCTAAAGGTCTTCTTGTTCGTGCTGATGACTTGGACTGCTACGCCCCTTGTGTTTCATGACCAACAATAGTCTGTTAAGTGAAATCTCATTGAATAGCTAGTCTCTCCCTTCCTGAGAAAACACCTTATATGTGTTCAACTTGAGAGAAAGGAGGAATGAATAACCTTTTTAAAAGAGTGAATTTCTCGTTTATTTGTTTATTGTAGCAGTTGCACTAAATTATGATTAACATCAATGTGAGGAGGGCAACAAGGCATGAAAGTTTTGGAAGAGTTTTTACTGATTGTTTTGGTATGTTCTTTAAAAATTATGCTGTTATATAGGTCTAGCTTGCAGTTTGGATACAGGGGACTTCTGAATTCGTAATGAATATTAATGTGCTAATGTGTTACTTGTTTTCTGGGTAAATTTTCTGGTTATTATTGTTGCATCTGCTCTTTTTTTGAGTTACTTCAGGACAATGACTTTGTCTTTGTTTGCTTTGTTGTTCAGAAATGAATTGACCACTGATGAATTAGATTAACACCTCAGCATATAAGAACCTAACTTATCATCAGGTTGATATCAATTGCGTGAGGACCTTATCTGACTCAGGAATTATCTTTGCTGATAAGATTGTTGACATTTCAGTTGGAAACTGAGTTAATTCATAAGGGTTTTTTGGGGATAATGTAAAGGTCAAGTGGAATAGTTTTAGTGATCCAGTCTTACAGAACCTTCTGTTACTGAGTTGTGTATTTCAGCTTGTGCTTGTCATTCATAAGTATGTTTCCATGTATCTAACTGTCGACCAATAATAGTTTTATAACTAGTAGGTGATTTCCTTGTGATGTGAAGAAGCATGACATTGTAGCTTTTGATTATATTGGTGTGATGCTATTTTCAGTTGTTTAATTGAGAAGAAAGATGTGAGCGTTTCTTTCTTGCTTTCTTAATCTTTGTTGCAATCTGTGCAGCTTAGTCGGCTGATACACTCCAACCCCATGAAGCATTTGTAACCAAGTGTATTAAAGACTGAATTTTGGGGGTTCGTAGCCTATTAGTTTGCTCCTTGTTTGATTTGAGACCATCCAGTTGAATCTCTTTGATGTTGAAAGAGCCGCAGTGTCATTCTTTTCTTAATCAGTTCCTTGTCAAATAATAAGTCTTACAGTAGCTAAATCCCTTTAAATGCTTTAATATCAAGCACAACAACATTGTTTTCTCCAGTCTAGATTGAAGCAGTTTTTGAGTGTCCGGTGATGTTTCTGAGAAGCCGTTTTTTTTTTCCTTGTGAAATCTTTGTGGTAGATGCTTCATATGATAGCCTGGATGATTCAATATGTCTGTGCTCATTGTTCGTGAGTAATCTTTTTCTGGCTGAACCTTTTTAGTAGGCATCATATTAGGGAAAAAGTATGCAGGTTGCCTTTGATTGCTCGATGTGTTCGGCTGATGTTGACATTGTCTCTTATTCATTATCCTTCCGTGACCTTCCCAAATCCCTAAAGCGCATCATCTTAGACCGAATTCAGGTGTTAGAATAGAGTTCTGTTTTATTCTTATTTTCGAGACAGATGAAGGGTAACCTAGTAAGATCTGCGATCAAAACGTCAGTCGTAAACAACAGAGTCAGATAGAATGATTTGGTACTCAGTTTGTACAACAGCGATTCCTTCAGCAACATATCATTGTTGTCACCATCATCATATGTCTTCAATGATCAAAAGCGACCTAATTGTGATCTACAAAACACTCCCAGGCAGAAAGGGGGGATTCATGGGTCTTTCGCAATAGCTAATTTTAACATTATTCATGTTTTTCCTACTATTTTAGATAGGGTTTTGGACGCCTCAAATGCTTAACAAAATATAAGGGGAAAAAAGACCAAGGTGAAAGTTGGAAGTTGACAATCTGCGGTATAATAATACGTGCTGGACACTTACTGAGTCCGAGGAATTTCTGGAATTGGTTTGTAAAATGTTGTTGGCCGTTAGACTATCAAATCATCATAGTTCCTGAATACTTCTATATTTATTAAAAGATGGAAGGTGCTGATAGATACTCGTACTACTATTTCCACATATCAGATATGCCTCCTCTGTCGGCAGAATCTCTCAACAATCTACCTTTGCATTTGACCCGCAAACGGATCTCATTTGATGATTTGATTAAACAAAGTTTTACTACCAATATTTATTCCTTCCGTTTCAAACAAAGTTAAATCATATTAGTATGTTTTTTTAATCTTTTTTTTTTGGTTTTTTTAATTACCAAGCAAAAAACAATGACTATTTTAAGACGAAAAAAAGGATGTTTTATAGATGGTTGTAACTTTTGCAATTAGCATCTAATAATGCTTTTAAATTACACACACAAAAGAAGAAGAAAAAAGAAAGCCTTTTCTTTCGATTTAGTACTTGTTTTTTCACAGATCCACATATAAACCCACACGTACAAGATGGCAGATGTCTTTTTTGCCTTAGACACATCAACATCATCTTTATAAATTACTCACCCTCATCCTTAATTTCTTTCAAGTTCTCATCATCTTCTTAGTCATTAATCCAATCAATCACATTTTAGTCACCAATTTCAGCTCTACTGTTCTCCTTAAAACACACAGTCACACACTGTGAGGTAACATAAAAAAAAACAAAAAAAAAAAAAAACCCACCAATGCTGAATTGCAGATAACCCCGCCAATCAACAGTGATTTGTTGTTCTCCCCAAGTAATTCCGTTGCAAAGAGTCGCGGGTTTTGAACTCCTAACCGACGTGAAGGGATGGCGGAGAAAACCAACGGCGTATACGTGGAGGTGGCCGGCGATGGGGAGGAGGAGAAGCCCAAAGATTCTTACTTTAAAGCTCAGCGGAGCTTCCAAGAAGGAACTGAAGGAGGTATCACTCTTTACACCATCTTTAACCGCCTGATCGCTGCGGTTTTGGCCTCCGACTCGCCTGATCCTCTGTTTCAAAGAACCAAAATTGCCGTGGCTCAGAATATTCCTCTGCTTCGTTCTGCTTCTAAGAATACTGCTCACAACGTCCTCCTCTGGACTCGCCATGGCAGCCCCCTCCGAGCCCTCCTCGTCGTTTCTGTAAGAATTGCCATTGATTTTTTCCAATTTTCTGTTTTTTCTTTGTTTTGGGTTTTTTCTGACCCTTTTGATTCTTGTCATAGTACCATTCTGATGGTGCGATTTTTGTTTCCCCCCCTTCCTTCCTTCCTTGTTGTTTTCTTGCTCTTTTTGTCCTGCTTATTTTATAAAGATTCCCTTTTGTTTTCATGAATCTAATTGTTGTTCTGGATTTTAAATTGGTGTGCGGAGGTCTGTTGATTGTTGAATTTAGCATCTTGCGGAAATTTTGGATCTCTATTTGGAAGTTTATAGCCAAATTGTTTATATTTTGCAAAGATCAGATTTTGTGCCTCTGAAAATTAATATGCTCAACTGTAAGGCCTTAAAGCCTATCAGCTGCTTAATTTTAGGAATTAATATACTCCCTTATGATGCAAGAGGTTTTATTCTGAGTGAGAGTCTGTTGGAGTTAATCTCACCTTTTTTTTTTTTTTTTTTTTTTTGGCTCTGGTTAATATCCAAACATTTGAACTGTGAGTTGACGTATGCATTTTAACTATAGTGAGATACAGGAGCAGTTCCACGTATAGCTTGGTTGCAGTTGCAGATATTTTTTATTGTATACCCGCAATTTACCTAAAAGCTTATGTAGAGTGTGTCCAAATGATGATCATGTAACTGGTTACATCTGAGATTAGAGCAAAAAATTAAGTGCTTTGTCCTAAAACATTAGTAGTCAGTCCTTTTAGGTTTAGGTGAATTCTGAGTTTTCGAATGCCAATAATTTGTGAAAGTATGATCCATACTGATCTTTAGTTTCGTGGTATATTATGGTATGGTGTAGTTGATACACATCTTTCTTATTTGTAGGTTGTTTTTATTTTTGACAGTTTTAAGTTTGAGATTTCTCTTTGCAGATGTACCTCTAATGTATAATTGGTTTACCTGCAGGTTGGAACGATTGCTCTTCTCGCCTTGACTGGATTTATGGTTTTTATGATTTTCTTTGCTGCTGCAACGATAAATGCTATCGTGATATCCCTGCTTGTTTCCTTAGCCGCAGCTGGAGGCTTCTTGGCTCTTTTCTTTGCTTTTCTTACAGCCATATATATTGGTGCACTATCGGTTGCATTGTTTGTCATTTCGGTAACTACTATTTCAGCAATTATTGCTGCTCTTGTTACTACAGGTATGCCTCTCTCTTATTCTCATCCAAACTCACATATATGCATGCTGCTTCTTCTCTGTTTCGCTTTCGAATTTATGATTTCTTTTATGAGCTTAATTTCCTAAACCCAGCTGTCACTCACCGTAGTTTCTTATGATGGTGTGAATTAAGTACCGATACTCACCGACACAACTTAAATCAACCACATTGTTAAAACTGTCAAGGATGTTTACTGTCAAAAGAGCTCTTTAATTTCCTTTGAGCTCCATGATGATTTGGTCTCCAAAATGTAAAGCCACTAAGATGTTTAGACAGTGTTTCAACAATTTGATTATCTAAACATTTCTAAACTCAAGTTTGAATATTGCTAACTCTGCCTCGAAAATACTGTTGGAGTTTGTCTGCTGGATAGTAATTGTGATTATATCTTCAATCTTTTTTTGGAATCAGGATGGATTGGGTTCTTCTACACCATATGGCTGGCAACTCAAAAGGGATTTGGTCTAGCAAAGCAGTCCTTAAGCATGACAGGGTCAGTGGTTTCTGCTTATTCCACCGCTAAATTTGCCCGACGCCATCACGAATCAAGCAACTAGTCGTTTATTTGTGCTGCACTGGGGTGCCCTAAATTTTTGCATTGGTAATAAGTAATCCAAATGTGTATGTACAGTACAAATAATGGTTTGTTGCTAAGTTTCTTCTTCTTTGTATAATAATAGAGTGTGCTCCTTTTCTAGTACCCTTTCCACACTTTTTGTCAATAGTTTTGGTGGTTTTTGTGCAAGGATGATGATACTGTAAGAATGATGCTGCTGTAAAAGCTGATCTTTTATGTATCTGCTATGCTCATCTGGTGCTACCTTAATGGATTTTTGTTTTCTATTTTTTGTCCTACAACTTACAAAATTCCATCCAATGTTCGAAGTAAGTCCCTTGTGTCTTTCGGGAAAAATTTATACTATAACCAATCCTAGCAATTAGTGTAGAGTGTAAGTGTAGACTATTGTGGAACTCCTCTCATTTCCAGAAAACAGGTTTGGTCCGGACGAACGTGGACTTACATGAGATTGTACTGGGCTGATAATGTCTTTGTTGGGCCATAATAAACTGGACTTAGATGATACTGTACTGGGTAACAATATTTGAGTGGGCCATAATGAACCTCTCAAAAAGAGAAGGGAATGGTTTGATTTCTCGTCGATATTCTTCATCCCAAATTCGGAATTGGTATAAAAAATGGTCTGATGGTGAAAGTAAGTTTGGACGACATTGTGGAAAATGAGTGCAAAAGAGACAAAAGGACAATGTTGCGCAAAGTGTCCAACACACGCTTAATCAGAAACAATCGATTACGATTATTTGCGTTTTTATTACATTTTTGTTCTTCTATATTTAATAGCATAACATCACATACAGTCCATAATGATTTTGACACAATAACCCTAAGTCACACCTAACACAAATGCATTGCTACAAATAACCATCTTTCTTGCATCTAGATGGAACAATGTTAGTACTTCGATATTAATCTGAATCTCCAGATTTTAAAATTTTTTTTTCTTATCAGTTCAAACTTTATAGTCTGATCAGTTTGTGGTCAGGTATTTCTGACTGGCTTTCTGACGAATGGACACTTCTTCGTTTCTTCAATTTCACTCTAACAATCACATGTATTTATTTTCCTCCATTATTAAGCTTTCTTAACAAGTTATCATTTTCCCTTCCTTGAATTTTACTCCACCATCACGATTTGCAGTTTGCATGTACTAGTTAGTACTTCCGTTTGAAAATTATTTCAGTCTATCAAAGAACACAAGCGAGTCAATGATTACAATTTTTATACGTACACTTAATTCCTTCACATGAGCTATGACTTGAATGTGATAAAAGCAAACAAAAGGAACTACTTCATCCAGGACGATTAGGGCATGCAAGAAGAAACTGATGATAAGAAAGAAAAAAAAAAAGAAAAGACACAACAACATGCATGCAGAATCAAGAAGGGCCATTTTTTTCACTTCTTTTTTCTTTTCTTTCTTAATTTCCTCGTTAGTATCTCTCCTATTTATATATAATATAATGCCTTCATCCCATTCACAAAAAGGAAAAAAAAAAAAAAAAAAGAAGAAAAAAAATGGACGTCCACAGAAAGAGTTACAAGAAGAATCAGTATGGGGGCGGTGATTAATTACATCAGGCAATTTCCTTTTCAACCCAATCTGGTCTTCCTAAAGTGAACTCCAAGCTAGGATTTTTACGTTCCAGACCTGGGATTAGGTAGCTATTGAGCCGAGACGAATCGCATCCCTGCATCCATATTGTGTGATTTGGTTAGAATTCATGAATATTGTCTCTACAACAAAACTTCCCTTTCATTTTAGGGTTATAATAAACATTGAAGATAATGAATTAATTGAAAAAGTGAAGGTACCTCTAAATGATGTCCTGATCTTTGTTCTACAGGAATTGCTGAAGATGTTCTTAGCCCGTTTACATCATGACCTGAGTTGCTTTGCATCCACGCTTCTCTGCTACTGAAATTTCAACAAGAAGAAAAAAAAAAAAAAGAAGAAGAAGATCATTTTTAGTCTCAAAACAATGCTCACACTTTCATGGTATACAAAAACTTCAAGAGAATCTGATTTGGACGACTATGTATGAATTTTTACCCCTAGTTTATGCAATCAATCATTAGAATGCAAGTATCAATACAGATTGCAGAGAATGGTAATGCTGTGACATCTGAAAAAAAGCAATGTGCATGAAAAAAGATCCTAATCAAAATCTTAAAATGTGGGCTCGCATCAAAAGACTCCAATATTGGTGAATGGTTATATCACTTTTTACAACGGAAATTCATGGATGAATATATTAAAGTCATTGTAAAGTAAACAAGGCAATCTGCATAAGTCTGGACTTAAAAAAGTGCAAAGAGAAGACCGTACAGTTTAAAATCTATGGAAGTTGCTGTATATGTTGACAATAAAGCAAAAAGATTGATAACATTTAAAGTCATTACTCATGACAGATTATAATATTATAGATCACAAACGAATAGTTGAGGAAGAACTTTGAGTAACAACATTCAAACTTCACACTGGCAGGAGGTTTACCATATTTTTCTTCAAATCTATTGATACCTTATCCAACTTCACCACTCTAACATGTCATCCAAATTACTCAATCTGAAATGCACTTCTTAGATGTCAAAAGATTTATATCTTCTACAACACCTAAAAGAACTACTACCAAAAACGTACGTCTCATTTTTTGTATCCTTTCAGCTCAACAAAACAAAGTTCTTCTTTGGCAGACATATAACAGTCACACAAATAAGAAGTTAGGTATGCTAATATCAATCACTTCATCAAGCCTGCCATTGAGGATAGCTAGCCCTTGTGTTTCCCTAAGATCTTCAAGTTGAAGTTTAGTAGCTTTAGCTATGGTTTCAACTTTCAAACTCTATTTATCTTTGTAGACTAGCATTGAGGATTTTACGCTTGTTAGGTTCACAAAAAGTCACGTAGCAACTATTCAAAGAACAGAAAAGCAAAAGCAAATACAGTATAAATTTGGTCCAGTCCCTTCATACAAAAACAAGTTTGATTGATAATAAGAATAGCAAGAAAAAGTAAAGAGATCCGAGAGTCACGCTTGTAAAGAACCAAAATCAAGAGTCACTCTGAAATTATTCCTTCCATATCGAAATAAGAGTAGTTTATTTTGGGACGGAGAGAGTATAACAATCACAATGGATGGAAAGATCACAACAACTAAGATTAAAGCACCCCAAGAAAAGTACAAAAACAAGTCACAAATAGTCAACCTGCAGTCTAGGAAATTTCATTCAGCCTACATTTAATCATCAGACCATGTTTATATACATACTGTGATATGGACAGATAATTTTGTCTGGGAAGTAGTTAAAAAGACTATAAACAAATGGACTAAGGATAAACAATTAATTAAGAGGGCTCCAATTGAGGCATCCAAGTCTGATTAGATGAATCTAAAGAAACAAGGGATTGCTATGTTTTGCTACATGAAGGGAATAAAAAACTCAGAAGAAACAAATGTAGATACAAAAAACCAAGAATAGTTAAATAATGCTTTGAGAAAAGGAGAGCACCTAAGTCAAGATACTGGCCCTTTTTTGTTCCTATATGGCAAATACAAATGTCCTCGTGAAGAGAATAATTAAAAGAAAAAAAAATACGAAAAGCCAGAGAGAATGAATGAATGAAAGAAAGGTAAAAAAAACTACTAATAACAGTAATATGAACAAATAATTCCAAAGAGCAAAAAAAAAAAAAGAGAGAGAGAGAACCATCAGTTGTTGCTTTCCTTATCTTGTTTATCACTCTGATTATCTTTCTTTGCTTTTTCCTTTTTTTTTGCCTTACATAAGTCTCAGGTGAAGAAGATCTCTCAAACGCCGAGATAAAGAACGGAAAGCGGGAGAAAACAAATATTTATTATTTAGAGAAAAAAAAAAGACGGAAAAAGAAGAAATAAAACAGAAGAAAAGCAAAAGCTGACATAGGAATCCTTTTTATTCTACTAAAAATGGTGGACTTTGGGTTGCTTTTGCATAAAATTTCCGGGTTTCAGATTTACGTACCATGCAAATTAAAGAAACAAAGGAAATCAATATTGCTTCTTTTCATAAAAATAAAAAATACGCATTAAATATTACATTGTTTGCTTACCTTGAAGAATTGCTCCACAAAGTTGTCGTAGTAGTAGCAGTAGAAGGATATTCAGATTCTTGCTGTAATGATCCATGATCCGAACCGGCTCCTCTTTGATCCATGAACCGGCCGCGCTGCATTCCGGCACGGTCGTTTCCGGCACTGCCTATCGTGGAAAGATCATCGTCCCCGGAGTTATCTGATTGACCTGCAAATAATGTCCAAAAACAAAACAAAACATTTCAATTTTTCTAGTAATATAAAATTGCAAATTGCATGCACTCTCACAAGGCAATAAAGATTGGTTCTTTTTTTTTTTTTTCTTTCTGAATATACGTATGAAGCTTCTTTGTAATGTCTCATTATAGAGTACAATATACTTCGTATAAAGTCAGATTTTTGTGTTGATGAAATCAAAACTAAAAAAGAAAATATGATTTGGAGGGATTAATAAAAAACACAGCTAGAAAATGCAATACGAATTACCTGAGGAAGCTGCAGGTTTGTCAGTGGTTTTAACCGTTCTATACATCTGCATTGGGAATCATTAACAAAAAAACCTTTTTAATACAACCGTTTCCAAAAAAAACATTACAAAATTCAGAGAAAACTTAATTAATTAATTCAATGGAAACATACAACAAAGGAAAATGTAAGTACAACATTCAAGATCTCTTCCTTCCTTCCATCTCACTCGTTCTCAAGGTTAGCTAGCTTAAAGCTATAGTAAGTACTACTACTGTGTGAGTGTGTGTGTGTGTGTGGGAGGGAATCTGGGGTGTCATTAATTACGAGGTTGATGTTTGATAAGGTAGTACTAATGAGCTGTATTATTATTGAAAAATGATGACTTACTTTTGTCTGATATATTCATTCTATTCTATTCTATCTTTTTTTTTTTTTCCTTCTCTGTGCATTGATGTGGGATGTGTCTGGTGGTCTGAAGAAAAGGTCAGACTTTCACTCCCTCTCTCCCTTCTTCTTCTTCTTCTTTTACTACTACTTTATAGTAGTATTTTTTTTTTTTGTTTTCCAAATCAAATTCATTCAATTTCCATCGGCTATTGTGCCGGAGGGACAGACGGAGACCAAAAACACAAACCCACCACAGACATCATAAACCCCAGAGATGGACTCAGTTGAATACTATGACTGAATGAATGAATGAAATGAATGACTCAAAAAAATATATTTAATATTAATATCATCATCACACTCATTTTCAACTCTCTCTTACACAAAGATTTTGCCTTTTTTTCTCCTTCTTCTTGGTTTGTTTGCAAAATGAATCAACAAAGCTAGAAGAAGAAGACTACTACTATATTATTAGTACCTGTAAATGGCTCTTGACATGAGCCAGAGTTAGATCTTTGACATCCATCAGCTCTAGTACTGACTTTGGAGTAGCCCCTGAATGAAAAAACAAAAAAAGATCATATCCTTTTTAGACCTAAGATAACAAAATGATTAAAATAGAAAAGCAACAACAAAATTTGAGAGGATTAATTTAATTTATATAAAAATATATACTTTCATGGCCGCCAAGAAGCTCAACAGCATGAACAAAACGAGCATGAAGTGTACTAGTCCATCTCATCCTTGGTGCTCTCATACTTCTTTTAGCTGGAAGTTTTGGTAGAAATCTTGACCTCATCATCCCATGATGAGAAACCACCTCATGATGATGAGAGCCACCTCCTAATCCATACTGATGATATGTTGATGAAAGCCCATTAAATCTTGATGAAGGATTAGTAGAAGAAGGGATTCTATAAGCTGAGGAAGGAAGTGCTGCATTGTTATTATTGTTATTAGGCCCTGAGGAAGATGAGTTCAAGATTGACATGTGATCTAAACTTCCACCATTATTGAAATAAGGTGATGGTGAATTATGGTGATGAAGATGATGATAGAAGCTCATCTTGTTGCCTGGATCTTTGTTAGTATCTCTGGTGTGATGATGATGATGATGATCTAGAGCAGGCAAGAAAGGGAATGAACGGTTGTGATAAACTGGAATACCCTTGATTGGCCTCAGCCCACCATTATCAGAAGAAACATCCAGCAGAGAAACTCCATGATTGAGCTGATTCAGCTGGTTATTAGGCTGATGACAAATGTTATGTGTGTGGCTATAAATATAAGGGTTTTGATGATGATGGGATATTTGTTCTTCTTGTTGTTGATGATGATGATGAATAACTGTTCCTCCTCCTCCTCCACCGCCGCCGAAACTTCTTAGCCTGAGGCTTTCATCAAGGCCGCCAAGGAGTTGGGAATTTGCAGGATGAGCTAAAGAAAGCTCAGTACTGAAAGGACTGGACTTTTTAGGAGCTTCTCTAGAAAGATCAAAACTTGCATTTATTTCATTGCAGATAGGAGAAGAAGAAGAAGTACTTGTAGTACTGCAAGGCAGACTAATGTGGAGAGAAAGATCAGGACCTGGTTTTGAAGATGTTTCAAAAGGCATTATTTTTCTTTTGTTTTTATGGTTTTTCAATTCTTCTTCTCTCCCTTTTTCTTTCCTTTGTGTGTTTTAAGAATCCTCCTAAACTTCATACGAGGAAACTCAACACCAAAGACATCAAAAAACACACCCCTCTCAAGTCCTCAACTTTTTTACTTGTCTCCAAGCAAATCCCTTTAAAGATTATAAAGCCATAAAGAAGATCTTGCTTCTTCTTTTTTAATATATGAATATAAAAGACTAACCTTTGAACCAAAAAAAAAAAAAAATGCTTGCTAAAACTAGAGCTAACTCTCTTCTTTCTATTTCTTTTTGTATATCCTCAAACAAAAGCTAGAGAGAGATGATGAAGATTGAAGAGGGGAAGCTGAAGATAATAAGAAGACTTGGAAAAAAGGAATGAAGGACACAAAAGGAAGAAGGGAATTCCAGAAAGGCATAGAAAGGGAAGAAAAGAAATGGAGAGATTTTGATAATTATGTGGTTTTGGAGGAGGAGGAGAAGAGAAGAAGAAGAATGAAAGGAGTGAATATAGAGAGAGTTTTTATTTTTACTTTTTTTTTTTCCCTGTTTCCTTCCTCGAGAGTATATCTTGGAAAATGACAGTAGAGAAAAGAAGAAGAACAATAACACCCAACACCAACACCAACAATCTCTCCCTTCTCTATATATCTTTTTAATTCTCCTTCTTCTTCTCCTTCTTCTTCCCTCACTAGTCAACTCATCAAAGCTAAAAAACAAAAAACTACACAAGAAAACAAATTGAATTGTAATTTTTTTATTTAAGCAAAAAAAATAATGTAAATTTAACCAAAGGGAAAAAACCAAAAAAAAAAAAAAAAAAGACAGTGTGCATGGAATGGTCAATTTTCGAGCTTTTTTCTTATTGTACATTATTGTTATTATTACTGTCTTATTAGTAAAATACTATATATATATATATATATATTAGTATTATTATTCTCTCTTTCTGGTCTTTCCCCGTAGAGGCCGGGGTGAAAATTTTCCTAATCTGATTCCTTTTCCCCCATGGTCTTCGCTTCTTACATTATCTCTTTTTCAGATTTCTCATCACACACAGTCACACACTGTAGTCGTTTCCTACACACTCACCCTCTGCACAGAGCAAGAATGGATCGGTGGACACATTTTATTTTGGTCTTTTTCTTCTTTTTTTTCTCCAAAGTGAGTGAAAGTACATTGGGAAATTCTACTTTTGTGGTAGATAAAAGAAAAAAAAAAGAAGCCAGAGTCAGAGTTGTACATGATAGTCTAAATGCATACAAAGATGTTGAAATTATGGAGTATTATTTACAGCAAATGCAATTTTTTTTTTAAACTTTTTTTTAAAAAAATATTTTAATTTCATCGGGTTAATTCAAACTTCAAATTCTATGTTTTTGACTTATTAGGGAACCTTGTTATTTTGTACGTCTTATAATATTTGGTAATATTTTATGATATATGCAGATAAAGTACAATCTAGAGCCATTGACTTATTTGAGTGAGTGTGTGTGTGTGTGTGCATGAGAGAAAGAGAAAGAGAGAGAGAGTTTGAGCCCACAAAACAAAAAGATTGTATTTGTATCATTGTATGATGATTTGCATATGATTTGTATCCCATTTTTGGGGTTTTAATTATTTTTTAATTTACTAATTATAACATGTGGATTGAATAAGTCAAGTACATCAAACACATAGATACGATTACACCCTTTCTTCTTCTTTTTATTCATGTCACAGTCCTTTTAACCACATTTACTTAATTCACTCGTTAAATTGTAAATATACATTTCGATTAAAATAAATAAGATAATAACCAAATTATTTAAAAATGCTCTTCATGCGCCATGACGAATCATCCTTCTTCTACTCCTAATTCTAATTCTAATTCCTTCCTCCCCTATTTTCATACTCTTCGAGATATTCTGATTCTATAATAGTTTAATCTGTTTTCAAGCATTTCAACAACACAACATTGTCCGGCATCATGGGATTTCTTATGTCTTCCTCCACATGATCGACCATGCATTTAACCTCTCATTGACTCTACCACCACCATCTCCTAAAAATTGTTAAGGTTTTCAAAACCCTAGGCTGAATCGAAGGGGAGAAACACCATTTGTTTATTGATGTTTGGAGGGGGTGGTGGAATCTCTTAATTCCAAAGATTGGGTAGTAATTTCTCTGGGCTTCTAATTAATGCTGGATGTGTATTTATATTGAAAACTAGGTCTTGGGTTTGCAAAAACATCATTTATTTATTGAGCTTTTTTTTTTTAATTTAATTTAGAATAACTTTTACTGTCTTGTAGCTAGATATAAAGTAGATAGATAGCCTAGCTTCCATGTCACTCCATAGTCAAATATTTACATCACATTAGTGTCAGAACTCTAATATTTGTTTGACGGGTGCGTACAATACGTACGTTCCAAATTGTGTTATGTACCCCTTTGTATGAATAACTAATTCAACTTACATTCATTTTAAATGAAATCCGCATTAGTCATACCAAGAAATCAAAAGGCATTAATGGATACTGAAGCTAATTTGTGTATTTCAATTTCTACATGTTTGTCTAATAGCCTATCAATTCTTTTACATAATAACATGATTTATAAAAACATTTCAAGCCACAGTGACTTTTTAGATCCAATTCGTGTTTTAATCCAATTTACTCGATGATAATCATACAAATAGAGGTCTCTTCCACACCAAATTGGTCTCCATTTTAGGTGGTCAAACCTCTTTTCTATTCGATTTCAGTTTTCTTAACTGCGAGTAATTAAACATTTTCACTTTCAACCTCACATTTCTATTTGATTTTAGTTTTCTTATCCGCGAGTTGGCAAAAAAAATTGTTGAATATATATACGCTTAATCCTACATTTGGTTTGCGGGCATTGAAAATAAAGCTACCTTGATGTTTTAAAGCTCAAACCTTGAGATAAAATCTTTGGTTATAGTACTTGCTCCGTGCTAAAGATTAATCATGTTTATTAAATTAATTTATTTCAATAAATAGGAACTTTATGTATTAATCTTAATATATACTTGCGCCCATTGTCACTTTCTTGAATTTGGTCCCCCTTGTCCTTGGATCTATAAATAGTGTTTTCATCAAGCTCGTTCGTGATTGTAGTAATTCAGAACTGCAGTTTTTCTCAATAATGGTAATTAATTTTTATTTTATTTTTTTCAAAAAAAAAAAAAAAGGTTTCTCTCTGCACAATGAACTGGAAAGAATTTGATCTTTTACGACAATCTGGGTTACTTGTTCAGACAAAAAACAGAAAGTTAACATACAACTTTTCCTTAAAAACACAGGAAAATCACATTCAATTGTTTTTGTTTAATATTTTTAATTTGATAAATGCTTATTATTCTGAAAGTATTGTACTCTTCAAGGTTTGTTTGTCCACGCAACACACCCTTTTCTGTTCTAACGTAAAAACTGCACAATTATCTATACTTGTTTAAGTTATCAAATACCAATACTCCCAGTTTAATTTGCATACTCATTTAATTTATGCTTTATTCCAAAGGCAGTTTTATTAATATTTTTAGTTTTTTTTTCCCCTGAAAATTGATATTGGTCTATATATATAGTCTACTATACATCATGTAATTTTAATTCTGTCCCTATGTTGACTTCTTCTCATTGTACATTTGTACTCAAAACCTAATGTAGTCTTATCTATGTACGAATTGCCCAGCTCATTAATCAAATCCTCGGTTTTCAATGCAATTGGTACGCAAATGCATGTCCGAAAACATCAATACTAACAATTGTCGGCAAAAATATATACACTCTTATCTTTATTTTCAAGATGATGCGTTTATATTGTCAAGATAAAGATGCTGAGATTTTGCAACATGTCCGCATTGTAATTTTTTAGAACAATGTCAATATGATTTGAACTCCATACCCTTCCCATTTTATTTGTCTAATGTTTTCAAGAGATTTGAATCTGACCTTGTATTATACCGTCTTAGTTATTGTCATCTCACTTGAAACTTTCCCCTTATCTATGATTGCAAAACTACCAACTCATAATTCTTTAAGAATAAGGCTACTTTTTTGCACCTCATTGGTCACCCATGCAACAAAAATTTGGTGACTCCTTACTATGCCTAATATAAGTCATTTTGATTTGTCTTAAGTTTCACTTACTACGTATTTATAATCAGAAAAAAAAATTTATAAATATATTTTCATATTCGATGTACTCTCTTGATTGTCGGGAAATAATTTTAAGATTATTTTGTCAATTAAAAATATGTATTAGGTGAAATTTAGGACAAATCAAAATGTCTTACAGTAAGGATCGGATGAAGTATGTATGAAACTTTTGTTGATGAAAGATTAGTAGATACGAAGATGATTGATTAGCTATTCAATTAAACATCATTAGTGAAACTACTTAATCAATCATCCACTCCTAATTTTGGCCAAAAAAACAAGTAATAAAACCTTTGATCATTTTTTTTGTTTTTAAATTCATTTTTGTCAAAAAAAGAAAAAAGATTTTTGGCACCCCACATGGTCCCTAATAAATGGAGTCAGTCTGAAAGGAATGTATCAAAAAAACACCAAAGAGGATGTGGGAGAAGGCTTACTCTTATCCTATTAAGCACAACGGTACTGATCTCAGATATACCATTCCCATCAACTGCATTTGTTTTTATGAGTTGGGGTCCTCTCCCTCGTTAATCCCTCTGTAAAATAAAAGAAGAGATCAACCACAAACTCCATTTTGTAGTTTATATGTTTCCTCTGAACAAAATTCTCTTCAACTCTTATGTGGTTTATTTATATATACTCATGCCAATCACAAAGATAAAATAAAATAAAATAAAGTTACAACAACACGATCATGATACTTAATTGTGTAAAATTAATGTAAATACGTCATGCATGTATTCATAGCGAGTGTGTATAACGCAATCAACTATTCTCTATTCAATTTAGATGGGTTATTTTTTCAGACAGTAAAAAAAAAGAAAACTTTCTAACAACTTTTACAATTTAAAATAGGCTTCTAAGTACACATGATTTTAAATATCGACTGAGATATCCCTAACTACTTCGTACGTTCTTGTAAAGTTACGATCACCACATATTTAGTTGTGGTACATAGGTTATTAAAACCAAAAGAAATTAAATGGATTATGTTCTTAGATGTCTACTTAATATCTTATTTCTTAAAATAAAATAAATAGCTAAACTAGAACAGAGTAGAACTGTATATTATGACACGAGGGACTGAATATATTCAGAACAATTATTATTAAATGTGTGTATTAGTACGTATTCTTCCCGACAACCAGAAATAAAAGCATTTTTACAAAAAGTAAAGCCATTTAGAATTTAGAGTGACTAAGAAAAAGATTATACTACAACTCCAAGGCTGGACTTTGCTGTGATATTTATTCTTCGTGGGGTCCTTCGATTAGACATTTTGTATGAAATATGCACAACATTTGGTATTTTTCAGGTTGCCTTTTCCCCAAATTATTCTGTTTTTTTTTCAACAATAAAAATATTTAGAAATGATTATTCTCAATGACTTGTTTGCCCTTTACACATTAATTTCCACTTTATAGCTTTTGGGAATTAGGACCGTATATATGGTGCTTACTGCTTTTTTAGGGCCATATTGATTGGGCACGTTACTAAATACAGTTAGCACTTGGAAGAAC